GGACTGAATGACAGACACACTAATCGATGTAATGTATTTGAATCGAGACCACCTCGTACTGTATGTTGCACATCGTTAGGGTCAATATGTTTCTTCCTTTGCCTCTTGCGGGTTATCAGGAACTTTATAAATCGAATATTGTGCTCTTCCTGGATCAGAGCGGAATGTTTCATTGCAATGGTCATGATTTTACTCGGCGGAATCTGGTTGCCAATCAACTCGGGATGCTGGCCATCCCGCATGATAGCCACCCGATACTAGACGGGGTCCATCTTATTTCGTGTTAAGCAGATAATGCGTATGATAACAGGCTGCACGACGAAGGCAACACCGGCCGCTATATTGCCTTTGCAGTGTACCTTCGCTAGGTACTGCGGGGATATCAGCTTCAGTGGTATTTTCTGATCCCTTATATTCTGCTTCATCTATTTTGTGTAATTGGGAAGGGAGTCATACGTGCTCTGTTGTCTCTGTCGCTTTTTGGTATTTACTGGCTCATTCTCGCCAGAATTGGCCTCTCTGTCTGGATTAGATTCCGCGCTGCCATCCTGGTCATATTTCACGTTGTGGTGGAATATGGCAAGGTATCCGCAAAGATCAAGTACACGATTGAACATGTAAGAGGGTGTTTCAGCTTCAACCAGTCTCGATTTGCTACTTCCTCTTCTCCTACTACCTCAATCATTGCCCGACTCAAAACGTCGTGCTGAGAATTATTGTTCATTTCTGGATTTTCCTACTATACTGCGACAATTATTGAGCTTGCAAACTCGCTGGCTGTTGTATATTTTTTCAGTTTTTCAGTTTTTCAGTTTTTCATTTTTCCGTTTTTTTTTTCATTGTGTAAGTAATTGATGATTGATGTTTCCCTTCCAGTCTTCGTCAATCAGTCAGACTAATAAGATTAACTGTCTATGACCTCGACTGGAGCAGGTCGACAAGAGCCGTCTGCCTTTACATATTGGCCCAGTACATTGGTGTTTTACCCGAGTGATCTTTTGCATTAATATTAGCACCTGCGTCGAGCAGTAACTTCACTATACCCTCATGACCATTCTCAGCAGCCGGGAATAGGTGTATTCTATGCGATTCATCCTTTGCCTCAATATATTGACACCAGCCTTGAGTAGTACTTGTACTATGGCCTGATGGCCACTTTCAGCAGTTGCGAATAGGGCTGTTTTACCCGACTTGTCATGTGCCTCGGTATTAAGAGCTTGCTGAAGTTCTTATTGTAGGCGCTGGTTGGAATGGTTATTCTGTGATTTGGGAAGTCATCCGACATAGGTATATATTGTTCTATTTGCGGGAGCGATTCACTCATAATGCAATTCAGTCTCAAAGAGACACCTAGGTGCTCTGCATGTCCTACCCAAAGTCCACTTAAACTGCAACGCACAGTATCATCGATATCTCGTGAATCCCGAGTATTAGTCCCTTTACCTGCTTTTACCTACTCTAAGGGCGAAAAGCTGCGGACGAGGCTGTGAAGGAGGTGGACACTGATCCGCCTAGTCGCCGGAGGCAAGTGTGATATCCGCCGAGGAAACCAAGGAATGGTAAACAGAACGATGTAAAGTCGACAGGGCCGTGTAGCCCAACATATAGACTACTTAAGGTGCTCATAAAAGGCCCCTAAATCTCTATAAACGTGTTGTCAAGCCGCACATCTCGATTATTATTCAAATAAGGATGTAGAGAATTGGGCTACGCTAAATCTTTCTCAAGATTAAGGCAGTAGAATCAGGTCGCTGCCAGTACATGTAAGGACTACTCTTTCTTCTTTAGGGTCTGTTGTTTTATGTTGTATTCTATTCAGTTAAGTTTAATACCAGCCATCATCTCTCGAAAGAGTATCAATTTAGACATTTGTACAGAGAGTGCTTAGCCAGTAACCTCTGTCTCTAGTCCTGGACACAGAACAGCTGTAAATCACAGTATTTATTAAGATGAATCATCGATTTTATCCATCCTATTCGGCGAAACTATGTTAGAATTATCCACGTGAGGGTTCATAAATACCCTTCAGGCTTTGCTCTAAAGAACCCAGAACCAATCTCGTAGATGTGGTCAACACCCTGCTTTTGACAAGTGAGATCACGGACACCAGAAGCCCATGAGGTAGAACGTCGGCTCAGAGTATACACCAACCCAGGTATAGCAACTGTGGAAGGGCTTACTCAATATATTCAAATTTACCATTGCTCTACTAGACAGATTCTGAGAGATATTTCACTTTGTTGTGTTCTGTCTATTCTAGTTTCTTTGAAACGTTTGCCCAGAATAACTTTAACCTAGTCATGACGAATCCCCGAAACAAATGAGCACGGTAGCTGATCAAGCTGCGCTGGCCACCTGTGCCTCCCTTGCGTACTCGACTTGATCAACCACAGCCTTCGCTTCCTTCTCATTTTCTTCCTTGGTCTTCCCTTGGCCCCCCTTGTCGGGATAAAAGTCGATATTTCCATGGGCTTGAATCACACCAATGCGATCCAGGAGTGTACGGGAACGGATGTACGGATCCAGTTTCCAATAATTCTCTCGCAGCCGCCGAGCGATATCCACCCTGCGATTCTTTTGCTGTGAAGCATCGCCCAAATTTCCCTTGTCCTTGGCAGAAAGCCACATTGAGGTTGCCTCGAAGAGTTCCTCTCCGATCCGTTGGTGCTGGGCCATGATGGAGTCTCTGGTGGTCGTATCCTGAAGCTGAGCATTCTCGTCTTGTTGAGGCTCTACATATTCGTAGGTCCAGTCTTCAGCGCCGCCAAGCTCCGTCACAATCTGGGATCGATCGATAAATTGCTCCAAGTCTTGAACCGAGTTCACGAAATGAACTTTGGCGGCCACAACGGGGTCAAGCCAACCCCGGATGACCTTCCAAATTCCTGGATACGGGTATTAGCATGGGCCTGGGTAGCAGGATGGGGGATGCAAGGTGTATTGTACGCACCAGAGAAGAACCAGGGGGCATTGTAGAAGAGCATATATCCAAGCGATTCAGGGTAGTTCTCCTGGAAGCATTGAATGATGAACTTGACCGGAGCGTACTCCTGGGAATCGTCAGCAAAATGATACACAGTTCCTCGCAGGCTCATAATAGTTTACCATATTTGAAAGAGCAAAGTTTGTCAAGTCGAAGACTAGTGTCTACTCATCCAGTTCACGAATTAGCCGAATTTATACCTCATGCTCAGTCACACGTAACGGGCACTTACCATGGTTTCAACTGGAGGAACAAGCAGCAGTCGCATCAATTCGATGTTATACAAAATATATGAATTGAGAGCCTTTTCACTCTGCGCACCTGGCTTATGGGTCCGCGCTCTTACAACACAAATAGGACGACCGGATTTATCGGAGCCATGAAAAAAGCCCTTGCCCATGTGCAACTGGGCCATAAAGCCCTCTCCATCCTTTTTATCGGTGCTACCAGTGGCGCTCTGCGACTGCTGCAATGCATGCAGCTCTCCCTTGCGGATTACCTCACCTTCCACTTGTTGCTGCTTGCTCCACCACTCCAGTGCCGATACAAACTTGACAAACCCTTTGCTGACATCCCATTTCTCGGCACGTAAGTATCGAAGGAGGAACGTGTCTGGATGATCTTGTTTCATCATAGCGAAGAAAGCCGAGCGAAGCTCATCCGGCTTGAGCTTGGTCAGAACTTGCTGTATCAATTTGATCTCCTGAGCGCTCATCTTCATCGCCTCGAGCTCAGAAAGCAGTTTGGGAGGCACTGAAGGCACATCGTTGGATTTAACTGTGTCCTCTGACCACGATAGCGAGAAGAGCTTCCTGCGCTGCTTTGGTGATGTTGTGGAGGTAGTCTGACCACTGTGATTTGTGTCTGTGCGATATAACTCCGGATCGCACGATCGCAGGAAGATCGCCCATAGCTGTAGGAGTTTCTCTTCTTGGTCTTGGGTGAGGCTCCCCACGTGCCCCGTTTCTACGGTTGCGATACTCATTTTTCAGTCGTATTCCGGTGGTACGGTGATGACTTTGGGCCAGAGAAGGGGTGGTTGTCAGTGTTTATATTTGGCTGTGTAACGGATTTAGTAAATAGCCGCCCTCGATGATCCTCGGTCCGTAACGACTTTTCGCCAATTCCGCCGGGTGGTCCCAACTGAAATATTAAATAGCCCCCCTAGCTTAGTGTATATCGACAGTAGATTCCTGATCCACATGTGATTTACTGCAGCTACTTTAGGTTAGGGGACTAGGAGGTAGGGAGTTCTCCCTCGGTATGTAAACGTGAGGGGTAAGAGGCACATCAGGGGCGATCTGCAAACCTCTGGGGCTACGATTGACGCCTGGTCTCAGTGAGGCCTGCTGGGGGCAGGGTATGGTTCTGTTGGGGTTCAGCAATTCACCAGGTTTATCCATGTCGCAAAAATCATGGGACAAGCACAGGACGTTGTTGGCTGCATATCATCATCACGCTTATTGCGCAACGTGCTTGTGTCCACCGGGTTGTACTGCATACTACTACTACTACTAGTAATACTGGCGATGGGACTTGACAGATCATCCAATCAGGACTAGAGTTCAGTGAGCTCATTTTCAAGTTCCAACCACAGTGATATAATGGATTGCCGCCGAATCTGGTCAGGAGTGCGAGAGTCTATTGGGAGACTCCATCTGGAGGTCATCTCTCGTGGAATCAGGGGAGAAGAGGAAAGCGGGGTTGATGATCTCAAAACTGAATATTAGCCGCATGGTATAGCCGTACAGGAACGGTATTGACTTAGCCGATTGGCGCCGTGGCTGGCTGGCTATCAGAGAGTAGTACTCCTGGAGTTCGACTTGAGCTTAGGGCAAAAAGAAAAAAGATCGGCGCCGGTTCCGGCCAGCGTGATGGGGAACACCAAACCTCAACGGGACTAGCGGAGGGACGACCTTTAAAGCAGCGGGACGACATCCCCAAGCCATCATCTCCACCATCGGAATGGCCTGCGGTTCGAGCCGCCGACCCCTTGGCCTTTGCTGCATCTTCCAGTATGACCAACCGCGACCCCGAGTTTCGACATCAGCTGGGCAAGTTTCGTCTTGATTCTTCCTTCGCATCGCATGTTTCCACGCCTCCCCCTCCCCTACTACATCCTGAAACCTCCCCGCTCTCTCAGCCCCCTTCCCTGACGACCCCGACATCGTTGCAGCCACAGCAAACCCCATCCCATACCTCCCACCCCCATCGCAGCAAACGTGTTTCAACGGCCTGTGACTTTTGTCGCAAACGGAAAAAGAAATGTGATTTTCGCTATCCGAACTGTTCCGCATGTACTCGCGCCGGGGTACGATGTACGATTCCTCCGCCGGGTCCCCAAGTCGCCAGTGCCTCCGTCCCGCGAGATCAGCTGGAGAACCTTCAGAACCGCGTACGATGGCTAGAAGATGTTCTGCGACGCAAGACGGGCCTCTCCGTAGCCGACAGGCCAACAGGGAGCGCGCTGGATGGGGAAGGAGATTTGGACTGGTGGTACCAGGTACCAACGGTGTTAATGGGCCGGGATGGTTCCCGTTCAACGACGTCCGCGACAGTCTCAGCATCCAGCCCAGCTGACTCGCCTGCTGTCGGGGCAGAACTGCCCAATGTAGGCGAAATATTTCGAGATCAGCTGGAAAATCGACGACCATCGGTTGCGCGCCCGGTTGCGTCTGCCCCGCGCGTTCTCCGCTTGGCCTCCTTGGAGGAAGCGGAACGAGTGGCCTCGCAGTACTTCGACGGCATTGGCTACCAATACCCATTTCTCCATCGTCATGAGTTCTTTACGCAGTTACGACGCATATATACTGGCGACGTGCCATCGCCTGACGTGCTATACACATACCACATCACAATTGCTATCGCCATGCTGATCAGTAATGCCGAAGGCACACAAGCGAACGAGTACTACCGTGCGAGCCAGGAAACACTATCACTATCGTTACAAAACGAGGATCTGTCGGCGGTGCGGGCCTTACTAAGCCTGGCACTATGGACGATGTTTTCCACGAACGGCCCGAGCGTGTGGCATGTGCTGGGCAGCGCTCTCCGCCTAGCGACGAGTCTCGGTCTGCATAAGGCTCGGAATTCGGGCAATGTGGTGGAGGATGAAATGGCCAAGCGAGCGTTCTGGAGTCTATACAATCTCGATCGACTTGTTGCCAGCACACTGGCTCGACCGTTGGGCATCGCCGACGAAGATATCAGCGTGAACTTACCGCGCGAGTTCAACGATGACTGGGGCGAAGCGCCGGGGGCCAGTGCCATGACGATCCCAGTGCAGGTGGTGCGCCTGCGCCGGATATTCTCACGGATTTACCGTTATTGTAGGTTTGCCCGAACGGGACGACGATACGTTTAGACTAACCTTTGCAGTATACAATAACCATCCTCCCCCTCCTCCCGCCGAAGTTTCCCTTACACTCCTTCACTTCCGGCAGGAGCTTGATGACTGGCGTCGGAATGCGCCCGTCTATCCCCCCGCACTTCTGTATTCAACCAGCTATTACGATTATCTCTATGCGACCACTCTGCTTCTCATGCATCGACCCAGCCCGCGAAATCCGACACCGGATGCGACTAGCATTGTGAGCTGCGGCGATGCCAGCATTCAAGTCATCCGATCATATTGGGACAGCTATTCCGTTGGGAAGCTCAAATGGATCTGGCTGACGCTGAGTCAGATCTACTTTGCAGGGATCACCATCTTGTGGTGTCTCAACCAGAATTTCCTTTCTGTCCGGGATGGTCATCCAGCGGCCTGGCAACCGAACGACCAAATGATGCGACGGGCCATTCAGGCAGTTGTCGTGGTGCTGGAAGAGTTCGGCAAGCGACGGCCAGGAGTGGAACGCCTGGCGGAGTCGTTTCGCCATCATAGCACAGTCATCTTCAGTCACTTGGCATATCAACAGGAACAGATTCACAGCCAACCCCCGAGTCAGCCACCGCTACAACCACAGCTGCAGCAACAAAACGTTCTGGTGGCACCGCCGGTGCCGATGGCGGCTACCCTGGACGATGTGCTCCTTGTAGATGGGTCAGGAAATGTGCCCCTGATCGATGCGCAGCTGGCCGAGGAATTGTTCTATTCGTACGATTGGTTTCAGGAAGAGATGGCAACCTTTTATACCCTGTGAAGATGTACATAATTTATCCGTATGCAATGGAGTCGAGATACCATTATCATTCGTCCGCTTATCACTGTCTATTATTACCCCACCTCTGATAAAAAGTACTACATCACATCAGGTCAGGTCATGTCCTTTCTGAACTCCTCCACCTCTTCCCCCAGACAACACATCCAGAAACATACTCTCCCATCAACACAACACCACAATGTCCACCACCACCACCACCAAAACCGCCCAAGCCTTCCACGGCACTCTAATTCACAGCAAAGATCCCCTGACCCTCGAAATCCTCCCCAACACCCTCCTCATCATCTCCGCAACAGGCCAAATCCAATCCCTGCACCCCTCCACCAACCCACCCGACATCGCAGCCCTTCTCACCCAAGCAAACCACAACCCCGACACCACCCCAGTCACCACCCTCGCAGCCACCGAATTCCTCATCCCGGGCTTCATCGACACCCACACGCACGCCCCGCAATGGTCCCAACGCGGCCTCGGCCGCGGCATCCCTCTTCTCACCTGGCTAGAGCAGATCACCTTCGCGCACGAATCCAAACTGGCCGACCCCGTGTACGCCAAACAGCTGTACCGCGCCGCCGTGCAGGGGAGTCTCAAGCAAGGCATCACAACGGCCTGCTACTACGGCAGCCGGCACAAGGACGCGTCAGTGATCCTGGCCGAAACATGTCTCGCCATTGGCCAGCGCGCGCTGATCGGGAAATGCAACATGAACCGCCACGCACCGGACTGGTACGTCGACGCGTCCGTTGACGAGTCCGTCTCCGACACCGTCGAGTTCATCGCCAAAGTGAAGGAGCTCGACGGCGCCACGGGGCTCGTGACACCAGTCATCACGCCGCGGTTCGCAATCACCTGCGACGAACATCTCCTGGGCGAATTGGGGACCATCGTGAAACAGAACCCGGGCATCCCCGTGCAAACGCACTTCAACGAGTCCCACGGCGAAGTCAACTTCACCCGCGACCTCTTCCCACAGTTCAAGAACGAAACGGAACTGTATGACAGCTACGGCCTCCTCACCAACCGCACCATCCTTGCGCACGCCATCTACCCCCAGCCCGAGGAGCTGCCCCGTCTCAAGGAGCTGGGCTGCGGCGTCGCGCACTGCCCCATCCCCAACACGACCATGGATGAGTTCATGATCGCGCCGGTGCGTGAGTATCTCTCGCGCGGGATCAAGGTCGGCCTGGGCACGGATTGCGGGGGTGGGTACTCGTCGTCGATGCTTGATGTGATGCGCGCGGCGTTTATGGTGTCGGTTGCGAAGCAGACGGAGACCGGGGGCCGGGATGCGCCGTTGAGTATCGCCGAGAGCTTTTATCTGGCGACGCTTGGGGGCGCTAGGGTTGCTGGGTTGGAGGATCGGGTGGGGCGGTTTGCGTCCGGGTTGGAGTTTGATGCGTGTCTGGTCAGGACGGGCGTCGCTGAGGGGATTATGGCGCCGGTTGAGGAGGCGGATGGCCTCGAGGGTGGTTTTGAGAAGTTTCTTATGACGGGGGATGATCGAAATATTGTTAGGGTTTGGGTGCAGGGGAGGGAGGTGAAGGTGTCTGTTTAGACGGATCTTTTCCTTTCTTTCTTTGCTTTTGTTTTGTAATTCTTCGTTGGTAGGTTGGTTCTGAACTGGTGTATCATTTCGACTGTCTTCGTTGCTAGGTTCTGTGTTGAGTTGCGGGAGGAATTGTTGTCTGTCTGATTCGGCTCTGTACTCTCTGTTCGGAAATGGGACAAGTCGAATACTACTGATGGCTACTGATCATTGGGTATCTGTCGATTGGATTAATGACTTAGACGATGCAATGTCTCTCTTCACTGGTTGTCTGCACTATGGATATATTGTTAAGCGGAAGCAAAGGTCATCCGATTGACCATGCGGGTATATATATATCTTCTGTCGGGATACACACTTTCCAACTCTAACCAAATTTGTAATTAACCGTTTATATGTGACTGTATGGGTACATGAAGTAATATGTGTCGTCTAAATAATTACAATTAATAGGTACTGTATGCTATGCTCAGACCAAGTCTGCCCGGAAAAATAAACGCCACACGAAAACCATATCCAACAAAGCTTAAAGGTATCCAGCGTATAGAAAAGGGGTATTGCTGGCCTATATGGAGAAGATAAATGCGCCGACCAAATGATATATCAGAAAAAAAAAACTCATTCCCATGTTCCTTTGCGAGGTCCGAAGTATCCTGACTCCGGTAGCGCCTTCCACGGTGTGCCTTTACCGTCCGCAGTGCGCGCGGACACGGTATTGCCCCACCAGTGTAGCGGACCCGCTGGAAGGGTGATACAGAAGAAGATGATGACGGTGGCCACGGCCACGGCGCAGTCAAGTGCTGCTGAAAGAACGTAGTCTAGACCATGTTAGAACGACGCAGCGATATACTCGTAGCAGAGACGACCTACTATATTTAGCCCACCAGGCCGGCCTGCGTCGTTTAATCAAGCCGTTGAAGATAAGATTGACAATCCACCAGGAGGAAAAGTTGATCCCTGTGGCCGGTGGGACAAGGCTCATGGCACCAAAAGCTACCGGCCAGGAGATGTAGTTGGCCTGCTTCCAGCGCCGACCAATGAGATATGTGACAATCACGACCAGAGGCCCAGCCAAGAAGAACCAGAGAAGATTGCCGTAGATTTGGCCGGGGGAAAAATTCCGTCCGGGACCGAGGGCTCCTACATATTGTTAACCAAATTCGTTTCACGCGTTATGGCGAATGCCTACCCCAGATTAACGAGGATGAATACGTGACTCGACCATGGGGACAAGTAAATCCGCCGTCGGCGTCGGGCGTGCAGATGCCATCAATTCGAGTGATCATGAACACCGTGACGCCGCACTGGACGATGGCCCCAATCAAAGTCGCCAATCCCTGGGCTAAGAATAAGGTTCGGGGAGCAATGTGAAGATAGTGAGCTAATTTCATGTCCGCCACGAATCTGTTTGGTTAGGTGCGCTCAGACTCCTGGGGTGAAACGGGATGGCTTACTCTAGTCCCTGAGACACTGCCACATATCCGTAAAACTTGAACGCCATGTTGGCAACGGGTCGTCCGAGGAAGGCGTAGCCGCCAATAAACTCCGTGATAAGGTTTAACTGGTTGCTGGTAATATTCGTGACCGCCTTGATGATGCCAACGGGGATAAAGTAGATCATCGGCAGCACGAAGGCCAGCAAGACCGCCCACGCTGGGAGTCCCGTGTGCCACACCTCGTTGGTCACAATGCTCAGTACAAACATCAGTATGGTTACGGCTGCAAACCACCACCAAGGAACGTCTTTGTACGAGGCCATGAGGCGTGAATGAACATCCTTCTGATCCCGTCCTTTCCATTGCTCCCAGAGGTCAGTTCCGTGGTACAGAGCTACGTGAACGAAGATACCCGTGAGATTGGCAAATGCTACGCCGTAGGTCACTGCATAGCCCGCTGGAAGAAACATGGGCGAGTACCCGCGGTACGCCTCCACGTTGACCGTGCCGTCATGGTTCATCACACGGCTGGTGTTGTAAGGTTTCCCTGTATTGTCGAAGGTGTTGGGATTCAACAGCGGTAGATACGCCGAGTACCACGTATTGGTATAATATAGAATGGGGCAGATTAACCAAAAGAACAAGGCAAATGATCCAATCACGTTCAGCCCTGCCCAGAAAGGGACCAGGAGCGGGCTTTGGTTCGCATAGACGACCTGAGCCCAATCAAAGGTTAGAATTGACATGCCCAGCCCGGTCGTGTGGCCAAAGAGCTGATTGACCACAACGTTCGTCGGTACGATCCAGCAGATAAAGTTAAACGTGCTCAGACCGGTGAAAAGGTAGCCCGGAGCAAAATACCAGATTGCCCCGCCCGCGAAAACAAAAAGGAAGAAGCGGAGACGCGTGATCGACCAGCCATCCGCGACGACGTTGGCGCGCGAGTGTAAGGTGGATAGTAGCGCGGCATTCGACAAAACCTGCGGCCAAATCATTGTCGCCGGTCCCACGAGCCAGCGCGAAGCCATGCCTGCCAAGCCAAAGCCGAACAGTTGAGTGGTGATACACAATAGAATCTCGAACCCCCCTTGTGAAGGCATGTTGTAGAACTTCACCATAGCCTCAATTATCTGCGTCGCAGCCGCCGATCCGAAGGAGACATTGGCCATGATGGTGATCAAAGCATGCTCCTTGATGTTGAAGTGGCGATCCGGATTGAGCCACCCCAATGGCAGCCATTTCGCCCAGGCGCAGCCAACGGGAAATGCGACCAGCTGTGCAACCAAAGCGCTGATGGTTACACTGGGCTGCCTTAGACTAAAGAACTGATTCAATCCACTCCCCACCTAAGGCTAGTCAGCGTTACACGCTCCGCAACACACCACTGCTCCGCCATTGACGTACGATCGTAAATATCACCCCAATCGTCCACATCCGAACCGTGTTGACCGGCAGATGGACATCGTCCACCGGTCGAACGACCGCACGAACCTCTGGAAAGGGAGAATCGTCGGCTTCGTAAGGGAGGATCTCGGCGGCATCGCGGTCGCTTAGAATGCTGTAGTTGCTCCCATCGATATCCAAAGACGGTTCCTAGCGACGATCATTAGATAAAGAACTGACGGTAAGAGTATGGCTCAAGTGATTGGCCCGATATCTGCAGGGCATCTGGTGTGCGCCACGTGGAAAGCGAAGGATGGTCACTGGGGGAGCTAAGTCAGTTTAACCCACCTGTAGGAACTCCTTTTGCTGGGGCTTTTCGTCCCGCTGCGGGATGTCAGCCATAATACGAAGGACGTATTATGCTGGTAAGCAGATTTAAAGTAGGGTTGTTCGCGCTGGGTCCAGTCAATGAAGGTCCAGGATCTTGTCTAACAGTCTAACAGGGGGGTTGAATGAAGGTGGAGTGGACATCGCCCTCGATGTGGTCTAGTGGCTCTCGTGACAGGCGAGCCCACGCGAATCGTTTATTAAATTTTATTATTCCTCTTCCATGTTGAGTAATAAACTCTCGCTCTGAGCCGTGAGGATCAGGTAATGATACCAACTTGTCCGGTAACGGCCCATACGACAATACAGATCGGAAAACCCCTGGCCTCGTCATCACCGAAAAGGCGATGGTTTGAGAAAGGAGATCTTTTGCTACCCGAGTGGATAGGGTCCACCTGGAATTCTTTGTCGAATTTTTGTCTTTTTCTGGGTTGCTTTCTTGTTCACCTTTCATGTTGGTTGGTGATTGTTTGTTTGTAGGTCCTGGATGCAGGGTAAAATTGTTTATAGTCCTGTGTCGTATTCCCTCACCGTCATCGGTCTAGGCTTCTACATCGAGTTTAGTCAACGACGATGAAATGTAAGTCAAAATACATGTGCATCGGAGCAATCGACGGTCGACCGCCTTGGGTATGGTTGGGCGGTTCAGTCCGTCTTTTTCCTCATCGAATATTCGCCGAAGGTTCCATAGTGCGTCGGGACGAACCGCCTACAGTCATGCCACGATAGAAATCAGCCTGTGAGCTTTGATAAAGCCACAAGATGACGAGTCCCTTGTAAACCCTTTTTGCTCTTGGGACGCAATATCACACTGATATTATTGGTGATCAATGGGCGCAACACTTCTGTATCTGGTGTAGACGTTGTTGTTTGTGGTTCCTCCCTCGTCGCTCCCAGCGGGTACAGCCGACCATCGGATCTGAGCGCTTCTATCCGACTCCAGCAAACCATTCGACAACGACACGCAAACTGATCATCGCTACGAGATGGCTGTTTCATTGGTTCCTTATAAGAGAAAGGCGGTGGCACCTGTAGAATGATAAGAGCATTGAAGATTTTGGTCCCCCGAGGCTTCACATCCAGTTACCCCACGATTTATATGTCGTGATATCTATCCTTCAACTTTGCCTCTTAAGATTCTCCTAAACTTCATCCACCATAAGTCTTAACCCCCTGAAGACTCTGGTGTAGGTGGTCTGCGCCATTGTACGACAAGGGAGGCAAACCCGCTGGTACACGCTGAATCTCTCCACCGACAGCATGGGGGATCTTGGCCACCCCGTCGATATCTCCGATGTGCCTTTCGCACAACGACCCATCGTCATCTTGGGTGCCGGAATTATTGGATGTGCTGCCGCAAGACAACTTCTTCTCAATGGATTCCCCGTAGTCTTGGTGGCGGAGTATCTCCCCGGAGACCAGAGTATCTTTTATGCGTCTGCTTGGGCCGGAGCAGCATGGCATGCGGCTGGGGGCATTAGCCCTGAATATCGGTACTTTCAAGCGATCACCCATCGCCATCTGCTAAAGATGGCGCAGGAAGACCCTGAGTCGGGGGTTTGTATTGTGGACACACGCGAGTATCTTGAAGACCCCCCAACCGAAAACTCTGCGATATGGGGGAAGACTGTCGTATCGAAGGTGAGGTGGCTATGTCATTTCCCAGGGGGAGGGTTACATTGCTGACTGTGGAGATAGTTTCGTGACCTAAAACACGGTGAATATCCTCCTAATTTCTCCTGTGGGTGGGCATACGATACGCTCGTCACCGACCCCACGCGCCATATGCCTTACCTGGGAAAACAAATCAAGACGCTCGGCGGTCAGTTCATTCGGAAACGGGTCGAATCTCTCCAGGAGCTGTACACAATGTTTCCCGAATCGAGCATCTTCATCAATGCAAGTGGTATAGGGAGCAAGACGTTGAGTGATGTCCAGGACGAGAAGTGTTTTCCTGAACGAGGACAAAACGTGTTTTTGCGCACCGATAATTGCCAGACCATGTACTTCCGGAACGGCAAGGAATATACTTATGTCATTCCCCGGCCATTATCGAAAGGTGTCGTACTGGGTGGAGTAAAGCAAAGCGATAACTTGTAAGTTTTTTTTTCATCGCCCCGTGGTACGAGATTTTCGCCCTGAGACTGACTGATAAATAGGTCTCCCGAAGTGGATATGGACATAGCCCGAGATGAGATTGCACGCGCCCATCGTCTCGCTCCTGAGATAGTTCCGGAATATCCCCCCGAAGATGCGCTCGATCACATCATTGGCATCCGCCCGTCCAGGAAAGGCGGTTTCCGCCTTGAATCCGAAAAAGTGGGAAGCCGCATTGTCCTCTCCGCGTATGGATTCGGTGGGGGTGGATACGCCTTTTCATACGGTGTGGCCGATGCTTTGGCAAAGATGGTGGAAACGGCTGAGCGGGAGAATGTGATTCTGTAGAGCGGCTCATTTATTTTGTTTATTTAGCCAGCTGATACATTTGCGCAGGGTGGCTGTTTCAAACTGGACTGGATGTTACGTTGTTTGCATTTTGCTCATTAGCGACAGGATGATGATGATACCAGTATTATCGCAAGCAGTTTGTCAATTTCATAGGGAGCCGATGATATGTAATGACACTAATTATACAAAATGACTGTTACTCTTTTATGTCGTTGCTCATTTATTTCGTTTCAATTCCAATTTCAGTCACTCTTTCGCTTTGTCTTCTATCATACGGCCACATGGAGACAGTGGCCACAGGTTGCCGGGTGAACGGGGCCTCCACGAAATAAGACCTTCTAGGGCAGTGGATACCCATCCTAGTACCATTAGTAACGGTAGGGCCTGCCTCACTTCTCGTTTGACGGGCGCTGTGCTTCTAGAAGGACTATGGAAACACAATTGATTTGTGGCCCTGAACTTCATTAGTCACTAGTACTTGTGAATCCGTCTATCCTTTCCGGAAGGGGAAGCGCAGCGTCTCTGGTTCTTGTTTCAAGATAACCTTCTTTCAGTTCGTCCTATCACGATGCTCGAGGGCATGAGAAGTACTATTGATGAGGCTTTAGATGGGTGGACCCCATGAATGAACCTCTTAACTATCGAATCTATGACGTCGAAGCACGATTGCATAGGAACTGGAAAGTCCATGCCGAAGGAAAAGGATTCCTTGTTAATGCCACGAGGTGAGATGAAGACGATCGGCACCAGACAGCCACGAAGAAGAGTCCACTCCAGGGGGACCAATGAAGGTTTCGGGAGTATCTAAAAATACCACCTTTATGACAGAGTTACAACGGGATCTCAGGAGGAATGACAAGAACTTAACTCCTACTCAATGCATGTGTGTACTTTTGCTTGTCGGCATTTGAACATGGCTGAATAAGCCCCTTGGGAAAGGCCGGTGGGATTCTAGAACCTGCACCAGCGAGGGAGAAGAAGTGGTTCCATTCCTTGATTTGTACCCATTTCATTCTAGCTGGTGGATCCGCGGTTCTGAAGGAAATCAGGAATCGGTTGGACTAAGGTTGGAGGGAATGCAAACATTGGTGGTTTTGGCATGCAAGCAGAAGCAACGTGACTGGATGGTTGGGCTCGTGCCCCGCAAGTCCGGGCTGGTCGGCCGTCCACTAGTGGACGAAAGCGCATGGTCGATCGCCTTCCGTTGACGTCGGTGGTTTGGCCTTTTGCCTTAACTCGGCCTCCCCTAATGAGGAAGATTTCTCTCTGTTCCAAAGCCAACATGAAGGTTTCAGATCCTGATCGCTTTTCTTTTCCATCTCGATCTGGCTTTCAGCTTTCTTGGGTGAATTTACTGTTATGAACGGGTTTCACGAGGTCGCAACGTAACCCCAGATCGTGTCGGATCGGGTGAATCAGCCCAAACCGCGTGCTCGCTTTCCCCCCCCTTGGATATTTTTGCTCGTCCAGTCTTATTCCGCCACGCATCTCGTGGGAAAGCAGGGATGTCACTCCGAGATCGATTTCTCAATCTCAGCATGCATGATCGCGCCCAAACCGTGAACCTGCCGCTGATCACGACGCCACCAGAAGACAATGATATGGTGTTAAGCGAACTCAAAGGCGACCCGAAGCCATTGCTGCGGCCGAATGACAACTGCGCCTCAGACGCCGAATATGTCACCCCGCAGCAGGATGCCTCGCTCTGCCGCATTTATCGCTACACCCCAATACCGACTGTCGTCGTCGACGCAAACTTATCCATAGTGGAAGTGTCCGACAGTCACCTCGCCCTCTCGGGGCAAACCAGGGATACATTGCTCAATACCTGCATATGTGATCTCTCACCTTCCATAATCCCTGTGCCCGATATGGCATCCTTATATGGTGCGATACGAGCGGCTATCTCAACGAAAGAAATCCAGTTGATTGAGGACGTTCATCGACGTGATAAGAAGTCGTACTTTCGACTTCAGGTTACACCAATCTATCAAGGCCGGACATTAATATATATAGTTTTCGAGGCGCATAAGGACACCAGAGATCACTCAGATATCCATGATCAACACCATGCATATGTGAATGAAACGTACAAAATATTGGTGGACACCGTTAAAGACTATGCCATCTTCATGCTGGATACCCGTGGCAACATTACAACCTGGAATCCCGGCGCTGCCATCATGAAGGGATACTCCGCTTCCGAGATCATCGGCAAGCACTTTTCAGTGTTTTACGGTCCCGAAGATCGGCATAATAATAAACCTGGGAGGGGCCTGGCGGTATGTTTGCGCGATGGAAGGATGGAAGATGAAGGCTGGCGCTACCGTCAAGATGGTTCTCGATTCTGGGCCAACGTTATGATCACCCCTGTTTACGAGTTTGGCCGTCATGTCGGATTCGTGAAAGTGACGCGTGATCTGACGGAACGGAAGGCGGCTGAGGGGCGTCTGATTGCGGCTTTTGAAGAGTCATCGAGACTCAAGACTGACTTTTTGGCTAACATGAGTCATGAGATTCGGACGCCAATGAACGGCATGCGCCTTGCGTTGTCTATGCTGACAGACACCGAGCTCGATAGCAACCAACGTGAATACGCATCTATTATCGAGGATTCTACTTCCGTGTTGCTACAGATCATTAATGACATTCTTGATTACTCAAAGCTATCCTCAGGGTCATTCTCTTTAACGTCGGACATTGTGGAGGTTGCCAGCGTCGTGGGCGCAGTTGTGCGAAACTGCAAATCTTGTTTAAAACCAGGCGTCACCCTCAGCTGTTCCATTCCGCCAAACTTTCCTCAAGCCTTGCGTGGAGATCCCCTACGATATCGCCAAGTACTCCAGAATCTTGTCGGCAATGCGGTCAAATTCACAGAGAAGGGGAATGTCAAAATATCTACGTCATTCGCCATAGACGCGCAGGATCCTACGATGTATAATATATCGACTGAGGTAGTCGATTCGGGGGTTGGTGTGCCGGGAAGTGCTCTCAACACCTTGTTCACGCCATTCACACGGTTTGCAGATTCTACGAGACGGAGATACCAAGGTACCGGGCTCGGTCTTTCTATCTGCAAAAGCCTAGCGGAACTCATGAGCGGGAGTATAGGCTATCGGCCGAATCCGGACGGACCCGGTAGTGTATTCTGGTTCACAGCTAAGATGGGGCGGACGGATGCGCGATATCCAATCAAGCGTTCCGGCATGCTCCCCCCTGACAGCTCGGAAAATCTTATCCAAAAGCTGAGAGAAGTCGCGCCCCGCAAACATATTTTGCTCGTGGAGGATAACTTGGTGAATCACATGGTAATGCTTAAGCTCCTGCAGAGTTTCGGGTTCGAACGGATTGATGCTGCCTGGGATGGGGCAGAGGCCGTTAGCTAGTGAAACAAACGCCACTCTCTTACAATGTTGTCCTTATGGATATCAGCATGCCGGTTCTAGATGGTCTCGAGGCGACATCCCAGATCCGGAGTATGAAGATCGATGTGCCTATCATTGCGCTCACTGGCAATGCTTTGAAAGGCGACGCTGAAACTTATCTGGCCAAAGGTATGAACGACTACCTGGGAAAGCCTGTGCATCGCAATCACCTTATACAGGTGCTTTGGAAATGGCTAGGTACATGAGGACCGAGTCATTCACCGAGAGATTCAACTACGGCGTGAATACGCCAGCTTTTTAGGAACCACTGGTTTGTGGATCATAGGGTTATCGCCAATATGGATCCCCCTCTCAGTCTTCGCCAGGGCACTCACCGGGCCCTCATTGGCTCCATCAGTATACTTCAGCTGGTGGTGCTGATCCAATTAGATGCTGGATGAGTGGATGGTTCGAGAGACCCAGACTCTCCTGAGTTGGTGGTACCCACCTGGCGACAGGGTCCCGTCGTCTAACAGATGGGGCGCTTGTTGCCCAAAACAAGGCGTGGTACGGAGCCCGGAAGGTTTTAGGACCTCTGCTTCGCCTTCGGGTCTCCACTGCCGAATTATTTCCGACGGAACTGGCCGGAAACCAAATATATCCATCCGAAACAATAGAGTTATTGCACGCGTCATTTTGGACTACTTGTAGTCTAGAACCGTTTACCATATGCATCGTATCAATCCTACCTTGTTACACATTGGATTATTCTCCACTATTTTCCTCGCAACGTCCCGTGCGGTGGAAGCTTTGCCAAATCTCGGCTTCTGGGTCGATAGGACTTGTATTGGAGGAAATTCTGCTTAACTATATGCAGTTCGCTATCCCGAGTTCCTTCGATTTATGTCGAATACTTAGCAGAGTTGCATCAGAGCAGTTGAAATGGTCCATCCATCTTGGCAGCCGTGTTCATTGGCTAAACGAGAGCCAGAGACAATCCCTGCAAAGAGCCTAGCTGAGTCGAAGCAGTACTCGACTGGTTTGATATCGAAGTGGAAGCCCACTCTGGAGAGGGGTTCCTTTTCGGTTTCTGGAAGCTGTGCGCGAGAACAGAGAGGCAAGGGGGATTTGTTCGGTATAGATATTAATTATTGGCGATCTGTCCAGGGGTGGGACTTGTATAGTAAGGTTACCATCTAATGCTTGAAGACGTCCTGTTTAGAAACCCTAAACAGGGCTTTCCCGAAGCTCGAGTTGACATAGTTTAACTCCAGTTCCAGAGTACATTCTTGCTCGGATCCTGCCAATTGCCAACCTCTAGTTTCCAAGCACCCGTAACTCCCAATCTAAGCAAACTACCTAGAGTATGAATCCACTTGCACGGAAAGTTGCCCCCCACGAAGGTCCCAAAGGATGACCTTATGATGAATGATCGTGCATCTTAACGATAGGATTTCACCCAGTAGCATCCAAGATCTACGCGAGACTTCACGAAATTATTTAATGACATGAACTTTTGTCTTTAATCGGATTAGTGGAACGGACTCTGAGGATGTATCCATAGGAATCTATATAAACAGCCAGTCAAGAGGAAGAGGGGCAGAGACACGAGGGGCCAGCCTCCTCTTAACCTCTAGAGCATTTCTGGGCCTAACCCGCTCCGCTACAATCCAGAGTACACCAGCACGATACCGTCTCTCGAGGTCAGGAGAGTCCAAACAACAGGGCACACGTATTTACATCCTCATCTGCTTATTTACATAATCTCTCTGTCTACGGCCACGTTTCGGGTGTAATTTGTCCTACCTTTCCAGCAATCTGACAGCAGTGTTCGTTTACAAGTCGTCCGACTACTTTGATCATAGAACCATCCAAAAGGGCATGATGAGTAGAATCAACATACTCTGCCCGCAATCCAGGGCAACGGGCTCTCCACCACTCCGTCGCCCCGGCCGCGGCGGATTCGGGCGTATTAGACAGAGACATTCGCCTTTGTATCCCGGTGGCTGAAACGGTTCGCGCGCCAGTGGTGCAACTTTGTTGAAATGATCCAGAATCAGTTGCTTTTGGTTCTCTCCGAACAATTTCAAAGCGTAGTTGATCTCTTTTTCGCTTTCATTGTCATGCACAGAGTTTGTAGTAGGCGTGTAAGTTGCCGCGTCCAGCAAGACGAGAGAGGCTGGGTATTCGCTGTGCCGGCCTCGCCACAAAGAGGCCATCTCGTACGCGATCAATCCACCAAGAGAGTAGCCCCCCAAAATGAACCTATGGCTCGGAGAAATCCGCTTCTCTACATGGTTGAGATACAGCTCTGCCCATTGCGGTATTGTCTGGGGACCCTCCGATTGACCAAAGAACGGGTCATGAATGACCAAGACATCAAAGATATCGTCTAGGAACGGGATCAAGGGCGAAAAGATACTACCTTGCCCCCAGAGTCCGTGAATTAATACGATGGTGAGTCGGGAATTTGACCGACGATGATGTTCAAAGTGCCAAGTGGGCTCATTGGGGCCTCCTTCAGTACTCCTTGTGGGGATCATGTCTCCTAGCGCAGCCGGGGTGGGCGAGTTTAGAAGATCGAAAACATAGAGTCTGCACATCAGCCGACGGTTGATTCTTGACACCAGTCTTGCGGCCTGAAGAGAATGCCCCCCAAGATGATGAAAGCTGTCGGCAATACCGACCTCCTCACCCAGCACGTTCGCAAACTCCTCACACAGGGCGCGCTCTACGTCGCTACGTGGCAGCACGCGGACAGCCGACGATCTATTGGCCTTAACGATTTGTGCACTCTTCGCAAGCGCTCGGCGATCGACTTTGCCGTTATCATTTATGGGCATCTTGTCTAGCACCCGAATCACGGAGGGAACCATGTAGGATGGCAACTTCACCTTGAGCTTGTTGCGCAGCTGCTCTTCGATCTTTTGCTTCAGTCGCTGCTGGAGCGGCCGGTTGGTCAGAGAGTGAAAGGCGCGGTCATGATGGTCGGTAGGGAAGCGAAACAAGACCCTGGCTCCGGCGATTCTAGGTGGATAGCGGTGGAACACGGCATCCAAGCCGCCACTCTGAGAGGCCTGCCGGGCCCAGCTGATTTCCACAGAAAAATTGGTGAGACGGGCCACTTCGTGCAAGTCGACAACCGAGAGCGACGGAGCACTCCTTGCCGCTTCGCGGCAAGAGCTAATCCAGTCGTTGCCATCGAGATTTTCGTCCGTTGCGCTGTCTAGCGACTCTAGAACACATCGCTCAAGGATGGTTTTGCTGTACGGAATGTTGCTGACCGCTGCGACAGCGGTGCTCGGAAGGGATTCCAGAAGTTGTAGAAGCGACTGACGGTCTAGCTGATACGACACAAAGTCGGTCCACTGCCCCTTGTCGACCTGGTAAATGGGCTGCGACCGTTCCTTCTGGCGTTTCCTGTATACCACAGCCGCGTATCGATAACAGCTGAGCTCGTTGGTTGCCCTCATCCGCTTAGGTAGGATCTCGACGTGGTCTACAAGGTCCGGTAGCCGAGCCTCCAACGCCGTGAAAAATGCGGGATCAATAAGTAATTCCTCTTCCGCTCGTTCTATCTTTGCCATCTTCTGTCTGACTGCGCCCGGCGTTGCTGTACTGTTGATATGTAGTGCCTGCGTCACTTGGAACTGTCGATAGAGAGCGTAGGATCGCACGTCACCGAAGAACAGACGTTCGACGCTGTCCAAACGGAGGAGGTCCTCTATTACCCTCAATAGATACTCAGGAGTAGGAAAATACTGTGCCGTTGAATTGACCACGACTAGGTCAGGTGAGTTAAGCCTGTCAGTACGAGCGACGTCCGTGACCGTGCCGACTCGTACCTCAACCTTTCCCCGTAACGACGGTACCGATTGGGCCGCCTTGTTCGCGAACGTTGCCGCTTGTTCAGCAAGCTCAAGACCGACATAACTTTGCAGAGATTGGGGTAGATTGAACAGGATCATTCCACTGCCTGTACCCACTTCTAAGATGTTGCGGGGCTCACCACCGTCGAGGATAGCCGCGATAGTGTCATCCAGCCACTCTTCCATCTCCGTCCTGTCGATTTCACTCCCATCATACATGGACGTCCATCCAACAAAATCTCTCCCTAGCTTACTAGGGCCTATGTTGTCGATGCCAGCATACGCGGTTACATCAAAGTGCTCCCTCCACGTTTCGACCTGTCCTTGCTCGCTTGTGCTGTCTGCTGTCTCCCATTCGGAGAAACCCTGACCGTCAGAGATGGTGATAAAGCTAACCAACTCCGGTTCCTGGCCATCTGCATCACGTACTACTGTCACAGCGTCATTGATAGACTCATAGGCAAGTAGTGCATGCTCCACTTCCCCTAGCTCGATACGGTGTCCTCGTATCTTCACCTGGTAGTCCATGCGGCCAAAGAACTCGAGCTGGCCATCCATCGGCCGGTATCGCACGTAATCTCCTGTCCGATAGGCCTTCACTGACATCCCGTCGATTACCACGCGCACGAATCGATCGCGATCCCTCTCCGGATTGGTGTATCCTCTGGCGACGCCGTCCCCAGTGACGACGAGCTCTCCTAAGACTCCGATGGGGACCAGGCGCTGCTGCGGATCCATGACATATGCGCCTGAATTGCTGACGGCCCGCCCAATGGGCACACCGTTTACACACCTTTCTTGCGGGAGTATGCGGTACAATGTGCTAAGCACTGAATTCTCTGTAGGGCCGTAGGAATTGTAAACACCGCCTTTGACTAATTGGAGTACTTTGGACGCATCCTGTGCATCTAAACGGTCTCCAGCTGTAAAAAGTACTCGAAGTGCTTGGAGCGTGGTGGGAGAAGCAACGAGGCATTCCTTCAAGAAGGCCGGAGGGAAAACAGCAACTTCGACTCGCTCTTTGTTGAACAAGTCACCCAACATGACGCCGTCCAAGGCTGTCATGTCGTCTATGCAGATTATTGTTCCTCCGTTCAATAAAGGGGTGTAGATCTCCGACGTTGACGTGTCAAACGCGATATTGGTCATGTGTGCAACTGGAACAGCTTCCCAAATCCGCGAGAGCACGTCGGCTGTCCGTAGTATGCCACGATGCTCAACCATAACTCCCTTAGGTTTGCCTGTCGATCCCGATGTGAACATGACATACGCTAGGCTAGTAGCCGAAGGAGCCACAGAAGCCGCTGCCAGTCCGTGACTGGCCTGGTCAACCTGAGCCGAACGGTGGAGGACGTCGGCAATAGAGACGGACTCGACATCAGCTACCTGAATAGCCGGAGCCGGCACATCTGGTCCGAGAAGAAGCAGCTTGTGGCCCGGGACGGTTGAGAGTATGGCCTCGATGCGTGACTTAGGCAGTTTGATATCCAGCGGCATATACGCGAGGTTCGCCTTCAGGATCCCAAGGAACGCTACAATCGTCTGACATGACCGTGGGGCAAGAACGCCAATAAGTGTTTCGGCAGGAATGCCAGTGTGTATAAGCCAGCTGGCCAGCCTCTCCGATCTTTCATCTAGTTGGGCATATGTCAGCTCGCCAGTGGAGTCTTTAACGGCCACAACGCTAGGAGAAGCGAGAGCCTGGCGCTGGAACGCCTCGACCACGCTGGAATCGCGCGCATACCCCGTGCGCTTGATCTCAAGAAGGCCCATTTCGCGTAGCGTGGAGATGCCATCGGTGAGCTGTAGCGAGGCGACCGGTATCTGCGGCACCTCAAGGCCTCGTTTGAGAACCTCGTAGAAGACTGCAATCATCCCGCCGATAGTTCGTTGATGGTAGAGTTCTGTCGCAAATATAACAGTGCCACGGATGCAATCTGCTTCTTGGAACAGGTGAAACTCTAGGTCTAAGCTCGAGCCCGGCACGACGCTCAGCTGTTCCGTCTCCAGGCTGTCGGGCGTGGATCGCCTTAGGTTCCGTTTAGAGCATAAGGAAAATACGACCCGAACAATAGGATTACGCGACCCGCCTCTAATATCCATCGATAGCTCCGAAACGATACTCTCGAATGGGACATCTTGGTTCGCATGTGTGCCCTCTGATGTTCTGTGAACTTGGTGGACCAACTGTTCGAAAGTTTGATCATCGTCGACCCGGATTCTGATGCATTGCAAATGAGCAAACAAATCAGCTCTGCTCTCCGGCTCTTCACAGCTCCGGTCCTCTGTTAGGGTGCCCAAAGTCGCATCGTCTGCGCCAGTAAGCCGGTAGTGTGTTGTTCTAAACGCAGTGAGCAGAACAGTAAAAGGGGTCACTTGGTGTACTTCGCAGAAGTTCTGTAGGTCTCTATACAGCGAACCACTGAATTCAACCTGTTGCTTCTTGGCTGTTCCCGACAGTATAGTCGGTCGTGGCTTGTCGCAGAGAAATTGGGCTGGATGGCTTCCTTCTAGCTGTTTGACCCAGTATTCAACCTGCCGTTGGTGCTCCTCTGTCTGCCCCTGCTGCTTCTGGCATACAGCAACGTCCCGAGATTGGATGGGTAAAGGCTCTGCTACTGAGAGCGGATCCTGATTGCTTGAAGACATATTTGCACTCGTCAACCCTAGGGAATAGCCCAAGAGGTAAGTTTCTATATTGGGTTTAGGTGATGGATATAGGCGAGACGAGGGCTTGCAGGGGTAGTTCTGCATATGAGTGTCATTAGTCGCCTAGCTCTGGAAGATAGCACCCCGGTACTATGCTAGATAGGAGACGCTGTAAGAAGAGCCCTAGGACTCTATTGTGCCAAAGGTATATGACTCCTAGAGGTGTCGGTTTCTCTCGGTGCACAGGGATGAATTCGGTCCCCATCGGGCGCCGAATCGAAGTACCGAATATTGCAAAAGCGCCGATACGGGCCTTCTATGAGATTTATGGCGTGCTCTTGCGAGGTGCATGCACTTGGGTTCTACATACAGTCAGGGCCAACCCTGGATTCTCTTCGCACGCCCCAATACTTTTGTCCGCAATCATATACTTTGCTGGCTGATCCTCTATCAGCTGCTCCGCTAGGATTATTGTCATTTGGAATTACACTGTCAGTCCAGGCTCTGCATGCCTACCATCTCCCAAAACAGCCCACGTCTTGCCATAAGCTGTTTGGCGTTGCCAATCTCGGCTATAGATCCTTCGCGCATCACGCAAATTATGTCGGCATTCATGACTGTGCTCAAACGATGGGCGACCATAATGGTAGTACGGTTCTTCTTGACTGCATCAATGGCCGCTTGCACGATAGCCTCCGACTCACTATCGAGTGCCGACGTGGCTTCGTCTAGTAGTAAAAGCTTGGACTTGCGCAAGAATGCACGGGCGATAGTGATGCGCTGTTTCTGCCCGCCGCTTAGCATGCTGCCGCCTGTACCCACTATCGATGATAACCCATCACTACACGTAAGATGTTGTTAGATCTTATCCACCTGGGGCTTTACACTTGGGTAAGAGGATACTGACGGGAGGGAGTGAACAAATTCAAGAATATTAGCTTGTCTGCACGCGGCTAGAATGTCATCGTCACTGACTTGTCCTACTAAACCCACGGCAATATTTTCTCTCATGGTACCGGAGAAAACAACGGGTTCCTGGCTGATTAGTGAAATTGTGGATCGATAAGCGTTTAAATCTAGGCTACGTATATCATGTCCATCAACGAGGATCTGCCCCTGATGGAATGGGTAGAATCGTGCGAGAAGAGAGAGGCATGTGCTTTTCCCACTGCCACTCGAACCTACCAAAGCGAGCGTCTGCCCGGGCTCAACAGTAATCGTAAAGTCGTCCAAAGCACGTTTGTCTGGTCTGGAGGGATACGCAAAAGACACGTTCTTCAAGGTCACCCGACAAGGGTCAAGGCCGTGAAGAAGCTCGTGTTGTGTTCTCTTGTGCTCCAATATGCCAGACTCCGCGGGCCGCCACCGCAGTTCATTCTCAGGATCATCAAGTTCCGCTATATACTGAAGGTCCTGGGCCGCATGCATCGCCTTGCCGGCATCAGGTGCAAAGGTAAAGATTGAACCGGCAATCTGAGAGCCCGATATGAGACAGACAAAGCATACATAGACCTGAAAATCAGAGTATTCGCGATCGGCAATCAGTGTCCCACCGTACCAGAAGGCAAGGGCGGCGCATAAATACACAACGGATTGCGATGCAGCGTAGAGCGCCGAAGCAACCAGTATGGATTGGAGAGACTTCGCTGCTCTCTTAGCAAGAAATCCGTCATAGAGCATGAGAGCCTGCTCCTCAAGACCTAACGAAGCGACAGTTCGCATGGAGCGCACTATTTGTCCTGCGTATGCGGCTGAGTCCACTCCACTTTGCCTAATTCGAGCGTCGAATGCTGAAAGCACTTGGAGACGCAACCAACCGCAAGCAACAACAGCAGGTATCGTTGCTGTACAAACAAGAGCCAGCTTCCAACCGATGGCCAATGAAACTACTATACCACCGACAATGGTGGAAATGAAGGTCAATATACCTCCCAGGACCGGCCCCCCCATACCAGCAAGATCGTCGGTGCTTTTTGAGAGTACGCTCGAAAGCGCACTTGGTGAGTTTTTGGCTTGATCGAAGAAAGCCATGTCCTGTACTGTTATACGATGGCAGCAGATCTCGCGAACCCGCTGGGACAGCTTCTGCGTTGCGCACGATAGAGTAATTCCGAGTCCTAGCCAGAGTATGAATCCCGCCCCCGCAAGAGCGACATAGAGACCGGTCCACAGATTAACGCCGTGTCTCAGCTGAGTGTACTGCGCTCGAGGCAGCCCAGTGATTGTTAGTAGCTTTGCAAAGAATATGGATTGGCTGGAATCAATCAGTCAACGCCTGCTTGAGGGCAAAAGAATATGGAGGTATGAAAAGGGACTCACACTGGGATTTCCAACCCTGCAAGTATTGCACATGCAAGGCCAATTAGCAGGAGTTTCCAGTCGGGCCTACTCATGAAGAAAATGAATGACAATGCCCCTTTGGCGCTTGGGTTGTAGGAAGTGTCCTTGGGCTTCTCCACAACACGGCAAGTAAAAGATGCGCCGTTCTTTTCATCGTCCGAATTGAAATCATGATCCGGAGTATCATTCAGCATTATAATGCCCTCGTCATCACCCGAGTGCAACGAGCTTGATGCATCTTGACCATTTTCTTTAATCTGTTGCTTCTCGATCAGGTCAGCATATAAACCATTTCGAGCCATCAGCTCGATGTGAGTCCCTTGGTCCACAACTTTGCCTTGAGCGAGTACAACAATTGAGTCAGCATTCCTAATGGTGGATAACCTGTGAGCAATAATAATTGTTGTACGCTGCTCTGCTGCGGCGTCTATAGCTGCTTGTACACCTTTTTCAGACGATGTGTCCAACGCGGAGGTTGCTTCATCCAGAAGAAGAATTTTTGGGTCTCGAACAAGAGCACGGGCAATCGCAATCCTCTGTCGTTGACCCCCTGAGAGCTGGAGCCCCTTTTCGCCTACTCGGGTCTGGTAGCCTTCAGGTAATGCCATGATAAAGTCATGTGCATACGCCTTCTTGGCAGCATCGACGACTTTCTCGAGCCGCGCGCTTTCCGAGGCTGCATCATTCACATTAGAGCATCCGTAATAGATATTGTCAAGTATGGAAACGTCGAGGAGGATCGGATCCTGATCGACGAGACCTATCTGCTGCCTGAGCCAGCGCAGGTTGAGGGTTTGGATATCTTGTCCATCAATAGCTGTAACTGAATTAACGATTTGTAATCCTAGTCGATGAACTTTTACACTTACTAATTGCCCCATGTGTTGGCTCGTAGAATCTTTCTATAAGACCAAGAATGCTACTTTTACCTCCCCCAGAAGGACCAACTATGGCCGTCTTCTTGTCCGCGGCGAATTTCAAAGTGACATGGTCCAACACTTTGGCTTGGCTTCTTGATGGATAGACAAGATCCACATGATCGAACAGGATGTCGCCCTCAACACTAGTTAACTTGTCACCATCTGCTACCAAAGGATCTTGTGGAGACCTTCTAGCAATAGTCTCTAGGAGTGACTCGGTAATAGCGATCCCGGAAGTCAGCGCTTGCAGGGATGGTGCGATTCTAATAATGGCAAACACGCCAATTGTTACAGCCAGTGTAGTAGTTGTGATATCAGTCACAGACATCTCGCCTTTTACCAGGAAGATTGAACCTGCCCAGAACGAGAGCGCATAGATAAGGCATGGCATGGCGTTCATTGACGCCACGAGACCCGCCACCATATTCTGGGCTTTTCTTTCTGCTCGTGCAGCTTGACCTAAGCTTAGAGAGTACCGTTCTCGCAAGAAATTCTGCATCCCGAAGGCCGCTACCTGTCTGATAGCACCGAAAGCTTCTTCAGGGATACCGGCTGCGTAACTGTACTTTTCCCGAGATTGCTTTTGATGCTTGACAGTATATGCGCCGCCGACGGAGAACATCAGGAGCATGGCGACAAAAAATGGAGTTAATATCAGAGCAGTTTTCCAGTACATGACAAAGGCAATAATGAAAGCTGCACAAAATGTGGCTATTGCGCTCAACATAGTCGAAGCTTTACTTGTTATAGCTTCCTGGAGGATGCCCATATCGGACATGATCCGGTTCGAGATCTCGCCAGGACGCAGAATATCAAAAAAAGCCATGTTCTGACGTAATATAGCAGACAGGTACGCGATTCGAAAGGCCCTAGTGATCCGCTCCCCGCTGTAATAGAATCCAACAGTGGCCAGGTATGTAAAGACGAAAAGGCCGATGCTAAGATACACATAGTATAGGCTGAACGTTGAGATTTTCGACCGCAGCTCGGCAGCATCCACGGACCCCGTAGCGAAACCGTTAAAAACACCCACGAGGAGGCCATATATAACCTGTAAGAAGACGCAGTGAGCGAGAATGATCGTTTGGGTGAGCAACAGAATGGCTCAGACGTACGGGAACAAGCGGGTTCAAGGCACCTGCAATAATCGCGCAGGCGGAACTGATGCAAAGGATGGTCCTGTCGAGCTTTGTTGCATAGGTAGCTATTTTCGACCTTCCTCTGTCGTCACTAGGGAGGCCATTCAACTGCCTTTCCAGCACAGCCTGCTTGTGCTCCTCCGGGTTCATCTCGACTTGTGATGGGGTCATGGCTACTCGTCCTATAGTGGTTGCTTTGGGGCAGAAGCCAACTAGGCACAATTTCTGTTGGCGAGGGGTTTCGAGGTAGCTCGAAGCGCAATAAGACACCTGACGGTGATGTTGTTGATCCACTGCTAGATGCCTCGACTAATCAAATGGCCGTATCTAACTAATGTTAACGTTGACAAAAGTTCATGCGTTGGTCACCGATATTATTCGATATAAACGCCGAATACTTACGGGCACCGAACGGACCGACCAACAAATTGAGGCTCCGTCAAGATATACTTGCATGCGTCATGCAGCTGGTACAGTACCAAGTAATGTTCGATTCGAATTGGGGGCGAGATGATAACAATAGCCAGTTAGCAGACGTCTTATCTAAGATGATTGATCAATAAATAATTCTATGTGGGTGGTGCTGAGGCCATATTTATACGGCCGCGGTATCAAAACAATTGGAAATAAAATGATCAGACACTAGGTCTATTTGGGCAGCTTCGACAAGTAGTTGGAACCTTACTTACTATATTCTGTTGTTGAGTCTCGATTGCATCTTTATCGTTAACAGAAGTTCAGGAGCTCGAGGTATAAGGTACTGTGTCAAAATGTCTGTCGAATATCCCAGTCCAAGCGTGTTTGCGTTCCCGCTCAAGCCAGAGGAATATGCGCCGGCGCCTTTACCGTCCCTCGAAGAATGGAAGAAGCTATGGGCGGCGTGGGATCTCGTGACCACCAAGATGATCCCTGCCAGCGCCTTGATGGAGAGGCCGATTCCCCTGCGTAATCCTCTCCTGTTCTACCTGGGTCACATTCCAGCATTGTAAGTTTGGTTTGTCATTAGCTAAGGTATATATCATGAACTGACATAATCGTCTTCATATACTAGTGAAGACATACACTTGACGCGGGCCACCGGTGGCAATCCGACTGAGCCAGCCATTTTTCATGATTTCTTCCAAAGAGGCATAGACCCCGATGTGGATGACCCGACTAAATGCCATGATCACAGCCAACTGCCAGAGTCATGGCCTACACTTGAAGAGATCCTTGACTACCGCGAGAGAGTCAATGAAAGGATCACTGCGCTGTACAACGATCCCGACGCAATGAGCAACCGAACCATCAAGCGTGCACTCTGGATCGGGTTCGAGCATGAAGGTTAGCGAAACAGCCCCTACAAGTAGTAATTCTGAGCTTACGGTCTTATAGGCCTCCATCTGGAGACATTCTTGTACTTGACCGTACAAAGCCCGTCTGTCTTACCCCCACCTGGACCGACACCCGACTTCGAGGCAATGGCGAAGAAAGCATTTTCGGAACGTGTGCAGAACCAATGGTTCGGGATACCCGATCAGACATTTACAATTGGGTTCGATGACCCAGAGAGTGATGAAGGGCCGAACCGATTTTTTGCATGGGACAACGAACGCGAGCCCTACTCGGTCAGTGTGCCAGAATTCGAAGCACAGGCGCGCCCGGTGTGCAACGAGGAGTATGCTAGATATCTTTTCACCACTGGCAAGAGAACGATTCCCATTACCTGGACTCAGGACCCGAACGCATCTTTGGCAGCATCTGGGAACGCGACCCTCAACCAGCTGATGAGCGACAATGGCGATATTGCCTTGACACAGTTCATCGCCAGTCTGGCAATCAAGACGGTGTATGGTCCTGTACCTTTGGCATGGGCGCTTGACTGGCCTCTCATGGCTTCATACAATGAGGTCGAAGGCTACGCCGAATGGGTGGAAGCGCGTATCCCTTCTTTACACGAGGTGCGAAGCGTTCATGAGTATGCCGAGAAGCAGAAAGCGAAGCGCAATCCCCCTTGCAACAACTGTAGCCCAAGATCGCAACCTGATCCTGAGGAGATCTTTGTAGATTTGACCGGCTGTAATGCTGGCTTGCAACATTTTCATCCCATCGCCGTCACTCAAAACGGTAATCGGATCTCTGGCTTGGGGGATATGGGAGGGGCATGGGAGTGGACTAGCTCGGTATTTGCTCCGCAGCCCAACTTCAAGCCCATGGATATTTATCCTGGTTATAGTGGTACGTATATGGCTCGTGGCTCTGTAGCATACACTGGCTAATGGATGATAACTGCAGCGGACTTTATGCACGGGAAGCACAAGGCCGTCGTGGGCGGGTCCTGGGCCACCCACCCGCGCATTACAGGACGCAAGTGTTTGTGAGTTTTTGTTCCTTCGATCACAGTGGTCAGCTAATTAACTTAACCGTCTAGCTTGAATTGGTGGCAAATGAATTATCTCTACCCTTGGGTTGCTGTTCGTCTTGTGCGTGACACGGTAAAAGCTAGATGAGCAGAGTGAAGACCTAGACTATAAGATAAGCATGCTATTCTAGAGTGGTGCTACGTTCACTCAGCACAGTTCTTCTCCTCGCTCGATCAAATGTTTGTTACAGTACTTCTTGCTGGTGGCCTTTTTTGGCGATTAGTGCCGATTTAGGCGCCAAATTCGTCTTTCTTGCATTGGTTATGATCCTCTTAGAACGTGGATCTATATGGCATTCCATTGGCCAGCGCTGATAATGGCCAGCAATGCGTAGCCCTAATAGTTTTAGATGCTAACCAGAGATGGGGCATTCTCTGTAGTGATTCATGAAAGGCTTGGTCGAGTTTTCAGAAGTGCTGTCCGGTACGGTCACCGAAAGGGCTGCGACACAGATCTGTTACTCGCTTGCTTCCTGTCGGTCCGATTGGGCGCTTGCTACTGGCTCACCTTTCAAATCTGAAGCCTTGTTGAATGCTTTATATCGGTCCATACGTATGCGTGCCAGGGGGCAGCCTTTTGACTCAGCTGGTGCCTGGTAGACAGTGCATCCTGCATTGGCTCTTCCTCTCACCGAGACTTGGTACGTATTTTTAGTCTGTTGCATCTCGAAAGCCATAGCTAATATGCCTGTCCACTACAACATCTAAAGTGTGTCATCAATTCAACAACAGTCAACGGCTCAGTTTCAACTAGATTATGTACAAATATGGCTATCCCACGACAGATCATCATCGTCGGCTCTGGTGTCTTTGGCTGTAAGTATTCTATTCGGTAACTAGCTCAGGATAGGACTGACCTATGTAGTATCTACGGCGTACTATATGAGCCGCGACGCTACGTTTGCCAAAAGTAGTATCATCCTCCTGGATGCCTGGGACTTTGAGCCGGACTCGCAATCGGCTTCTGTGCATAATCCTGGAGCAGCAAATGCAGACACGTCGCGCATTATTCGTCGTGTCTATCCACAAGGCCCATACGCTGCGCTCGCAGATGAAGCCGTGCAGCGCTGGCATGCAGAGTGGGGCAGAGATGGCCGATATGTCGAGCAGAAACTATTATTTGCTGCAGAAGGCTCTTCCATTAGGTCCCCCCGAAAACGCGGCGAGACCGTTAATTATATCAAGGATTCCTATGACACTAGTTGTGAGATGACGCCTGGGGGTGCCGAGTCGCTAGAACTCTGGGACTCACTTGATAGGATACGTTCAGAGCTTCGGTCATCTGCGAAGCCATCTGGGAATGTCGATAACACAGAAGAGAAGCAACAGGAAAGGTCATTGAGAGGCTTCATCTCGAATGATTGCGGTTGGGCCAATTCTGGAGCAGCTATGGAGTGGTTACGACAAGAAGTGGTTCGCATGGGTCGTGTCGAGCGTCGTGTTGGCGAAGTGCAGCGTTTGATTTGTTCGAATGACGGAACACGAGTCAACGGGGTCCGTCTTCAAGATGGGGTAGAACTCCGAGCAGATTTGACCATTGTTGCCGCAGGCTGTCACTCAGCACGCATCCTGGGTGTGCCAGAAATGTGTAGTGTCGAGAGCGCAGTTGTTGCATACATCCAGCTCTCCGAGGCTGAGAGCAAAGAGCTCAAGAAGAGAAACTGGCCGTTGATGATCAACACTCATCGAGGAGTATTCTGCGTTGGACCTGATCACGACCATTGCCTAAAGTTGGGGCAATGCTCAGCCATGAGTAAAAGGGAAATCTTGAAAAGCGCTTCTCTCGCCACCGAGCCGCAAACCCGCTTCTCAGAAGCCATCCATCAGCCTGATTGGGAGAATCCCAAGGTTGGTTGGGGGTGCGACGTCATGCTGTCTGGTCAAGGTGATGTTGTGGACCCTGAGGGTGCCTCAATAAACAAGACTTTGGCCGCTTTCCGTTTATTCCTTCTGGAGCTACTTGGACCGGTAGACCTCGGAGGTCTTGACATTCTAGAATCAGATGACGCCCTACTCAACAAGATCGCAGTCAGACCGTTCTCTCGGGTACATAAGTGTTGGTACAATGACACGCCGACATATGATTTTATAGTTGACTATCACCCTTCGTATGGCAGGAGTCTATTTGTCGCTTCGGGAGGCTGTGATCACGCATTCAAGTTTCTACCGGTTTTGGGGGAAAAGGTGGTGTCCATACTCCTTCACCAAATGGATATGTCTAGCTCTTCGGCGCCAATAGATTCTTCGATAGAAGAGCTGTGCAAACTATGGAAGTTTCCAGCGCATCTCGTGCGCTAAAACCTTGTTGGGTGCTCACAGAACCTGGATATTAATCCCCATAACCTGAATTCGAGATAGTGTCTAAAGTTCTATTCGTTTGTTGATATCAATGCTGTTTCTGTTATAAACTGTCCATTTCTTAGTCACATGCCATCTAGAATACGTTACATGATAGCTTGACCATTCCGCCAATGACGTTTCTACAATGATCGTTATGTGTGATTTCTCACTTGCCAAGGTCTTGTGCCTCGTGGTGACTGGAATGCTAGAGTTTTAGTAGTCTGTTATGCGGGTACAACTCAAATCCATCGATCTGCAACCCTGCGACAGCCGATGGTACTATCGGCGAGGATCGACTCACTCAGTATCGGGGCGAACAAGCTGTCAAATGATTGGAGGGTAGATGCATGACAAAAATAGAGACGATCGAGGAAGCTTGTGGGCCAGAGCAGCCGAAATACAGGTTACGGGACTTTTGGGAGGTGGGAAGGCACACGACGATGTAGATGACTGCATACCCCTCTCTAACAGAATTATTATACATTGGCCGTTCCTAACCAAAGTACCGTACAAAGCGGAAGCTTGGCGACGCGTCAGCCGCCAGCCAGGCCCCCTGTCATCCGGGGTAAAACTGGAGTGATAGAAGCGACAGAAGCCGAGACGAGATCGAATTGAACCTTTAGGTTGACTACATGACTACTAGCAAAAAGACACACCAATAAAATGTTTTGAGAGTGTCCGTCGGACCCCGACGCATGTAACCCAAGAGACAGAAGGATCCCGTACAGTCGCAAACTGCATGCACCAATCGCCGAACGGCATATAAGGCCATGAGGATACCACGGCGCCGAGGAGGAGGAGGACGGATTGCAGCTCCGTGAGCGATCTTCGCCTATCATACTTTCTCCACAAACGCAAATTGAGTTAAAAACGCTCCCCACTTACCAAAATGGCCACTGGCGCCCGTCCAAAGGAGGAATATGTAGCAGCGCCCCTGCTTCTTCCCGCATGGGTGAACCCGGACCTTGGCCGTCTCATGGTCGTCCACAAGCAAACGGAAGGCAGCTACTTCCGGTCGTGGGCTGAGTCCAAAGTCGACTTGCCTGCTGGAGCCGTCTTTGCCCGCATCAACGGCATAACGCCTACATCGCAGCAGGACTACGCCACGGTGCAGAGTGGGCCTAACATGCACTTTGTCTGGAACTCCGATCTCTACTACTGTAATCATTCCTGTGCGCCAACTCTCGAATGCGACACGTCGACATGGGAAATGCGGGTGAGTCGCGACAGACCCCTCAAGAAGGGCGACATATTATCGGTGTTTTACCCGAGCACGGAGTGGACTATGGACCGCGAATTCGAGTGCTGGTGTGGTGCTGGGGAGGGCAAGTGTTGTGGGATTATCAAAGGGGCTAGAGATATGAATGACCGGCATTTGCAGCGGTTCTGGCTCAACGATCATATCCATGCTCTCCGTAAACAGAGGGCAAATATCCCGCATTTATGAAGCATCACTAGTGGTAAAAGTTTATTAGGTTCGTGTCCCCCGTCCCCCTATAGCCTGGTCATCAACCCAGCTGTGACTGATTAGTGGAAGTAATAAAGTTGCATCTTAACTTTTTTAGTTCTCGACTTAATCGGGTGAAAAGTGGATGAAAGGGGAAGCGGTCTACGGGTAAGCCCGAAGCGGGCCGCAGTGCCAGGAAGGCGGTCAGGAATAACCGGCAAAATAATGGCAATGAACCATATGTATGGGGTACAGTATAAAAGTTAGCCTTGCGTCAAATCTACTCTACACCCACTAATTGGTCAAATAATTCCAGAAAATAGAAGTAGCGTGTTCTGGTTTAAGTGGCGGCTTTTGTGTTATAATTTTCCGCTGAGTTAACACGCTCTGATTGGTAGCTATTCGATGTGTACTCTGTATAACCATTAAAAGCTGAGAGCACCCTTAGGGCCAACTATACTAAGTAAGGTTAGCCTCGAGTACTGGCCAGTGGCACATGCTCCAAAATAGGAAATAGTTAATAATAACCTACAGTGACCACTAACCAAACAACCCTTGGACCAAAGACTAGTCCAAAATAGTTATTTCAGGGGAACAGCCTGGAACCTTCGAGGCCCCGGGACCTCGGCCGCTGTTACTGAAGGTCTTACTATCGAAGTCAATTCCTGGCGATGTGAGCAATTTCTTCATTGGGAGTACATATATTATAGACTTACTTTACACGGAGTATGAATGTAATATGGAGTTGTTGACGAAGCACAATATCACGTCAGCCTGTCTAGCTCAGTCCTTGTAGTCTATACTAAACTGGTATAGTCTACTGTGGCTCAAGATGCTAGGCAGACGAGATCTACAGGTTCAGAATGCCGCGTATGGCTTGGAGAAATCCTCTGAGAACGGCCTCGCAAAGGAAAGGATTCAAGCGCGGAAAACCATAGAAGGGGCTCGTGATAGAGTCTATTGACTACGTAGTAGGTCGTAGCTAGATTATGAAACAATACTAGAAGAGCGAGGAATAATCTATACGCTGTTAGCTTTGAGTCTTCCTTTCCACGATGGTATGTCGAATATGCGGCTTTTCATGAATTTCCTATTATCTTACGCGAAAGAATCTGACCACTGCCCGCTGCCCGCCTAACCGCCAGGGCAGCGGGGTAGGTTTTATACATCCTTGTCATCACTGATACCACCTTTCCGAGAAGACGAATCACACCCTTCTCCCCAGATGCGGCGCTTCTTGTTGTTGTACAGGCCAAGAGGAAGGCTTGCGGGACAGCCAACGACTGGCTGATAGTTATGTTTGCTATCGTAGCCCTCAAGATTGGACACGTGACGCTTAACAAAAGTACGAGATGACCAACGCCTTCATCAGAACAATCAAACAGACCTATATCATTTCATCGCATTGAGAACGCATTGGACTTGACCGGAAAACTCGGGATCGACCGCTGCTTCTACTCCCTCCCGAACTCCAAAACACTGGTGGTAGTCATGGATAGTATCGTTGCGGGACAGCGTTTACGTTCAGCGTGCAATGAATGTCACGCATCAAAGGTGCCCTTGTCCCACTAGCTTGTCACGCAAGTGACGGCCCAACTGACGACACGTTGGACAGGTTAAATGCAGCGGCGAAAGAACAGGTTGCCAGCGATGCATTAGCGCCGGTATGTCATTTGTGTTGCTTGGAGTCCAGTACAGACTCTTACCGACCGCTTTTAGGATATGACTGTCAGTTTGAAGTCTCCATGGTTGGACGGTGCTCCAAGGGACGCCGACGCCGCAAGCGTGGCCCGGACTCAAGCCCGACGGCCACGGAACGGACAGGCCCCACGGAACGGCGTGGTGTAGTGAATAGCAGTCAAACGGGAGCCTTCCGACATTTGTCAGCCTCTGCAGACTCGTCTACCGGTCCGGACCGTGTCCCCATCGACCTAGATCTCACCCCACTTCTCAACTGGGACTCTGGCGCAGGGGCTGACCCCGCTGGATTGTCTGCCGACGGCGATAGTAACATGTTCTTTGCTGATCGCAACCCATCAGCAACGGGTGACGCCTTCGGCGGTGCTCTGAACCAGCTTGATGTCCCGAGCCCCACGGAAGACTATACTTCAGGGTTGCATATGGCCTTCCTCGCATCCTCCACTATTGATCGTGTCCACACAACGCTTCCCCCTACACCTTATGCAACTACGACAAACACAGCGACTTCACGCACTTCCGAAAACATGATGCAACAACAGACAACTAGAGCCCCAGTCAGTTCCGAAAAACAAACGGGTATTCACATCCTCTTCAATGTTATGGCGAATCTGGAGGCTGAAATCGGCGACCCTGGCGCAAAGATTGATAAGATCATGCATACCGTAAAGACAAGCACCAAAGAGGTTCAGCGCGTGATACAGTCCAGGCAGTGGCAACTAGCTGTAGTCTGTCCGATGCTGGCGCTTGTTGCCATCGAGGTCGCATTAATTCTGATCGAGAATATTGTCGCTCGGTGGAGCGGCAGCAAAAATGCGAGTCTTAATAGTTATTCTATTAGCGACCAGCAAAGTCCACGCTCCTTACTACTTGGTGAATATAGGGCCGAAAGCGAGGAGGCCGGTATGATCTGGAGACATATTATAATAGTCGAGCTTCGGCGCTTACGTAGCCTGATTGAAGCACTCGGAGTGTATCTTGATGACTCGAGTCGCTGTCAGAATGGCCAGCGACCGGTAGATCGTCTAAAAAACTCCTGCGCTTATCAAGACCAGAAAGTAGCATTACTCCTCGCTACTTTACAGAGGCCCGAGGAGATACTCGAGGAAGGGACAGGCTCCGCGTTCTAGAAGTAATCTTCGAAGATAATACATTAAAGGATAAAGAAGGTCGGATTGGTCGATTCGGGCTGGGACCATCAATTGCAGTCTCGTGATACCTCTACTTGGACAGGAGCTGCTGTTGCATTCCAGCGACACCCCCATCGCGAGTTATCTGGATACCGTTCTTCAGTTGGGTTGCTGCTTTTCCGGCTATGTGATCATTCCCTGATGTTATTGTTACATTTATCTTCGAATTTTATGGGACAACGATTTTCTCTGATATGCAACACCACCCTTTTCTATCTACCTAACTCTCTCCCAATTACTATGTGTGTGATATTTCTGACTTTGGCTGCCTGTGAGGCAAAAGATCTTTTGATGCTTGTTTGCTCTTCAAATAAAAGTATACCTGACTGCCTCTCGAACTTTTTTGGCAATATCCAATGCTTCTTCGCGACTATTACGCGAGAAAACATTGAAATAAGCTAGAAATGTGTTCCGACCGGTGCATGGATGTGGGACATGTTGCCCTCGTTTTACAAGACAACCACATTTACTAATGAATGCTTTGAGATCGGGCCTTCGTGCAACGAGGTCCGCGCAGATGTCTTCTGAGTCAAATATACCTTCACACGAGGAGGAAAAATCGGCCGGAATGAAAACCATGACACTGGTGTACTGTGGTCCCTTGAGGAATGGGCGGGCAAGAGCACGAACGCGAGTCGTATCACCCACAGCTGAAAGTAATGCCAAGCCCCAGTAGTCGATTCCGTACGTGGATTCAATGATTTGGGAGCCTGTCATTCCTAGAGGGCGAGGGTTGATCTCAATGAGCCATGCCCTTGGTGTACGATTACTGTCGTTGGTCCGTGGGGAGAGCACCATAACCCCGTCCTTCGTCGTATACTCAACCACAGAGTTTTCTATGCGTCCTTCCAGGTGCATGACCCCACTCCTTAGCCCAAGCGACAATAGCATATCCAGAAACGTTTCGCGCAGAAGCTCAATCTCCGCCTCGGGTAGGTTTGAGGGATAAACACTGCACAGCTCATGAAAGTTGGTTAAAGAACCAAGGCTTGGTCCATTGACATCGGCCGACTTTGGTAAATCATCGCACACCTCGAAGAACAGCAGCTCTCCGTCCTGTAGTACAAGATTGACATCAACCTCGGGTCCGTCGCAGTAGGGCTCAATGACGAACTCGGGTCCGTGACGGGAAGCAATAATCGCGTTCACTGCATCCTCAAGGGCGCTACGTGAATCGACACGGTATACCCCTTCAGAACTCCATCCCCCACAGGGTTTTATAATCAAAGGATAAGGGAGGTCTTGCTCCTCAGCTATCGAGACAGCTTCAGCGAGACTCGATGCACGATAGGCTTGGTGACCGGCGAATACACTTGTAAGATACTTATTTGTGGCAACCCTGAAGCCCTCTGGCGATGCGGCTGGCAGGCCCATAACCTTGGCGGCCTCGGCGACATAAGGCCAGTAGGTGTCCGCAAAAGTGACGATGCCGTCCACAGGCTTACCGTATACCCGTAAAGATGCGAGGATGTGATCCTTCATATCCTTTGTTGGAGGGTTAGTCAGTTTTGTTGGAATGAAAGCCTCACATATATGGGCGTTATTAGGGCTTTCAAGCCAGTGCCCTGCGTTATCCAAGACAACCAAACTAATTCCTAGAGCCGCAGCAGCAGTATAGAGCCCAAGCCCATCTTCCTGGTGGGAGCTGTTCGCTTCCACAAGCACGAGAGTTTTCTGGCGGGCTGTCTCTGGAATAATCCATGGGAACGAGAGTCGATTATCAAGTTCTTCGTCCAACTGCTGGGATACAGTTTCCCACTCAGCCTGGGGCACCGGACGCACGAGTATGCAGGCTGCAGCTGCAGCAAATATTGCTGGTAAGGAGATGTCGTCTTTGTCAAAGACCACAATAGGGGAGGTTTCACTTTCGTAGCGTTGCAGTGGTTTTGTAAAGGATCTAATTTGCTCGACAAGAAAACAATCGTGAAGACGTATATTGATAATATCCGACCGCACTATGTATCCCTTTGCCAGTGGGACTATGAGCTTGATTAATCGCTCTTGACCACCTTGGGCCACCGACGCTAGGAGACTCTGCAAGAACAATTCGTAAGCTTCTGCTGCGCCAAAGGATTTTGCCTCGAGTAGCGTTGATTTCTCCAGATGAACAACAAAAACACGTAGATCGTTAATGCTCCTGGAGAGGCTGGCCCCTCCAACTGTGCATACACCATGGATGTTGGTAAACACAATGTCCACGGCTTGCCACTGGTAGTTTTCCCGGTACGATGTTCGCAAAACTCGCCATGTGTGTTCACTGAGTAAGACTGCTCACATTCAGTTCTAGCGACCGGACCCCGCATGAGATATAAGCCTTACCGTGTTGGTTCCATATCTGAATTGTGTGAGAAGCTGCCATGGTGTGAAGCACTCATCAGGTCAAAGGTGAAGTAGAGGCTCCCAAATGCGATATTAACAAAGCGTTGGATCAGATGAAACTAGATAAGGTCTTAATTCCACCGTCTCGGTGGCGCCGAAGCCCTCTTTATGTAAACTGCCTACGAAACAAAGGAATCCAACGACAAAGGAATGGAGAACAAAGAGACCAGGCATGGCATGTGCTTAGTAAGGCACGGTGACCGAGCGTCAATTTATTTTTAAAACCAGGGTACGGATACATATTACAATCTGTAACTGTTAGACGGCGAGCTACGAGTCAATAGCGAGTCCTTTGCAGCAGTAGGTTGGTGAAGCTGGATATAGTGGACTTTCACACAAGGCAGAACGCTTTTCTCCCATATAAGCAGCAGAGAGAGCTTTGAAATCGAGAAAAAGAAACTCCAAGAGAGGTTACTCATCAAACAAATGATAACTAAGGCGAAGCCGCGAAGGAGCTTGAGAAGCCGCCAGTAGCCGAAGAAAGAAAATACCAAGACTAATGTATTATTTGTCTTATTTTCGTTATTCACAATACTAAGGATACTTTCAACACTCAATGTTTCAATAGTAAATCTTTGGTTTATCTAGAATACTAGTGTGTGTTGCACCCTTTCATATATATATACATGGTGTCATTGTGAGTAGGGAGTATAGACCAATGTATATTGTTAGTATTAATATTTTCCATTCAAACATCTCTCTCTCTCTCGGCCCCCTCAAGGGACACATGTTAAAGTAATATCTGGTGGAATGGTACTTGAATGTTGAAGGCTGGTTTCAACCCTCTGATCTCCTGGTTCGTAGTTTAGGCAAGTGATCTTGTGATAGCGGGCCGAGCAGTCACGGACTCGCGGTGCCCGAATTTAAACACCGAACGAACGGACCGAGAATCGACATTGGAGAAATTACGCATCGTTCAGGAACCACATAATAATTTACATTGTTGGCGACATCCTTGCCCCTGGCTAAGGCCGCAGCATGTTCCCACGAAGTCCACGCACCAACCTTAGCGTAGACGAAGTCACCCACGCATTGAACGACATGGGAAAGCCAACACCACCGTTATCTCAATACGACCGCGACATGGAAACGATTCCTGGTAATTTGCCTACTACCAAGGCAGGGGCAGATTCAAAGGTCCTCTTGACGAGGCTGTCACAATTCCGCCACTCTTCTCCATCAGCCCCTCTAGCGACTTCGGTGACAGAACAACGAGATGGCATACTCAGAGCATGGGCAATGTTGCTCCATGTGTATCTCGTGTCGGAGACAGTTGCGTTCGCCGTGATTGGCATGGGAAGTAAAAAGTTAGCATGTTCGCACTGGCCAGTGTCCGTTGCTCAAGGTTCGACGTTCTACTCTGATCCTCGACTGACATTTGCGCCTTTCGAGGTTGAGAAGCATCGCAATCAAGTCAATACCGCTGTCACTTTTGTTGACGTTGATGTTGACGATGGAATATTCAGCTATATTGTGCAATCTTCTGAAAGGTTGAATCGCGACCTACGCTTATACACCCAGCACACATGTGTGCCACGCAAGTTTGCGTCCGCATTATGGAACACTCTACTCGAGATTCATTTAGACTTGGTGGATTCAGCTTCTTATAAATGGAACAAACAGTCAATTAGTGACACAGACAAGACAGCACTACGATCCTTCTTGCCTCATGCATCGTTTGAGCAACGGATTTCTGTACACGACCTCTGGAGTGAATCAGTCCGAACGGCCCCTCTCGCACCAGCGGTGGAGTCATGGGATGGTGCCTTGACTTACACAGAGCTAGACGGGCTCGCTTACAAACTTGCACATCTTCTGCTGTCTAAAGGAGTGCAGCGGGGCGACTTCGTCCCCTTCTCATTCGAAAAAAGCATTTGGATGGTGGTGGCTATGCTGGGCATCGTCAAAGCTGGAGCTGCCTTCGTAGCAATTGACCCATCGCAGCCAAAGGCACGAGCCGAAGAAATTATTGACCGAGTCCAGGCCAACATCATCTTGGTCTCACCATCGCAGGCCCAGACATTCGCTGACATGGGTAAAGTAACCCTGACAGTTTGCGCGGGTAACCTGACAGGCGAATATTATAAGGGCTCGCATGGGCGATCGCTTCCCCATGTCAGGCCAGAAGACCCTGCAGTATGCATTTTTACCTCTGGCTCAACTGGGAAGCCCAAGGGAATTATTGTCCAGCAGCAAGCACTCGCCACTCGCTTACTGGCAGAGGGTGGAGCTCTTGGATATCGGGGGGCCAGGTGTTTGCAATTTGCTGCATCTACGTGGGATATCTTCATCACTGACATTTTCGCGACATTGGCGTACCAGGGCTGCATCTGCGTACCAAGTGAAGAGGACCGACTATTCAATCTCGCAGAGTTCTGTACCAATTACAAAGTAACCCTGGCGATCATGACCCCTTCACTAGCAAATATGCTGACTCCTGCTTCCTTTCCCACGTTGAGGACTGTGATATTCTCAGGGGAGGCTCTGCGGGCTGATGTGGTGGCACGGTGGTCGTCACAGAGCGGCGTTTCGCTCTACCAAGGCTATGGACCCGCAGAAACAGGAGGTTGCATTATTGGACGCCTTGCTCAGCGTGCAGAGATCCTTGGCCATGGGCTGAAAAATTATACTTGCGTACTTGTGGACCCACGGAACCACGATCGTTTGGTACCTGTGGGGGCTGTAGGTGAGCTCCTGGTTGCCGGGCCAGGCCTACTTCAGGAATACATCCACGACCTCCCCAAAACAAGTGCTACCATTGTCGAACACCCCTCGTGGTGTTCAGACCTGCAAATCGAAGAGACAAGATTCTACAAGACTGGGGACCTGCTCCGTTATAGTATCGATACGCTCGATGGGAGCCTCGAATTTGTGGGTCGTGCAGACGGTCAAGTGAAGTACCATGGTCAACGTATTGAAGTTGGAGAAATCGAGCATCATCTCAGTCAATTCCCCAATGTGGCTTATTGTATGGTAGCTCTCCTCAAAGAAGGTTATTTGAGAGGCCATCTAGTAGCCGTGGTTCAGATCGATGGGCATTCCGGTACTCATCACTCGACTATAAAGCTCGCGATGCATAAAGATGTGGACCGCATTAGAGAGGAAATCAACAAGTTCCTGTTATCACGTCTACCAAAATACATGATTCCAAGCAAACTATTTCTCGTCAGCAACATGCCCTTTAACGCGTCGATGAAACTAGATAGGGCTGCCATCACCAAATGGATCCTGGACATGCGGGCTGAACATACTACGGTGGCGAACCAATCATCGGCTGCCCCAGATGCCACTCAACTGCTTCCCCATGAAAGCACTGCGAGGGCGGTTGCCCAGCTGTATGCCAGTGCTGTTGCAGGAGAGGATGGCTCCCACCGTCGCCAATTTGAAGATCGAGACTTCAAGCTACAATCGGGTGGCATTGATTCCGTCCAGATTATGTCGCTTTCAATGTCTCTAAAAGAGAAATTCGGTGTCCAGATACCAATGGACCAAATGCTAAGCTCGAAGTCAACTATACGCACAATTGCTTCTATTATTGATACTAGCGGAAGTCACCAACGACCGAAAGCTGGGACTCAGGAACAGATCAGTACGGAAAGCAACATAGACCTCATGCTTAAGTCGGTATTCCTTTCGTCCGAGAAGCTCGATAATAACTCGGACATACATCATGTGTTCCTCACCGGGCCTTCTGGTTATCTAGGGATAGAGATATTACGCCAGCTTCTCACACAGTCTGCCTGCCAAATATACGCACTCGTTCGGGGCTCATCAGAAAACGATGCCCGTGAGTATCTCATACAGAAGGCTGTTGCCGCCACATGGTGGAGAGGGGAATACCTTTCCAGGCTTGAGATTTGGCTAGGTGATCTGTCGCGGCCCCAACTTGGTCTTGATTTAGATCGATGGCGTATGCTCCAGGGACTGGATGGACAGGGGATTGATGCAATCATCCACAACGGCGCCAAAGTCCACTACCATATGGACTATGACAGCTTGAGGCTACAAACGTATCGTCAACCATCCAGTTGCTCAAAGCGGTTAACAACCGTGAAAGGCCGCTGCACAGCTTTGTGTATGTATCTGGTGGGCAACAACTCAGCTTCAACGACGGTGACGACGCAACCAATATACAGAAGGCTCTCCAAGGTTCTGGATACGCACGCTCAAAAGCCATGTCAGAGCTTATTGTAAAAAGGTTCGCCGATCATGCAGAGACAAAAGCCAAACATGTTCGAGTTGTCAAGCCTGGATTCATCATTGGCGATGCTAAACGAGGTATTGCCAGTAAGAATGACTTCATTTGGAGATACATCGCGGCCTCAATTGAGATGGGCGCCTACGATAAAGAAAGTGCGAACGGATGGCTGTTTTTGGCAGATATTTCCCGAGTATCAGAAACTATTCTTCACTGCGTGTTCGACCTTGAGTGCAAGCCAGTGGTTAAGGTCCTAGATGGCGTTCAGTTTCACGATATCTGGCTGCTTCTACAGGATGAATTTGACTACAACATACGGCCCGTGCTCCAGCAGGAGTGGCTTTCTAAGCTACGTCAAAGTGTTACCACTAAACAAGAGAAACATGTACTGTTTCCACTTATGCATCTGTTCGAAACAGATAGCCAACCCATCGGCGTGTCTGACGGACCAAGCAGACCTTCCGATGGTGTTAAAGAAGCTCTGCGAGCAAACATCAAACAATTGATTGGGAGTGGGTTGTTTATGTTGCCGGGCTTTCTTCCGACTCCCCCGTCCACCGACGAGGACAGTGCGGATGACAGTATAGCGCCAGTCCAAGATACCTTCGATGTGAAAAGCGTACGGAGACAATTTCCAGCCCTGCACGAAGGCATCATAGCGTTCAACAATGCAGCTGGGACTGCCGTGTATCAGGGTGCCATCGAGAGTACGAATGATTACATGTCTTCATTCCCCATCGAGGTCGGACTTGATGATCCCCAAAGTCAGAGAAAAACAGATCGTCTGATGGAGAAGACCGCCGAATTAGCGGCATTCATGAATGCGGCGCCTGATGAAGTGGGTAAGTTTCAATCACGAGCAGTTCACATGCAGTTGTATATATCTCTTTGGCCAGCAAGGAAGGTGGCTGACGCGAAAAAATAGCATTTGGCCAATCGACGACGATGCTTCTCCGCATCTTGGGCCAGGCACTACGACCCGCGCTGAACTCAGACTGCGAAATGATTGTCTCAAACCTATGCCACGAAGCCAGTGCAGCCGCGTGGATATCTCTAGCCAAAGATCTTGGTATCGCCATTAAATGGTGGGCACCACCGGCGGGGGAGGACCCTTGCCTTTCGCTCGAAACGTTAAAGCCACTTTTGACACCAAAGACGCGAGTCGTCGCTTGCAATCATGTTTCCAATGTTGTAGGGACCATTCATCCCATCCGCAAAATTGCGGATATGGTCCATAGCGTTCCTGGAGCCATCCTGATTGTCGATGGGGTTGCTTGGGCACCTCATCGTCCGATCGATGTCAAAGCTCTCGACGTTGACTTCTACTGCTTCAGCTGGTATAAGGTCTTTGGACCCCATATAGCACAGCTATACGGCCGGCGAAGTGTTCAGAAACGTATGCTGACTGGGATCAGCCACTTTTTCCTTAGTGATTTCCCCGGACTTGACTGGCGCCTGCGGCTTGGTGCTCCTGCCTTCGAGCTTGAAGCGGCTCTTGTAGCCATTACAAGATACCTTAGCCATGTTGGCTGGGAGAATATTATTGCACAAGAGACGGTTCTGCAAGAAGTGCTCCTATCCTACCTTCGACGGCACCCAAGCATATTTCATATTTTTGGAGAGAAGTCATCGAGTCCAGAGAAAAGGGTGCCGGTAATCACATTCCAAGTAATAGGACAGTCCTCTCGAGAAATAATGAACCGGATCAATAGACAAACACAATTCAGGATCGTGTCAGGTCATTGCTGGGCACCTCGGCCGACGCACGATGTGTTGAAACTCGACGACAGCGGCCTAATCAGGGTCAGTTTCGTGCATTATAACACTGTCGAGGAAGTACGAGAGTTCTGCGAGGCACTAAAAGGAGTTCTGAACCCTACAGATGATAGTACTTGATTGCTTTCAATGTCACATCTATCATCCCTCGTGACCGGGACACACTCATAGAAGCTAATGCCAAGCTTTTCGCTCCTATTGAAACTAAGCCCGAAAACCCGGGCATGGTTGTTAAATGCTTTGCTACGAGAAAGTTTGACTAGGCATACCTGAGGTTTTCGCGCAGTTCCAAAATCACTATGCCTGAGGTAAAAGAGGCAGAGTGTTTGATTAATATAGTTGACTAAATCACACGGCGCCTGACAATCATTTCGGTAGATATTGGTACATGTATATCAGTACAATATTGATACTGCTAGAAGTCACATTGTTCTAAAGCACGGAAGAAGTATTAGACGTATCATCGCCACTGTGCCCACTTAATTGCTCATTCATTTCTGCTCCGCCGGGTACAGTTCATCCTGCAACTGTCCAACCAGTCCTCCAGCCACCAATACGCCCGACGACATAGCCATCGCGACGACCTTTACAGGAGAAGCACAGTCACCCGCCGCAAAGACACCCGGCACCGAGGTGGTATAGAACGGCGCCGTGGTGTCGACATCATCGGTAGGTGTCAGCTGCAGTCCGAGCTGCCCGGCGAAAGGACCATTGCTCTCAGTCTTGGGCTTGTGGGTCTAGCAATCATTAGAGATGGATCAAGACACAATCATACAACAAGTACATACCAGAAAGCCCTCTGTAACATGTGTGCCATCCTCGAATACGATCTGCACATCGGATGCACCGGGTCCCTTAACCAGCTTGGAAATCTTTCTCTGGTCCACTCTAATCCCCGTACCACCAGCTGAATCCTTCAGGGTACGAGCGAGCTCCTCAGCCCCATCAGTGTACAATGTGACTGTAGTAGCAAATCGCCTAGCCATGCGAGCAAAGTGCATGGCCGCCATGGGATCAGCAACGTCGCCGACGGCCAGAAGACCCGCCGAAGCACAACCACGCTCTTCATAGCCGTGGCAGAAAAGACAGTGGAATCTGTCCCAAGCAGTCAGTCAGTTAAAGAAACCATAAAACAAATACACGAAGTGGAATAAGTACTACTCACATGCCAGTGCCCCAACACTCCTTGTATCCATCGATGTCTGGGAAAATATCCCGGACGCCATTGGCTAGTACCAGTTTTCGGCCTGTCCAGACACCATCACGCGCATCGAATGCCTTGAAGTAGCCCTCGGACGTTCTTTGGACCCGCTTGATCTCGAGATCCTCGAATCGGATAGTATCGTAGCGGGCCAGGATGCGCTCGCGAGCTTCCCGACGGAACTCTGCGGGGGCGCTATGATCCCATGTAGCCACGTTATGCATGTGGTTTGACAAGGCGTTGCGATAGACACCCGAGTCGAAGACGACTGCGCGGTATAGTTGGCGGGCGAGACCGGTTGCTACTGACAGGCCAGCTGGACCGCCGCCGATGATCAGGACGTCGTAGAGAGTCATGGTTATATAGCTGCTACTGATTCTGTTGTAAGTAGAAGATGGAATAGAATGTATTTTTGTAGTCGGATATACGGCTGGTTTGACACGGAGATTTATACACGACGATGTCGGAGACTTTCAGCCCTAAGAATGTCTCCGAATAGCCTCCTTAGCCAAGCTTTGCAAGTCTAGACTTCACGCGCCCCCTTTTTTTTCCCCCATGTTTGAGCTCCACTATCCATGGCTATTTTTTGACTCATATCCTCGCGACGTGATCGCATTTGAGAGAATTATTCAGCCTTGTAGCGTCATCATGGCGGAGGGAGCTTGGTAGACGACAAACGACTCGCTCCCTTTTTGGTGTTGTGCCGAGGACCCTTGGGACGACCTGTTTTGCATTTAATACTACGATAAGATCATACGAATGGGTATAATGTGAGTCAGAATGCATAATTGTAGGCTTTGTAAGCTTCACAGTCTGGAACAACTTAATTGGTCACGCCCGACGGTAACTATTGTATTTTTTAATAACATGGTATTCAAAGTCAAACATGCTATGATCAGAGCTTCGCCCATTACTCCAAGGCCAGGTTGTAGTAGACGATTCAGATTGAGAGGTGCACTGGGGTTTTCAGCAATCCGAGAATACCCTTCCATCCTGTGCAACTTCGCATGAACAGTCAGAGCGGAGCGCATAACGAAGCACATTGACTGGGCACGATATACATTGTTATCGATGCCCAAGCCGGCAAAACAAGGGAGGTTGCGCATCCATGCGGTCAGCTGCCTCATCTCATTCATCGTCAGGTCTTGCGAGACACTTAGGCTGAAAAGTGCCGTGTAGTTCGGTGAAATACTGGCGCAGTCAATGGTCCGTGGTCCATTGAGAGGCAAGATAACCGAAGCAACTCTAACCAACATCGCATGGGTAGGTTTGACCTAGTCCCCACGCGACGTCAGGGTTTGGAAGATGTGGGCAAATCCTACGCTTTTGTGTCCAGTGCGCGTTCTGCGACCGATTTCCCCCGCGAGCTTGGCCGTCAATGTATTGTGCGACGGGGGTCTTGCCGTAGGTGTCTGTACACTGGTTGCCGCCATCACTTCGACAACCCTGCGCGGGATGGTTGGGGCCCGAGTTGCCACGTGCGCAAAGCAACAATCCAAGATGGGCAAGACATCGAGATGATCCAAGTCAGGGATGACCTCGGCGTCTTGGACATGCCTGAGCAGACAGTTGTCTACATTGAGGGGTTTCTTCGCTGCCTTGGTTTCAGCGAACATAAAGCTTCCATTCTTCGTCATTCCATGGCCCGCATAATGCAAGATCATCAGATCATGGTGGGTTTCAGACTTGGCGTGGAAATCTTCAACATATTCTGGAAACGCTTGGAGTCTTGCAATTGATTGGTATCATCCTATTCCCATCAAATAGTGACCGAATATACATTTGTATAGTCGCGACCAAGCTGCGCCGCCGCCGCCGTCAGAGTGTTTCGGAATTGGTCAAGTGTAATGCCTGTCATTTCTAAGTACCCCCAAGCTGTCAGAGCCCACGTACAAGTTTCCTAAGGAGAAGACAAAGCGTACCGAGTAGCTCTGGACAGAGCAGGAGATCGATTTGATATAGGTAAATGTGCGGAGTCACCGAATGGCTCTGACACTCTCTCAGCGGTTGGTTTCAGAAGTGCTGGAGGGGATGTACTTGGGTAGAAGACTCAAAGCCTTAAAACTACCAATTCGGTGAACTTGGAGAATGGCTCGATAGCAGTTCAGGGTGTATTTAAAGAGGGAATGCGAAGTGGGCGTGCTACCAGGGAAGAACGAATATTGAATTAGAGAGATATTACAACATATTCAATTCCAAACAGTGAATCTGACCTAGGCTACAGCATCTCAGACAAATGTTGTCGGACATAGCTGAGGTAACATTCCTTTCGATCAGCCCGAGTCTAATATCAAGTCACTATAAGATCTACTGCTAAGTGATTATTATTCTATTTGCTATGATCTGCGAAGTCGATAGCAGCAATCCTGTCCGCTTCTCTATTTATAGCTGTGTCTACTATTCTAGACTGTATATACAAAATACTCAATTCTAGATTTATCAAAGTCAAAGAATTCTAAAGCTAAGTTAAAGGAATATTAACTTAGCTTGCTATAGAGAGTACATTCTGGAGTAAAATTAACACATACTATAGATAAAGGAATGTTAATAGTCACTATAAAATGGGTACGATTATTATGTGAATAACCCAACCCGGAGCTGGGCCGGGTGCGGGCCCTAGACTTTCCACCCGAACCCGACCCCGATAACCACTCGATGGACGATCAGAGTCAACAACTTCAGTAAGAGTATTATGCATACAGCCATACTCTCTGAATATACAGGGCATGTACTAGCTAGTCGCCTAGCCCACATGGCACTATAACTTCCACCCAGTCAAGATTGTCAGATCCGACATGCTAGCCTTAAAGATTGGAGGAGGTGCATTTTTGTCTTTTCAATGGAACCGGGATCGTCTGGAGACTATGTTACATCGCGCACAAGTACCCCTGTCAGTGTAAAGATACATATTGTATGAGTTACAAGTACGTGACTAGGGCGTGGTGCATGTCAGAATGACCGTAATATAACATCCCCAGTCCTCGCGCCAGTGAACGCCTGCTAGGACCAATTTACTAGTTGTATAGAGGTTCGGATCTACCATGCAGGTAGGGTCGTCTACCAATGTGAGTTGCAGGCGTAGTACTAGAGTTCAAAGATCAATACCTGCAGTAGCCTCACGTAGTATGGTCCTGGTAAAGTGCCCGACCCTGACAAATCGCCAAGCTACTAACCAACAAGGACAGGACAGAAAATACACTTGAAATCAAGCCTTAGAGAGCACATGACTAGCGCCCTTACAAGCGCTTTCCTTGGGTTGATCTTTAGTTCTTCCTTCCCCTCTTCTTCCTTCTTTTCATTTGCTCATGGTTTCGAAAATGTATTGTTTTCTTCTTTACTCGTCGCTTTTCACAGCGACTCTGGGATACCGGTTGTTTGAGTATACTAGTGAGCGCTGTACTGGCTCGAAAGTCGGCCTCCACCGACTCGCTGGACCCAGTGCCTGTGCTCAGCTGAATAAGGGTGTCGTATCCTCGCTACTAGTCAAAATTGATAACATCCACGATGGTCTCCACCAGGTTAATGTCTACGAAAACGAGGATTGTACGGGGAGTATTGTCGGGGCAATCGCCAGTACCAATGGTTGTCTAGATTTTCATGTTTTCAGTGCCGTCGGGAAGTCTGTTCAAGTGGTTCATGCTAGAAAGAAACGGGATACTGCCGACATAAGAGGTTTTGAGACTGACTCTCTCTATAACCTTGACGAGGGAATTGATGGAGAAATCCAGGTCCCTATTATGCATGGTGGATTCAGCCCAGCCCAAAAGTCCTACCACTCAGAAGATGGGACCTACCTTGATGAAACCTTCGATCTTTGGATTCCGCATGAGGTTGATCGACACAGCATTATCAAAGACCTGTGGTTTCATAAGCTTGATGAAGAACGTCCGTCCAATCGCCTCAACGAGAACTCGCTCCACGTTCAGGACGCAAGATAACTTGAATGAGCCTATTGCAACTTCTAGGCTATCCGTATGGGTGCGGTCGACTTTTGGAGAAGGTTTTCCAATTATGCATTCGCGCGAGGGGTGATGCATTATATAGGCAATTCCGGATGGAAGAGCTATCTCAAGCTGGTCAACTTTTGTCGTGGGTCACCCCGCCAACGGGATAACTATCATCAGTTCAATAACACCTGTGGTGCTTGTGCCTTATGCCCGCATGATCAATCATCCTATGGAATGCCGGTATAGCTGTCGTTGGCGGTGATAATAGTGGTGATGCCGTGGTATGTAATTATTGGACAAGATGCCTTTTTTGTATGTGGACCGAAGTGCCATTGATTCTTAAGCGCGTTCTTGTAAAATTCAAACTAGGGGTTTATTGCAGGGACTGCTGTTCTCCTTTTCGGTGAATTGGTGCTTCATGATTCTAGGAATTATGTTCCTTTTGTGCGGATGTGGTTTAATAGTTTATCAATTGGATCGTTTGCGTGTGTCTAAGTATATATATAACTGGAGAGTCAGGAAGCAGTGTACATCGATCAGCATGTTGCCATTTGTGACAAACCAATGCTTGAATGAATAAGCTAAAGCCACCAAGTTGGGCTGGAGGGGATCAGAAGCATACAGTGGCATGTGTCAAGGGCTACTACCTGGATTTAATGGAGAATGTTCAATTTTGGGTGGATGCCAAAGCTGATGGTGCAGCCCTACACGAGGTGCATCTGCTTCGTTTTGAGAGGTGATCGAAGGAATGCGCTAGGACCTAGTCTAATATAAAGTATATCTTAGAGAGTCAGTAACTTGAACTGCGGTGGTCATTGATCTACTCTGTCAATCGCTCAGCCTCCCTGGAGCCTCTATATATAACTCCCTCAATGTCTAACCCAATGATCCTGTTTCTCAACACTCACCGTCACATCGACCGTCCTCAGCACCCCCCCCTTCCTCTGCGAATCTTGTGTCAAATTCCTTGTGCTCTCCGCCCCTTCACTAGAACTCGACTGTCTGTCTCCCTGATCTGCACCCGTGGAAACCTCCGTGATAACTACCACATCCGTATCCCGCCCATCGAACATCGACCGCCCGTTCTTCCTCGAGCGACCGCGCGACCGAGACCGCGAATGTGACTGGCTGACCCCAGAAGAAGACTGATTGATATACCCGCTTGCTTTGGTCTGCGGAAGTTCAAGACCGATCCTGTCGGGGATTTGCGTTGTGGTTAGGCCTGAGTGCAGGCCGGCAAAGATGTGGTAGAGGGTTGGGACGCAGGCGATTATGACGGCTGTGAGCATCATTGCTTGGGCGGTGATTTCCCAGTTCACAATATCCCCTATAATAGATACTAGTCAGACATTGTGCTCTGTCTTCTCTCTTTTTTTCTTTTCGTTTTTTTTTTGTGGTATTTGGAATGGGAATGGGGCGTCACAAACAGGAGATGTCGGTGGAGTGGCTGAAGGAGGGGAGGAGGGCCAGGTGGACAATTCCGAGGGCGACGATGCTATGAGGATGGGTTAACAAGCTAGCTAGATTGGTTGTCAAATGTGGGAGTTCGCGATGGGTACCTTAAGCGCGAGGAGAAGGAGGACAGGATCTTCACTCGCTTGTGCCAGATCATCTGGACGTTGTGCATCATGATGAAGGGCAGGATGACGATGATGACCTCCGTGAGGATGTTGAAGACTGCGATGGGGTAGAATATGGTACCCTGGGGCCGATTCAGCGGGCTTTCAAACCAATCCTGGACGGTTTGGGTGTATACTGACCTCCCCAGCACATCGCTCAGGCGAGTACAGCCACGGACCAGGCATCGCACATTGGAATGCTATACCCAACACCGCGAAGATTGACCAGCCCACAACAACACCGGCAGTAACAGCACAGCTGCGATGCAGGCTCTTACTCGGTGTTAACTTCCAAATCAGCAGAATGGTCGACATCTTGGAAAGCGACATGGCAACGATCAGCAGAAGATGCGCCGCATATGCGAACTTGCTCCAGGCCTGGATGTCGCCATCACTAAGTCGGTCTTGGTGTTTTCCCAGTCCATGGTCAACCGCCTTCTGTAAGAGAACGACTTGGATGATTGCGCAAATCAAAGCCGCCCAAATAGGAGTATTGACAGCGGTTCGTCGCTGCTTGAAGTAGATCGCAGACCCGAACTTGGCGGCCACAAAGATGATGGCCACGATCAGGAGGGAGACAGAGGTCAAGGTGATGATTGTACCGCGATTCTCACTGGACAGGGCCTGGAAGGCGTCCTTTTGGTCGGCCATCGCCCCATGAGATAGTCTTCAAGTCCGAGACATACTCGGAGCGAATGGCGCCACCATATAATAAAATCTGATTTTTTGCATCCCGGTCACGACTAACGTTTCCTCCGTTGGGAATTTACGACCCCTAGTCTTTGGTATGGCACCATCGCATTTCATCTGTGCAGGGAATCCAATCTGCCACTTATTGACTGCGTCGGTTAAATTAGAAATACTAAGAGATAGGCTCCGACCAGATTTTTCCGACAATAGCATCGTGCCAGTGGTCCAGAATCAATTTAAAAAGGGAACCGAATGCCACTAGAAAGGAGCCGGCTCCACACTAAACAATGCTGGCAGCCAACGAGACAAGTCCAAGGATGGGCCGTGCCATTGAATTGGCGGCACTGCGGCCCCGATCCTGATCTCTGGGGATTTTAGATCTAGCCCTAACTGCCACTAGCCATGCGAACGACAAGGGTGTGCGCCGAAGCGACAAGACCGTTTTCACGCCGCGCATTAAGTCACAGCCCGAGCTCACGACGATTCGTTTCGCATTCATTATGCAATCAATATCCCTGTCTAGCCCATAGAATGGAAATGAGAAGGCAAAGAAAGTCGGAAGTACTTCTTGCCGTCTTCTGGGTCCGGAGACTGGCCTATTTCCTGTCGACCTTTCTTCTCCCACCTTTTGTCTTTCTTTCTGTTCCACGGATGTGAAAGAAAGAGATCATTCGTTCTTCAAAATGCCGGAAGAGATCGAAATGAAAAGCGAGGGCGCTGTGCGATCATGGCCAGTAGGAAGTGGGAATGGGGGCTATGAGAGCGCTACAATGCGCGAGAAGCAACAACTGGAGGTACAATCACACGGCCGAGTTGTTCTGCACAGCCTCTAATGATTTCACAGCGATATCTCAACTTTTTCTCCTCTGTCGCCTTTTCCGCCTGTCTACTGGCTACATGGGAATCTGCTGGTGGTAGTTTGCTCTCAGGCTTGTACAACGGTGGCCCCGCAGCGATTGTCTATGGGATTATATTGAGTACCATCGGCAATTTGGCTATCGCATGCTCTCTGGCCGAGCTTGCTTCTCTGTATGTGTGTGAGCCACTTCAAATGGGATGGTCCTGACCTCGAGTTTGACAGACACCCCACCGCCGGTGCTCAATATCACTGGAGTTACTTCCTCGCGCCTCGCGGTCGTCGATTTATTAGTTTTTTCCAAGGTGAGCTTACGGTTGTGTTATCTTTTTTTTTTTCTGTCTTTCAGCCAATGGTTGATGACTATCAGGTTGGGTTACCGTCTTCTCATGGTCTGCTCTCGTGTGCATCGCCCCATATTTCATCGGAACCCAGATCCAGGGAATGGTTGTGCTAGCACATCCTGATTATGAGCTTGTCAGATGGCGCGGTACGCTGCTCATGTGGGCAGTTGCGATCATTCCGATCATTATCAATATCTTCGCGCGTCGTGTTCTGGGGGCTATTGAAGTCGCTGCGGGAATCATGCACGTTGTCTTCTTGCCCGTCACCATTGCAGTCTTCGTTATTCTCGCTCCGCGCAACCCGGACTCGTTTGTATGGGACACCTTTGTCGGTGGCCTGAGTGGCTGGCAGGATTCGGGGGTTGTATTCTCCATTGGTCTTCTTGGTGTCATTACTCCCCTCGCTGGTACGATACTGCCTATTTTCTTCACTGCTTGGCCATACGGATAGTCTAATCTCAAGGTAAACAGGCGTCGATGGTGTCATCCACATGGCCGAAGAAGTGAAAAACGCCAAAGTCGTCGTCCCCCGGTCCATGATCTATGGCACCCTGATCAACGGAACTCTTGCCTTCGCCTACCTCATTGCAGTCCTCTACTGCATGGGCGACTACACCGAGGCCGTCCTCAGCGCCACAGGTTACCCCATCATCACCATCGCCTACCAAGCCACCGGCTCCAAAGCAGCAACCTTCGTGCTGATGGCGATGGGCATGCTGCCCGGCTGGATCGCCCTCTTCAACGGTCTCGCCTCCGTCACCCGCCTGACCTGGGCATTCGCGCGCGATAACGGCCTCCCCTTCTCCGACTTCTTCGCGCGCGTCGACCCAACCTACAAAATCCCCCTCCGCGCTCTCTTCCTCGTCGTCTCGTGCATCTTCGCCCTCTCCTTCATCCAAATCGGCTCCACCGCGGCATTCAATGCGATCCTGTCTCTCAGCACCCTGGGCCTCTACATCTCCTACCTGATCCCCCTCGTCCTCCTCGTGTTGAAGCGCTTCACCGCGCCACAGGATATCCCCCAGGGCAGCTTTACGCTGGGCAAATGGGGTCTCCCCATGAACTTGCTGGCCATTCTTTTCGCGACATATTTTGTTATCTTTTTGCCGTTTCCGTCGACGCTGCCGGTGACCGCGGAGAATATGAATTATGCGGGGCCCGTGCTGGGCTTTGTTATGTTGTTCGCTTGTGGGGATTGGATTGTGCGGGGACGGCATAAGTGGGAGGGGCCGACTATGCGGCCGTACGCGAGGGATGAGTAGATTATCAGATCGCTGAGGACAGTGGGTGCACGGATTGAAATACCATAATATTTTTTTATTTATTGTTAAGGGGGTAGTAGCTCGTCTGCTGCCCTTTCCAGCCACTTAGTATCCAATTCAATAACCATTGTTTGGCCTTTTGGTTTGGTCGGGTTAAATTTACTCGACAGTGGAACCGACTGTAAGACAACTGCATGTGTACCTCGAGGCTATGCATACGCACCGAATTTGGGTATGACGTAGGCGATAAACTTGGTATCGGCTTGTCTTGCTTTGCATCTTTATTTCAAGTCAGATGGCTTTCAATAGCCAACCTTGCAGTGTATGCTCTGACAATGGCAACAAGACGACAACGCTTCCACCCTAATGTGACTAATTGAATTGACCAGGGGCTAGCTTGCACTGAATAGTAAATAAAAAGGAACAAACACACAACAGGAGGGATTCGCTAGTGGTCACCCATCTACGCACCTCCCGGTGTGTGACTTACGCGCCCTCTGGTGTCCTTGATATGGGTGCCGCTTAGACAGGGCTTCTGACTGGTATATCTTATACTAGTCTATGACTGATCTGCACTGCCCCGCCACTGACCGACCGACTATATCCAGTTATAAGATGAGAGAAAGGGAAAAAGGAAACGAGTCCGCGAGACCCTATACGCGAAAAAGGCCGGATGTTCTATAGAAAACGTGTTTCCACGCGCTTCTCCCATTCGCTCCCCACCTGTCTTGACCTCAGGGTTCTAGGGCATCATCTGTGATTGCCACATTGTCAGTTGTTATATATGTTCTCTATTTTACTAGTTTGACGCTGGAAAGAAACATCTCTATGTCTTCATACTTACGTTCGAGTTTCTCTATATCCCATACATCACGTATAGTATACTGCCATGGCCGCTTGGTTAACATTTTGATTCCTCCTCTTCCCCCCACTAGTCTACTACTATTTGAAATATTCTATAGGAACTTTCAAAATATCACTCTAGCTCTTTCCTATTGTTACCCCGCATATCCAAACACTAGTTGACTAGTATAGCGGGATCTGGCGCTTAATGATACTGTCCCATCGACCGTGTCGAGATTGTGGTCGACAGGGTACTACTTCTATCCGCAGCTTTTACATCATAGGCTAGCTAGCATGGACCTCCCGAATGAACAGGCAGAATTGAGGCGCCAGCTGTTTGTCTGGACCATCCATCTCCTGCGGGGCTTTGGCTACTGTTTCCACGGAGATCAGCCTCTGTCCAAACTACAGACGAGAATGTTGCCGTTGTATTATTCTCTGCTTATATGAGTGACACATGGATCATGGGTCTGGTATAGGGCTTCCAATTTCATTTTGCGCCAATCTTCCCCTCTTTATCGAATTGTCACAACATGTTGTACCCGTGAAAAGAAAAAAAAAGAAAAGAAAAAAAAGAGACGCTTTTGTATGTATGTACATACATACATACCTTTAAAGTTTATCTGAAAAACAATCTAGGCCGGTGATATATCAATCGGCAACTGCGGAATAGTGGCTCCTCGGACTTTCAAAGAGCGCCTAGTGCTCATGACCGCAATAACTACCAAGTGGAGTGATCCATTCAGCTCCCAGCGGGTGCGAGGCAAGGCAACGTAAGCTCCAACATGAAGCGAAGACAGGTCCACTGAGGACGGCTAAGAAGGTCTGGCCGAGGATCGTTGTGATCTTATCTGTGAATCCACCCCCGACTTCGCAAGGTCCCCACCGCGACCCGATCGAACAGGACGGTAGCCGGTCTGATTGGAGGAATACTCATACCAAATCCGACCACCCTACTATTCCTACTATTCCTACTATTACTACTGGTAGTAACCCTTGAGCTAGTTCAACTTCTTCTTGTACCCCACGGCTAGGAACTCCGTCATCGAGATGTATCTACCAGCTCCGATCGCATAACAATGATCCCCCACACCTGTCCATGACGTTATCTGAGAACGGAGCTGAGGCTGGACGATCCTCCCTGGAATGGAGGGGTAGGGCCATGCTCAGGTATATAAAGCCCATTCGAATGTGATGAGATCTCTACTCTACTCTCATCAATTCATTATCTCATTTTCAAATCTGGTCAATTCACCTACTCATTATCATGGCTGTTCCGGACGGCGCTCGCTTTGACTTCATCGTGGTTGGCGGTGGCACAGCAGGCAATATTGTTGCCTGCCGCCTTGCGGAAAACCCTAATGCCCGAATTCTGGTGGTCGAAGCCGGTATTGGCAGCTCCAAGGATAACGAGGAGATCCGGACTCCCGGTCTCGCAATGGAGATCCGTGGCAGCCAATACGACTGGGCTTACAAGACCACCATGGTGAAGCGTGACGACTATGAGCGGATCGAGAAGCCTAATACCCGTGGAAAGGCCCTTGGCGGCAGTTCATCCCTGAATTATTTCTCCTGGGTGCCTGGTTCGAAGGGTACTTTCGATATGTGGGAAGAGTACGGCGGGAAGGAGTGGACGTGGGACCCTCTGGTGCCCTATCTTCGGAAGAGTGTGACTTACCACGATGATGCGGGCTTGTACCCCCCGGAACTCAAGAAAATCGGCAGCGGGGGTCCAATCCCGATTGCTCATGCGGATCTTATCCCGGAAATGAAAGGTTTCCGGGACCTCCTGACCACAGCCTGGAAATCTACCGGCCAACCCCTCACCGAGAATATATTTGATGGGGAGATGCTTGGCCTGGCACACAGTGTCAACACTATCTATAAGGGCCGTCGCTCAGGTAGCTTCCTCGCCGTCGCGGATAAGCAGAACATCACTATCCTTCCCGAGGTGCACTCAAAGCGTCTAATTATTGATGATGCTGATCGCACTGCCAAGGGTGTGACGGTGATCACAGGTACTGGACAAGAACTTAGCTTTTATGCCACCCGTGAAGTTATCGTCTCTCAGGGTGTTTTTGAAACCCCGAAGCTCCTGATGCTTAGTGGCATTGGACCAGCTCCTGAGCTAGCGAAGCATAATATCCCTGTGATTGTCGACTCGCGCCATGTTGGCCAGCACCTGTTGGATCACCCTGGTGTCCCCTTCGTGCTTCGTCTGAAGGATAGCTTCTCAATGGATAGTCACGTTTTGCGCAAGGGTCCTCTGCAGAACCAAGTTTTGGCAGCTTATTCCAAGGGCCATGCTGGCCCTATGGGATCGCCCTTCCTCGAGATGATCGGTTTCCCTCGCATCGACAAGTACTTGGAGAAGTCCCCCGAGTACCGCCAGGCCAAGGCTGCTAATGATGGCCGCGACCCATTCTGTCCGTATGGCCAACCTCATTTTGAGCTTGACTTTATTCCTCTTTTTGGTAGTGCCTTCCAGTGGCACTTTCCACACCCTAAGAAAGGAAGCTATATGACCGTCATGGTGGATCTTGTGCGTCCCGTTTCTGAGGGTGGTGAGGTTACATTGAACAGCGCCGATCCCCTGCAGCAGGCCAACATTAATTTGAATTATTTCAATAATGACCTTGATATTATTGCCATTCGCGAAGGAATTCGATTCGCCTACGATGTTCTCAAGAATGGCGAAGGATTCAAGGATATTGTCGAGGACGAGTATCCTTGGGAGATGCCGCTGGAAGACGACGAAGCGATGAAGAGAACTGTCTTGGATCGTTCTCAGACCTCCTTCCACCCTTGTGGTACTGCCCGTCTGTCCAAGAACGTCCAACAAGGTGTAGTGGACCCCAGTCTGAAGGTCCACGGAATCAAGAACCTCCGTGTGATTGATGCTTCTGTCATCCCTGTGATTCCGGATTGCCGGATTCAAAACTCGGTTTACATGGTGGCGGAGAAAGGCGCCGATGCTATCAAGCGTGAGCATGGAGACCTTTACCATTAGGCTTGTGAAAAGTCTTTCGAATTCCCCATGGCAGCAGAATTGCAGTGCTCGAGGCGATCCAGAGTGGCTACGTTAGCCTTTCCTATTATTCCTTTCAGTAATCGGCAAACGTGTCCAGAATGATAATGATAGTTTTAGTACCGCCGAAATTTAAGTCAGAATATCGGAACTAGTTCCCGTTGCTACATATATCACGTAATGTCGCGGTTAGCCCTGCGATTGATACCTAACGTATTCATTTGTCAGTTGTCCAAAGGTCTATTTCGGTAAAAATAGGTTCCATAAAGTACCGAAATGGTTGTTGGAGTAGCTGACGGTAGCACCCGCCTTGGTGCCCCTTTATGATTCGTAGTGGTTAGTAGCTATGATGCGATGCCTCATTCTCGTACATTGATATTCATGGATCAGGACCACGATCTTCTGCAGGCAATAGTGTTCTAGGTTGGGCTGCGGCACTGGTCAATTGTTAATGGTCGCGCTAGTGCTGGTCTGTCGTGCAGACAAGAACTGAGAAAAAGTATAAACTGATAAGATTAGTTTTATCGAAAAAGCTTGCTACCGGCTCTCCATAAGATATCTGGTTAGTTCTCTCGGATTAAGACCGAGTGTGGTGGGTCACATGCGCTCAGAAAGCCTTGGCCTCTTCTTAGAGTTTGAACGAAGTGGCAACAGAGGGTCTGCTCCGCCTGTCTGTAACTCATGCATTGTACTTGGGCAATCCAACCAGCTCATGTTTGTGGTACGCATATGGTTGCTTCCGCACATCTCCGGGTTATCTATATAAAGGATTGCCACAGGTCACCTTTTCCTCGTTGGATACCATGGAACGTAAGTAATCTCCAAAGGTATACCCAACCATGGATGACTTAGCTTCAAGCTCAATACTTGGTGGAATCTACCGTATATCCACTTCTGTACTTTGAGCTACAGGTATGATCATCATATCCTTCCCTAGCAAGGACCTTTGGTGGGTAGAAAGGTCGGAAGAAAAGGGGAGTAGATTCTATATATAGTGACAGTACTATATAACTAGAACAGGAGGATTTATAGAACTATTATCTTATCCAGTAGTAGACTGCTTCCTTATGTATATTTGTATTATCTTGAATTTCTAGATCTTTCTGATTCGGCTCTATCAGTAGAATACTCAATCTTTTTGTGTGTTGTGGAAATATAGGTAGTCCGTGGCTTTTTAATAGAATATCTGTCAAGGAAGTGGCGGCGAGGAGTATACTATCACCAGAACAATATAGATAAGGATATAAAATTTCTGTCTTTGTTGTTAATACCTTAATATAATAATGAATATAGTTGAGAAGTGTAGATTCTATAAGCTACTGCTAAAATTGATTATCTACTGTTTTACTATTATTATCGAGGTAAAAAGAGCAGGATCTGGGTAATATTAGTATGTAGCGGAAGGTTAACAATCTATACCGGGGCTGTAGATTCTCTAAGTAGGACTTACAATATGTAATCCAGCCAGGTTGATTATATACAAGTTGGATATGTTGATAATAAAACTGAATAACGTTATACTAAATATATCAATAAGCTCGCGTTCTATTTCTATAGTATGGCTGATAAGGCACCGTGTTAAGTGATCTCTGATAATATTGTAAAATATACTTTGATCGATTTTACTTATCAAGCTGCTATATGCTAGCAATATGATCGCCAATGTCCATATATAGCTTATGACTCCAGTGCTAACAGCTTCGCAAATGAGCGATATTCGGCGCATTCCCAGCGGGTGGAGTCTCTAATTCACTGCCCTTTGTGGGCTATGTGAACAGCGTTCGACCATTGGAAAAATCACGCGCACTGCCTCCATTCTACTAAGCTCCTCGTAATGAACACAACCCAGCTTGTGTGAGATATCTTCGGTGCGTCTATATCAAAGCCGCCGCACTTGATTGCCAAGGCCAATGATGTCCTATGTGTCTCCCTGCTCGCCGGGTGGTCTTTCGTTCACTTTTAGCGTATCTCGTGGAGTTTGCTTCATGACTTGCTCAGGGGTCAACCTGACGATGGCCACTGCTTTCAATTATGCCAATTTTACGTAGAAGGTGTTCCCCGCGTCGATCAGCGCTATGCCGTTCCCCCCTGCCGAGGGGTTAAACCTGCAGTGGGCCCAGAGCCCCGAAACTATACCGTTCTCTGTCTGATCATCATCTGCCTATACCCCACGCACAGAATGTCCACGAAAAGCTTAAGCGGCCCCTTCACATGGGCTTGTCCTAAGTAAGCTTATCCGAGGTCCCTTGGGTTGATCTCTCCGCACTTACGTTCCCGTGTTTGTGATAATCATGATTCGAAGCCATACCAATCCAGCACTATCATCGCAACCGTGACTATCCTAATCTGCGCTAGACTAGCTCGGGTCTGAAGTGCCTAGTGGACTGCAACTAAGCAAGCTTATAAGACTTAGTGGTTGGACCTAGCCTTGCATATCTGCCAATAACAATGGCTTCCTGCGCAGATCGAACCCACCCTGAAGCCAACACAATCACACGGCATCCCCTCGGCCTTAGCGCGTACTATGGCTCCTTCAGGAGAACAATGCGATTCTCAACATGGCAACCCTGAGAGTTCGCAAAGTAGTGTTGGGACGTGCCTGGCCCTTCTGTGAGCGAGAAATTGGGGCGATCCTGGTGGGTATATGAATGGGCAGTCCTTACTTGACGTCTGTTCTTTGTGTTCAGGGTTGATGAAGCCAACCACTGAAATCAACATGAAGAGTTCATTTATATTGCTACCGGCCCTAGTGGCGGCCGTTTGGTCAATTCCAACGCGCACTGACTACATCCTCCACGAACGTCGCGATGCTATACCAAGCCACTGGGCTGGCGAGAAGCGTTTGGACGGCCAGACCATACTACCTATGCGAATTGGTCTGACCCAGTCTAACTTGGACCGGGGTCATGACCTTCTGATGGAAGTGTATGCTTCCATGCTCTCTGTCCTCTCTTGCGGTGCTAACGATCTAGGTCCACGCCCGGTTCCCATCGGTACGGCGACCACCTGACGGTTGACGAGGTCCATGATCTATTTGCCCCCTCTCAAGACAGCGTAGATAGCGTGCGCTCGTGGCTGGAGTCCGCAGGAATTGCCCCGGATCGTATTACCCAGTCGACAAATAAGCAATGGCTCCAGTTCGATGCCGGCACCAACGAAGTCGAACAGCTTCTGAAGACCGAGTTTTACCGTTACTCGCACGCCGGCACTGGCCGGTCCCATGTGGCTTGCCGGGAGTAAGTAACCCTCATTTGGCCGTAGAAAAAGCGCTCTCTAATTAAGCAATAGATACCACGTCCCGGAAACTGTGCAATCGCACATCGACTATATCACGCCCGGTGTCAAGCATCTGGAGATTCGGGAGGAGCGACCGGCTGAAAAGCGTAGCCGTGAAAAGCGGTCCTTTGGTATTCTCCCACCAATCCTCCGGCCATTGACCCTGCCTTTGGAGGAGCTACTAGGTCAGTTGTTAGTATTGTGTGATGTCGCTGTAACACCTGCCTGCATTCAGGGTGAGCCCCAATCCAACCCAACCTAGAAGAGGATAAGTCGCGCTGACGGACTAGCCATGTACAACGTAACCGACGGCGACAAAGCGACGAAGGGCAATGAGCTCGGTATCTTCGAGGATCTAGGTGACATCTACAGCCAGGATGACCTGGACCTCTTCTTCTCGACTCTCGCCCAGTAAGCTCCTCCCGAACCCCCTTATACCCTACACCCACTCTAACCGCGTCGCAGTAAGATCCCCTCTGGCACACACCCAATCCTCAACGCCATCGACGGCGCCCAAGCACCAGCCGACACCACGAACGCCGGCACAGAATCAGACCTCGACTTCGAGATCTCGTACCCACTGATCTGGCCCCAGAACTCGGTCCTCTTCCAAACCGACGACCCTGTCTACCAAAACAACTACACCTACAACGGGTTCCTCAACAACTTCCTCGACGCCATCGACGGGTCCTACTGCAGCGAGACCTCCCCACTGGACCCACCGTACCCCAACCCAGCGGACGGCGGCTACAAATCCCCGCGCCAATGCGGCGTCTACAAGCCCACAACCGTCATCTCGATCTCCTACGGCGGCGCCGAAGCCGACCTCCCGATCGCCTACCAGCGCCGCCAATGCCAAGAGTTCATGAAACTGGGCCTGCAGGGCGTGTCCATCGTCGTGGCCTCCGGCGACTCCGGCGTGCAGGGCCGCGGCGGCTCGCCGACGCCCAGCGGCTGCCTCGGCAACGATAACAAGGTCTTCGCCCCGGATTTCCCAGCAACATGTCCCTACCTCACCACCGCGGGCGGCACATACCTGCCCCCCGGGGCGGACGTCCACGCCCACGAAGAACAAGCAACGACCAGCTTCCCCTCCGGCGGCGGATTCAGTAACATCTACCAACGGCCGGCGTACCAGAACGCCGCCGTCGAGGAATACTTCAACACCACCCAGCTCTCCTACCCCTACTACGAAAGCGTCGATAACAGTAGCTTTGCTGCCAACGGCGGAATCTATAATCGGATCGGGCGGGCCTATCCCGATGTTGCTGCTATTGCGGATAATGTGCTGGTTTTTAACAAAGGGTTGCCGACGCTGGTCGGGGGGACGTCTGCCGCAGCGCCCGTTTTTGCGGCCCTGTTGACCAGGATTAATGAGGAGAGACTTGCCGTTGGGAAGAAGACGGTGGGGTTTGTGAATCCCGTGCTGTATGCTAATCCGGGGGTGTTCTTTGATGTGACCAAGGGGAGTAATCCGGGCTGTGGCACGGAGGGTTTCCCGGCTGCGAAGGGGTGGGATCCGGTTACTGGGCTTGGGACACCGAATTATCCACAGTTGGTGGAGTTGTTCATGGGATTGGATTGAGGTTATATGGACACTCAGTCTCATGCATATCGATAGTATCCGGTCAGAATTGTTAGAAATGTATGGAATGTAGTTTGCAAAGTGAACTACTGCGGGGAAACGATGTGATGTATACATTTTTTAGCTTTTATTCATATATACTATGTATATGCACCAATATCTATCCTCCGTATGGATATACAAACAAAACATCAATCATTAAACGTGACCAGCACATCAACAAGACACTTAAAGGATGACCTTGTGGTCAGCAGGAGCCTCCTCGGGCTCACCGAAGACATTAATGTTCCAGCGGGGCTTGTTGGCAACGTAGGGGACGTTGTAGCGGCGCTCGGTGCCAAGGGCAGTGATCTTAGCGATCTCCTCGGCGGTGAGCTCGATCTCCTCGAAGTTGGCGGCGATACGAGCGGGAGTGACAGACTTGGGGATGACACTGTGGCCACCGACCTGGGACCAGGCGAGGATGACCTGGGCGGGGGACACAGCCTTGCCGAGACGCTTGCCGGCCTCCTCGGCGACGGCCTTGACCTCGTCGCGGGTGATGAGGAGGGGCTCACCGATCATGTTGTTACCGAAGGCGGAGTAGGCAGTGACGTGGATGCCTTCTCCTTGCAGTAGTTGATCAGCTTGGGGCTCTGGAGGACGGGGTGACGCTCGATCTGGTTGGCAGCGGGGACGACGCCGGTAGCGTTGATGATGGCCTCGAGCTAGAACAGGCAATATTAGTATCTATGTATATATATATATATATGGAGGTTGGGCGGTTCAAAATAACTCACGTGCTCGACCATGTGGTTGGAAACACCGATGGCGCGGGCCTTGCTCTTGGGGAGCTTGGTCATGGCCTTCCAGGTGTCAACGATGGAGATGCTGTCGTCGATGATGCAATCGCCACCGGGGACGGTGCTGCCCTCGACGAGAGGGAAGTACTCGTCGCCGGTCTTGAAGGTAACGGGCCAGTGGACGAGGTAGAGCTATTATTGCTTCGGTTAGTACTCCTGAATCCCAGATAGGAAGGTTTAACCCCATCACATACATCAAGGTATTCGAGGCCGCACTCGGCAAGGCAGTCGTCGAGAGCCTTCTCGACCACATCGGGTGGTGCTGGCTGTTCCAGAGCTTGGAGGTGATGAAGACGTCCTCACGCTTGATGTTGAACTCCTGGAAGGCGCGCTTGATACCGACGGCGATTTCCTTCTGGTTCTGGTAGATGGTGGCCAGATCGAGGTGACGGTAACCGGCCTTCAGGGCCTGGTAGACGGCCTCACCGACCTGACCGGGGGCGGATTGCCAGGTACCGAATCCCAGGGTACTGCGGAGATGGTCAGTGTTGACATTCCTTCATCGATTGGTTTCTATGTAAACATACGGGATTTCGGCGCCGGAGTTGAGGGTAACCTTCTTGTGGAGAGACATGATGACGGTGGGAGATAGGAATGAGCGGCAGTGGTACAGGAGATCAGAGAAGAATGGAAAGATGAATGCAAAGAAAAGGAGGAAAGCGAGGGAGGAGGGCAAGAATAAGTAAGTTTCTCAACTCCGGTGGGGGAAAGCCATCGGAAAATTGCTGGATTGAAATTATCCGTTATTATCCTCAGGCGGTACCCCGCCAGTCCCCGTGTCCGCTAAACCCCTTTGGGGCTACCCCTCGGTGGGGTTTCTGGACACGAGTACCTTTCGGGTAATTCGAGCCACCACTTGACATTTTGTTTCCTTGCCTCGATTTTTCTCCTTCTATACAAGAAACGAAAATATGGATCTCGATGGGTACCTTGCGATGGCCTTCGGTACAGTTCCACCGGTCCTTACAATCCATGCGATGTCTCTTGTTATGTCCTCTGGACCGCAAGTAGACAATCACATCAACTGAGACGCAATGGAATTGTCGGCGGAGACATGCATGACGTCAAGCGGCAGACACTCCTCCGGAACAATTCAATTATTTTACCAAATTAATTTCCCTTTTTGTGCAAAGCTTCTAGAGAGTTCCATCCGTTCAGTTGTTTTCTCTTGTCGGGAACCCGATACAGTAAATGGGGTTTTGCTTCCCCGATCTCCGGACCTCCTCCGACCCCTCAATTTAACAAAATACGGAGTCTGCCGAGTATCAAAGATGCCGCGTCACGGGAGTTGCTGCATCTGCAACCCCACATCCTTTACTTGGCCTCCACCCCACAGGCTCTCATAGTCATTCTTTGACAATTCCATTGGCTGAGTGCCTCCAATTACCAATCTGGATTGTAAACCCCTGGTCTAGCACCTACATCTCCTACGAGAAGGTATCGTGTCAACATGTGCGATGCATGAGGTCCTCCCCAAGTCAAAACTGCTCCCAATTGACATTTGCACCTCCTCTCACACGATTCTGCCCCGAGCACACTCTTTGCCTATTAGCATTCCAACATATCGGCCTTTTTCTCGACAGGTACCATATGACTGTGCGTCATCTGAGGCAAGCCCATTCGGTTCGACAAGGCGGGAACGTGAAGTTACTTTTGGTGCGGACTGCAAACAGGCTTGGAATGCATCATCTTCGCAGTGATGTGTCTGCAGTCACTTCCTATCGAAGAGCATATAAAATAAGACCTTGCAAGAATGCAAGCAATCCACATGCGACCAATCTCAACGGCAGCGTTCATCGCAATCGAAACCATAATCACCACAATAGATCCCGCTATAAATATATGTCTCTTCATTATCACCCAGCCATCACGACCAACAAGACACCGATCTCCAAAGTCGTTACCTATCGCGTACTGGAGTACGGTAACGTGCCAGAGTCCAATGGAACTTAGTGGGTAAATAAGATGGGAAATAAAGGCTCCCCTCATCAGCTATAAGCGCTCCCACCTGATGTTGAGAGGTTCGGATGCTAGGTAAAAATATGAAACGTAGGTTTAAGCTCGCGTGATGACGATAGCCCTGACACTTCAGAATGAGGCCACCTTCCGCGTTGTGGATTACGACTCTGCGGCCCATTGACCTTTGTATGTCTTATCGAGGTTGTTACTATTGACACTAGTCAGCTTGAGGTGAAGTACATGCATCACGGAATATAGACTTCGTCCAAATACGATCAACAGAGCTGATTACCGATCTTCCTTTAAATCTTATAACCTAATACAATCGCAACGTCCAGTTTCAAATGAAATTATCTGTGTCAGGGATGCATCCTGAGTGTCTGTATGTGGGTGTAGTGAATGCTAGATTGTGACTTGGTATAGTCATTTCGCGCAAATATCAGTATCATGATTTGTCCTTAGGCCCAATCTACCCTAGGGCAATCTGATTAGGAGGTCTTCTTAGCTTATGCAGGATTGGGCAAGATATGGCTCTGACTGGAGGGTTCTTTGCCACCCAGTTCCTGATAGTCATCTTATGCGCGGAGATAAAATGGGTATACTGCGTAGGGTCATTATATAGAGTTTAATTTTTACTTAATATTGCATCAAGATTTATAGACAATTTCTTTTTTGGTTTTTATTTTGAGCAAAAGTTCGGAGTTCTATGGATATTTATGTTGTCGCTGTAGTCATAAACAAATCACGGCTGTGTATGTATTTGTTCGTATTTCCCGTGGTCAAAATCAATCCTAGAAAATGACTTAGCACAGCCATAGCCGGTGGGATGCTCCTGGTCAAGACGCACTTTGATTTTCGCTATGACAAGGTGGGGATTAAGACAGACATCTTTTCGTAAATACAGGTATGAAGTATGAAGGTGGGCTGAATAGTGAAATCAGTTAGCTCAGGAGCCTCCAGGACAGTAAGGGATATATCTCGTGCAATTAATTCGTACTTAGCCAAAGGCCGTCGAAGGTAAGTTGCTAGTGCCTCAACATATATTTAAGAACGAAGGCTATATCTACATCCGTACTACTGGCCACGGAAGTCAGTGAGTCGTCAAATAAAGCTAGACCCCAACAGAAGCACTTATATCGATACTATTCAGTTTTGTGTCTCTAGAACAATTTCATTTCTTCTTCAGAGAACTAGTTTGTTGGTAATTGTCAGAGTCTCTTCCCGAGTCTTCTGTAATACTGGACATTCGATCCCTTGGACAGACGATGTACCCGCTCCATATACGCCAGCAAAAAGAGGCATCACGGTAGCTTGGCAAATCCACTCCACAAACCCCGTGAGGTAAAGACACCGCGTGGATCAACTGCGCGTTGGATGTCCCTCAACCTCTGCACATTCTCTTCCCCGTAACCTGTAAAGACTTCTGAGGCTTGCGCTGCTGATGCATAGTTCACGTAAAGAAACGGGTGCGCAACATCGAGAGTCTCGGCGGCTTCCCTGATTCTACGGATGGTATTCTCTGTCATTGTATTAACAGCGGCATCGTCATGCGCATCAGACCAAGCTGTGGATATCAAGATGACTGAGACTTTGTGAGAAGGATAGACTAGAAAGGAATCTGAGTAGGGGGCAATTAACTTACGAAAAAGAGGTTGCTCCCCCTGTATACCGAGCGAGTTCCCTCCCCTCTGAGTCATAGCTGCAATTGCAGTTCGTGAAAGTGCATAGGAGATAAGGTTGGGAACCAAGCCATTCACTGACTTGATGGCCTGAACCTCTTGTTCGAAGATCTCTACTGCTTGGCTGAGGAGAGAACGGGAGGGTCGCACGGTTAGGGTGGCGAAGAGGTGCCTGGTACATGACGGTTCAGTATGAACGGCAGAGAGGAATCAAAGTATTTGCATCACACAGGCCCAGCACATACCTTGTGGTGCCCAATGGGCCAGAGTCCCGAGTCAGGTTACCCATGTTGGTTATGGTATTACTTCTTGTCAACGTTGGTATCTGGTTAATATCTCTGAATACAGCTGGGTTCCGTATAGGCTTTGCATAGCGTTGGGTGCCCGATAGGACGAAATTGTCATCCGATGAGACATATGTATAGTACATATCATAGCCCATGTCTACATCGCTAGTCAGGGTTTCATCCGTGAAGAGCTGGTAAATCTGGTCGAGGACCTGTTCGGTCTGGTTCTGTGAATATGTTGTCGTAGTCGTAGAGACAGGGCCCTGGGCGAAGGTACGGACAGTGAAAGCTGTCACGATTCCGAAGTTATTCCCACCCCCTCTCAGAGCGAAATACAGGTCCTGGTTGTGAGTCTCATTTGCGGTGGCGATTGTACCGTTTGCAAGGACCACCTTTTGATTGTGAGTATATAGCTCAGGGAGAGGGCAGAAAGCTGACCGCATGGGAATACTGCTCTTTCAGAATTTGGTAAAGATTAACTCACCTCATATTCATAAACATTATCCAACGCCCAGCCGTACTTGCCCGAGAATGGTGACGTGCCGCCGCCGAGCGTGAACCCGCCAACACCCACTGTACCGACTCTTCCACCAACGAAGGACAGATTATGAGCATCCAAAGCTTCGTACACGTGGTAGGAAGTTGCACCGCCACCAACACGCGCCCTGTTGCCAGGGTCCAATATGTCGACCTGTGTCATGCGGTCCAGGTCTACTGTAACACCGCCTACTGAATTAGAGTCCCCAGGATTCCGTGAGTGACCACCGCCCTTAACCGAAAAGTAACACCAGTTGTGTACAAGAATGTCGAGTACCTGGGAAACCTCCGATGCAGTGGATGGCTCGACGCGGCAGGCTGGGCGAACCTCCTGTTGCTTCGCGTCCCAGATCGTGAAGCTGTCATTACCGGGGTAGTGGAGAGCCGATCCAAAGACAGTGGATAGCGTGGCACACTGATTATTGTAAGACTCGAAGAAGGGAGCAAACAGGAGGGGCATCAATAGGAACTTACTGCTTGCTTGCAGTTTGCGGATACTGTGCTGTTTGGTTGAGCGCCATGGGGCATGGGCGAGAGGCCATAAGATGCGGCGTTAACTCCAGCCAGGATGTAGGCCGCTGAAACTGTTGCTCTCATCATAATGGATGTCTTGTGAGGGGAGGAAAACATGCAACAGCTGGCGCATACACCGTCTTTATACCTGTCTGAACGACAAGTTGGCCATTGTAGCAGGCAGGGGCAACAACCAATGCTCAGTCTGGTATTATAGGAACCCCATCTATAGAAGCCGATTCGGAATGTAGATCCCTTCCAACAACGACTCCATTGAAGAGGGCTTTGAGTCAATAAAGTCCTGCTCCCTGCGATCCCGATCGGAAATCCGTGGGATGATTGTCGTCCTCATCCCGTGTTTCGTCAGCTAACTCTCGGCGTACAACACCTGGCGGCCATTATTCATGATGTTTGCAGGGGTTATCCGACTGAATAAGTGTCTTAGGCCCCAGGGATAGACACAGGTGGCTTGGCTTCAAGTTGTCCGCATTCCTGAATCCTCATCCAAGGTTGATTCTTCGGGTCCAGTGGGTACCATTTCCCAAGTTGGTCAAGCTTCATGCAGGTGTATGACAATATGGGTCCGATGAGATCCTTTTAACTGGGCTGTTTGGCGGTGCTGGACCCGCTCAGCCAAACTATCTTATCATCTGCGATGGTACCGCCGCCACCGTAAAGCATAACGCTGATCCTACTTGTTCAATGACGCAGAGTACTCCTAATCGCTCTCAGGACTTCTTGACTGCCTGCTAAATTTTCAGCCGAGGCCCGGGTGCAATAGCTTGAGTTTCCTTTTGCACCTCAAGTTTCTCCAACTACATTGTGGAAACTGTTCATCATTGTGTCAGCCGGTTGCATCAACGCCACCCAGGATCCCTCCAACAGCGATATGGACTGCCCAAGTGTTAATACTCCATTCCTGACTGAACGAAAAACTGGGCCTGAGATTGGAGCACTGGGTAAGAGGATTTGTGTGCGACAATTTTCCGAGCGCATCACAGCATGGCCAGAGGAAGATTGGTCAGGCATTTCTGATTCTAAGCAGCGCAGGAGGTTGCAGAACCGGCTAAATCAGAGAGCCCGACGTAAGTAGTAAAGCCTACAGAGCCCCCCCTTCGACACAATGGTGCATTCCTGCATGACGGGTAGGTGACTGATACTTTCATTAACACAGGCCTGCGGAACAAACTTGACTCTCAAGCCCCACCTGACAACAAGGCGAGTAAGAGTGGTAACCGTTCGTCGGCCGACAGGGGAGAACATGGTCTGAAGGGGGTGACGACCCCAGAGTATCGTAAACAAGTCTCGAATAGACATTGCATTAGTGACAGTGTGCCAACAATCTCTCTGGCAGCAATCGAGCACGTACATATTCTTGAGGCAGACTCACCTCATACTCAGTGGATATTGCAACAGCTAGAAATCATAGCGCGCACTCAGTACATGCTCGGCTCCCCGCGTACCGACATGCTGCTCCACCTAATCCAGTTTAATTTCACAAAAGCTCTGATAGAGAATACTAGGGTTTTCGGGCTGACCTCGGAGCAATTACACGACGATGCCATTTCGCCGTTTAATATCGCTGGTCCGTGGCCGTATAATTTCGAAGCGTCGCTTCCTTCTAGTCTCCAACCCACCATCATTCAGCGCACGATACTGCATCATCCGTGGCTAGATCTGCTCCCAGTCCCGGAAATGAGAGATAATCTGATTCTCGCGGAAGATTCATATGACGAAACTCGGCTCTGCCTTGACATGAAAGGGGATGGAAGTGTTAACACGGGCCAAACAGGCATTATTGTTTGGAGAGACCCATGGGACTTCGGGATGGGAAGTCACCGAACCATTTGCTCGTTCTTGGGGATGGGTGATTCGAGGTTGTCGGGATCTCCGTCGCTCTACAAACTCTTGGAGAGCACGACGAAATGAAAGACCTCTTTTTCGGGTATCATAGGACATGGAGATGATTTTGATCAACAATCTGTTACGTTCATCTTGCCCTAGCAAGAGGGGAGGCTAAAGCAGATTCGCATTCCGTAGCAGCATTCACTCTTTTGCTTTGAAAATGAATTTCAAGCGCTGTTTGTTACAGATGTCACCTATCTTCACCCTTGTACCCATTTTACATTATAGTTTGAATCCTAAGCGACCGATGCGTGCATTGAAATCATCATTCCAGCATCCTACGTTGTTCGTTCTTCGGAATGCGCCCTGTGCCGTCACCAACATATCCTTTCTTTGTACAATGCATCCAACAGCTGAAGCGGCTTTCCTTTGGCCATAGATCCCATGGACCCCCCCCCAGGCATAGCGAATGAAGATGGGTTCAAACTGAAAGGGGGAAATACAAATAGTATAATACCAGTACACGTGATTCTAGATAGTGCTTTGCAAAATTATCAAATAACCTTGGTGGTTGGTTGCATAGGCAGCTTTGCATTGGGATTTAACTGGCTGTAATAATCCACAATTACATGCATAGTTAGTTAGTTACTGCATTGCCATTACACAATTGCCAATATTGGCAGTATATGAACTGAGTGGGCTTAAGCTGAAGAAGATCTGACCGATATATTAACTTGGTTAGGATATGCCTGACAGAAGATCTATGATGGAGGATAGAAGGTATGTCAATGGGGTAGGGCAATTCGTCAGAACGAGCTTATTGATGCCTAAGGTATCGACCCCTATGCGATACAAATCCATCATTGAAAACAGGGCTATTTAATCAGGCGACTCCTTCTTCCGGCCGGATTGATCATCCACACACGACCAGGTATAATATGTGCGGGAGCTGGGTATACCGTACAGCTTCTGGGCGGAATGACTCTTCAAACCCTGATGATCTCACTAACCTAGTGATTACCTTCTCGGTGGGTAGTGAGTTGATGAATAGGTGTCATTTTACCTGGAATCACTACACGGAATTTGGCTAGCGGCACTAACATTATAAGAGTGCTGAATCATGTTGTGAAATTTGGTTTCAAACTATACGACACGTGCAGTCACCGACATAAAGAGTTTCATGTAAGGTGTATGGAATTTCATAATAGAGCAGTCTAGTTCCAGCTCAGCCGTACCTAGGTGTTAACACTATACACCCAACTTAGAATGTGCATATTAACAGATCAAGCCTGTAGTATAGCCCGCCTCCACCCCAGTTGTAGAGGGCCTCATTTTTCAGATTATCCTTCGCGAGACAGGTAGAATTATATCAGCAGGTGCCAAGACCTTTCTTCAGTATTGACCCCCCTTCCTTCGGGAGTGGATATCATATCATATACATATCATAATATCATATCCACTATTTCACCACTCATTGATAGATTGGGAGAAACACCCCTTGCTTTTGGTTTAAATCCTTGCTTCTACAGAGGAACTATACGCTTCAATCCACGTAATTAGACTTGATGGGTCTCATACTCTTCATATTCTTTACCGAAATCTAAATATTCACAAAAGTAGGCCATGTTAAAAAAGGGGTTACGAACAATTTTCGCCCAAGTTATATTAAGCCCCCTAGTCCCTTGAAGACCACTTTTCTTTCTTATATATTGGAACACCCGAATTTCTGAATCGATACAGAAACTCACTACAGCCTACGCTTCACTTCTATACTCCATTGTCCAATTATCTATTCAATCCACCATGATGCAGCGAGTCTTCCTCTCCATGATAGTTTTGCTCAGTCTAACTATGGCTGCCCCGCTTGGTGTAAGTTCTTACGCGTTTGTTATAGGAAGGTTAAGAAACAAGAAAACAAAATACTAATGAAGAAATGGCAAAATCCTAGATTGGTGTGAGTAACCTTCTTGCCCTAATTTAAAGATAAAGGGAGAAAGAACAGCCTGCTGACAAAGGTAATAAATAGGAGATGGTAAGCTTTTTGTCGCGAAGCTTCCAAGTATACTTAATTCATTTCTAACTGTTCTCAAGGCCGGTAAGGCTATAGGTCAAGCATGGGGGGCTATCATGCCGGACAGCGTGAATCAGTATATACAAGCCCTCGCTCTGCTTGGGCCATCGGACAACAGCTGACTGTGATGACAGGGCTGCAATCGAGGGCGCTGCTGGAATGAAGTAGTGCGATTATTGATTTACCAGCAGAACCAGGATATAGGTTATAGATATAGTGCTCGTTTCGGGTATCTATTAGAATCTATTGTATCCATGGCGATGGTGTGCTACGGGGAATCTTAATATAAAGGTTGTTCTATCAGACTTCCCTAGAACAGTCGGACACTGAACGAAACACTGGTACGATAGTATCGCATCTGGACTCTAATGGCTCCTCCAATCAGAATAGAAGTGTCATCAGAGTGGAGCCAACTGGGACCAGGCGGAGATACCGGAGGAGATACTTTGGTGTCCACTGCAGCGATCCACGGTATTAAGGTCTTAGCTCCACCAATAAATCCGTTTGTCATCATTGTGCAGATCTCCGTAACCCAATCTGTGGCAGGTGAGGATATGCGATCGCAGCATTTGCTTGGTGTCAAGGCTTCAATCGCCCCACCACAAAGCATCTTCAACAATGCATACGGTCATTTTCGGTTAGAGGCGACGCCAAAACGATTCCCACATCTCCACCTCTCATAGACTAGAGTGATTAAACATAATTTTCATTGCCACGAGCTCCATGGGTGACATATATAAATGGGCAATTTGACCCATTTGAGATCCTCAGAGCTAGGAAAGTACGCCCATCTACTTTTTTCCAATTCTTGCATATCATCATGTCTATCTTCGCCCCTGCACCGAAGCCCCCAAGCCTGCTGGGCTACCACCGCGTGTTAGCACCATCCGCGGGTGTAAAGGTCTCGCCCCTATGCCTCGGAACAATGAACTTCGGCACTACCTGGTATGGCCCCGTATTCGTGCTGTGATGTCTGGAGCTTACCAGTGGTTTCCCGATATAGGAAGGATTTCATGGGTGAATGTAGCAAGGAGCAGTCATTTGCACTGCTCGATGCTTTTTACAAACTGGGGGGCAATTTCCTGGACACGTACGTTCAATCCATGCCCTACAATGTATGATCTTACTAACCTCAGTGGTCATACAGAGCAAATAACTACCAACAGGAAGAATCTGAGATCTGGATAGGAGAATGGATGAAAGAGCGCCGGAACCGTGATCAGATGGTGTATGTATTCCCTAACCCATCACCCATGAAATGTGTATATCCATTGACGTCCAATCCTCAGAATCGCAACCAAGTACACAACTGGCTTCCGTACCTCACATCGCGACACCGAGCCGATTCAGTCGAACTTTGTGGGAAATTCCGTGAAGAGCATGCGAATCTCGGTCGAGCAAAGTCTAAAAAAGCTCCAGACGGATTATATCGACCTCCTATATGTTCATTGGTGGGACTTCACCTCATCTGTCGCAGAGGTCATGCATGGTCTAAATAACTTGGTCAACTCTGGCAAGGTGCTCTATCTTGGGGTCTCCGATACCCCGGCTTGGGTTGTTGTAAAGGCAAACGAATACGCCCGAGTTCACGGGCTGCGGCCTTTCTCTGTGTACCAGGGCAAATGGAATGCCGGCTTCAGAGACATTGAAAGGGAGATCATCCCTATGTGTCGGGATCAAGGAATGGCAATCGCACCATGGGCACCGCTTGGCCAAGGCAAATTCAAGTCTTCGGAGGCCCGTAGCGCTAACACGGACGGTAGTGGGCGAGCTTCTAACATGAGTGAGGATGATATCAAAGTATCAGATGCGTTGGAGAAAGTCGCTAAGCGAAAGAACACTACTCTGCATGCAATCGTGAGTATCTATCAGATTCCCTCCTCATTTAGCATGTCAAGTCAAGGTCATGGGGAATACGGGCTAACCACACATGTACAATCATTAGGCACTGGCTTATGTGATGCATAAGACGCCCTTTGTTTTCCCCATTATCGGTCAACGGAAGGTCGAGCATCTCGAGGCGAACGTGGAGGCCTTGAGTGTGAGCTTGTCTGAAGAGGACCTCGCCGAAATCGATAGTGCATCCTCGTTCGATATTGGGTTCCCAATGAACTTCATCTTCCGCGACAATTACACCTCGAATAACACCGCGGCTGATGTCTGGTTGACCCGCGTGTCGGCTCATATTGATGTGCCTCCTCATCCTGCCCCTGTGCGGCCTCGTTACCTGGTATAGAGTGCAATTTGGTCTACATTGTCACTCTCTCCAAGGAGGAAAACCGACCAAGAAATGGGAGGGTAGAAAAGGAAGGGAGGAGCGTTAGAATTCCAGCTGCCATCTGCAAGACCCATGCTAGGAATGAACTAGGGACAGATTAACAAATTTTCATCAGTAAGGTGAGCAGTAAGCTAGTTAACGTACCTTTTGGTCAGAAAGCCAATCATCATGTCAGAGAGCCTCTTTGTATATAGAAACCCCAAGGATTCTCACAATTTGAACCCTTCTGCACTGTGGTATATTATAGCTCGCCTTGTTAAATTGTTTCAATATGGCAAAGGGTGTGGGAAACGGATACCTTTCGAGACTCCATACCCGATCTAATCGTGACGATCGCTGCATGATTTTTTTTCTTGTTTGAGCAATAGCTTGCTGACCACCAACCAGCTTTCTTCTATAAGGTTCTTGTTGAAGTATGTCGCTTGGCGATATCTTTTAATCTTATAGGGAAATATATGAACCTCGGAGTATTTTAGACATATCTGCAAAGGCAACACTTATTACTTGTAACCCTCCAACCACACTTGACGACAGACAGGTTCATGGAAGGATGAATATATTCCAATGCACACTAAAATATAGAATGATATTGTTTGCGGTAGTATTTAGTGAATTGGCTATGTACCCGAATAACAATCTGGATATTATCTCTTCAAAAGTCTTTAAAGCAATCTGTTTATCTATTTGTTTTCGCGCCTACGTATATCGGAATAATATCTTGTATGAAATGTAACCTCGGGATCCCGTACTCGGAGACCGCTGATCCCTTACGGAGCGCACACCACGGCTACGCCAACTAGTCGCACGGAATATCCTCCGACAACCCTTATTCGGTCACCGAGCCTTGTTTGAATTCGGTATTTATAGGTTGATTTCCCCGGTAAAGAAATTCCATATACCGTACCTGTGAAATATACAATCAATTCATGTCCCTTTTACCTACTGCAATCTACACAGTATATACTTGAGTGGAGGACAGTCGTAGAACTTAGGACCAACAGCAGATAAAAGTTCCCCAAGACCAAACAGACACGGTGCAAAGAAAAACAGGTTGTTGGGTATCAACTGAAACCTTATGTGATGGGTGTATTACTACGTCTACTAAGATCTAGAGAGACTAGGGTTTCTACACAGTAGCTGCATAGTTCAAGTGGATCTCCACCGAGTAGACTAGTCTGTTAAGTCAATTAGCGTACTCTGCACTTATGACTATGGGGCATTCCCATGTATTTTGCAGTACTTGGAGCATAGATCTACGGGTCGGGTGTGCCATTAGTCTTTGCCCAAGCATATATTAGCTGCGAGTCTCCCGGCAGGCAAAAAACGATCAACAGTTTACGTCTGTGCACCCTTTGCACGTGCGAGTATCTCGCCATGAGAACCATTCTCACTGTTCTAACCGCTACTACGTGCACAACCAGCCTTGGCAGTGGACCCGTCATGCAGGGTTGGTCTCACGCTTTCGAGACGGACTAGAGCACCTGCATATAGTCCAGTCATCATCTAGCTGTGTTGCTCATCGTTATCATGACGAGCTGGAAGGCTTTGTCATTTGAGACTGGCTGCTGAGGATAGCCGAGTTAGCCCGTCTTCTGGCTCTTTCCGTCAGGCCATTGCAGATCCCAAGTACGAAGAATCCCGAGACATATGTTCGACGTTCTCATGCTTCTAACTGATTTGCTTATAGCAGTGGCTTTCTCTGCTTCAGATCTCTTCAGCACACCTTCCGGTTCTATGTCGATCATTTCCGTTCATTGTCCACTATGTCTTGCTCTTCGCCCACCGTGCTTCATGTTGCGGTAGAGGATCGGCAAGTGAAATTACGGTGGGCCAGATGATTCCTCACGTCCAGGCGTAGCTAAGGCCGAACGCAAGACCAACCTTGGGCATATCTGCAGAACTACAGGGAACCCCGTCGGAGCCCTAGCAAGGCTCCCTATGTGATTATCAGCCATATAGCTAAGGCTCCAGTCACTATTGGACATATCACTCTTATCACGCTACTCTATCTATCGTGCATCCCCACTATCCGTTGCCCTAGGAGGGTGGAGCTGATTGATAAAACTTTCCCAGTTCATCAGTTGACAATCTCTTCATCGCGCTTGTGATGTATTAATAATGTGGGATAGTGAGAAATAGATGTAAAAGCATATAAGGCTCTAAATATCCAGTGTTGGTCGTAGTTTCATTGCTAATAGATTAGTCAAGGACGCTTGTAACTGATATGTGCAAGATTAAATTCATTCAAAATCGTTCTGTCTCTTCTTGCACTAGTATCCTCAGCCTGCCTTTTGAAGCCCTTCTGAAATGGGCCAACCTAATGACAAGAAGGCTCCTGAGGTAGCCAATGTCATGATATCTCCGACACATAGTATCGGCAAACATCTATCTCCTTCGGCAGGTTCTCTCGAAGTCCAGCAACTATCGCCTCCAGTCTATCACATCTTCTCTCGATCTCGCAAGCTAGAAATGGTGGTAATTGTCTCCCTTGCGGCCATCTTTTCACCATTGTCCTCCAATATCTACTTTCCCGCCCTGGGGGATATCTCAAGAGTAGGTCAACCCTAAACTGTACAACTCTATTCCCAGCCATGATTAAATGATCGATTGTCAGGATCTTCATACAAGTATGACCCTAACAACTTTGACCATCACCATATATATGATCGTTCAGGGAATTGCACCGACCTTTTGGGGTTCCATATCAGACACCTCTGGCCGACGACCCGTGTTAATTGGGACTATGGTTGTCTATATCATTTCCAACATTGCCCTAGGTGCATCTACCAACTACGGCGAGCTTATGGCATTCCGTGCCTTGCAGGCTGCTGGCAGCGCCGCTACGATCTCGATTGGTTCGTCACTCACCGATTAGGCTTGACTTCGGCCACAACTAACACTTACCTACAGGAGCAGGTGTCATCGGTGATATCACGACGTCGGCGCAACGAGGAAGCTTGGTACGCATTTTCGGTGGTGGTAAGTTCTTCGCTACCTGGGAATTCCATTCTTATGAGAGCTGACAGCAAGACAAGTCCGCATGCTCGGTCAAGGTGTTGGTCCAGTTTTCGGCGGTGTTCTCGCGCAGTATCTCGGATTTCGATCGATCTTTTGGTTCCTTACGATTTGCGCCACCGTCAGTCTGTTAACTATCCTCGTACTACTTCCTGAGACCCTGCGGTCCATTGCCGGTAACGGAACGGTTCCTCTTCATGGCCTGCAGAAGCCATGGCTATACTATATCATTGGACAGCCAGGTGTTGAAGAGGGCGCCGAGCCAAGGCTCAAAAAGTCCAGGGTGACTCTTCGAACTGGCTTCGCGCCTCTAAACTTCCTGGCAGAGATTGATGTGTTTATTACTCTTTTCTTCGGAAGTATGGTCACATCCAGTACCTCTGACCTGTTCGAGCAAACATACAACTTGAGCACCCTTCAGGTTGGACTCACGTTTCTGGGAAATGGTAAGACAATTACCTTCAATCCTAGAAAGCAATAGTACTACAGCTAATTAATGCACTCACCAGGCCTCGGATGCATGTCGGGATCCTACACCATCGGCTACCTAATGGACTACAACCACCATCTCACCGAGCGCGAATACTGCGCGAGACAGAACTACCCACTCGACATGCGAGTTAACCTGAAAACACACCCAGACTTTCCGATTGAGACCGCGCGTATGCGTAACACCTGGTGGATTACGATTCTGTTTATCGTGTGTGTCGCGGTCTATGGTGTTTCGCTGCATACCCATCTTGCGGTCCCCATCATCCTGCAATATATCATCGCCTACTGCTCGACTGGCATCTTGACAATTAACAGTGCATTGGTGATTGATCTGTACCCAGGTGCCAGTGCTAGTGCCACCGCTGTCAATAATCTTATGCGGTGACTGGTTGGTGCGGCAGGGGTTGCGGCTGTACAGCCTATGGTTGATGCGCTGGGTCCGGTGTATACTTTCGTTTTAGTTGCTGGTATCACTCTGACCCCGTTCCCTTTGCTGTGGGCGGAGATGAAGTATGGAGCTAGATGGCGGCTTGCTCGACATCAGAGGTTGAACAGCCCTCGGGCTAGTTAAGGCGGATATAGGGGGTGGCTGAATGTGTAGAAGGGCAGTGGAAGGTTACGGGAGTTTGCACGGAGTTAGGTAAAAGAAGGATTTGTCTTTTTGGACACTTTGCCATCAGTAGTAAACAGTGGCAGAGGAAAAGTACCTCCGCTTGGTGCTTGTACTGATCAACCTGGAACGACATGAGAGGTCTTAGGTAACCCGCACAGCCTGATCTAATTCATACAACTACAATGCGGGGCACCGCTTGACGATACAGAAATATCAACCAGGCAATAGCATTATAAAACCCCCTATCAAGATACTTCGAGTGCACGTACAGTCATAGGTAGTCGAATAGGGTGATTTTCCAGTCTACAAGAACTGCTATCTTCATATATTACTGAGATTATTGGTGACCTATCTATCTTGTCACAGTGTTTGTATCAGCTGACCCTTTATCACCCATGGGCCAGAAGTTGGGAACCTGAGCTTGTTCATCGTAAAGATAAACTTGAGCAGGAGTTCGCGGAGCGAACACAGCCATGGGCTCAGACTTTTGTTGCACTTAAGGCAGCTCTTCCTGAGAGAAGTAAGTCAGTTCAAGCTGTTACTCTAGGCAAACCCACGGACGGAAAGTTCACCTATCCCATCGAGAAGCGCCGCGCCAAGGAAAATGTGATAGCCCTGCGTAGGGCGGAAAGGTCTCTAGATGCCTTCTGGGAAGCCATTGACCAACAAATGGTCACTAAGGCCGATGGCCTGTATGGCACGGCTGCGCGGAATCTCCTCTCCCAACCGCGCATCCTGCAGCGCACTCGGGAGTGGATCGAGCCAGAAAAGGCCCAGCCTGCCGCACAGAATAAGGCAGGCCATGTCGATCCTTACGTTTTGTACCAACCAGCATCCAGTGTCTACTCCGGCCTTTCGGCAAGGGCACTGGACGTCTCACAGCCCAAGACCAAGGTCAAAACCCGTGGACCTCCACGTCCTGCCCCCGCACCCGTCAGGGAAGCTGCAGCGCTAGTTCAGCCCGACTCTATTGATCGTCAACCCACCTTCCCTGTGGATGCGCGTGCCCTCAAGGTCTTCCGAGCCCTCTTCTTCAACCCTACAATGACATCCACAGCCGGCGAAGTGGCGTGGAATGACTTTCTGCATGCCATGACTTCAGTCGGCTTCAAAGCCATGAAGCTTTACGGCTCTGTCTGGCAGTTTCAGCCGACCAGGCTGGATGTTGAAAGGAACATCCTATTCCACGAACCCCATCCACAGGGAAAACTACCGTTCCGAACAGCCCGGCGATACGGCCGTAGGCTTAGTAAGACTTATGGCTGGTTTGGAGGGATGTTTGTCTCAAAACAAGTGAAATAGGCCAACTCTGCGAAGCGAGATACCCACCATACGCCCGCGGCATGTCATAGTTCAATTCAGTCTTCAGTGCAGTAATATGCGAGATAGCCACCTGTAAGCTCAGGGGGTATGTACCTTTTCGTATACCTGAATAAACAAGTGATAAAGAAAGGGGGTGTCTGTATTCAAGTACCCCCTTCACAGAATTAGCATTGGCAATTGGATTGTTCAATATATCATAATTTGAATCCCTGTATGAAGATAGTTTTGGGACTTTCATCTAGTTTCATAAACATGTAGTATATTTGTCAGCTAAAGATATACTAGGCACTATATATCGCAATAGGTAAATGGAGCCGTGCCGTACTTTTAAAGGCATTAACAGGTTGCATTGATAATGTTACAAAAGCATCGTTCCTCTTGCGCTGGAATTACATCGCGATTTGGTATAATATTGACAAATAGTCGAGGCTGCTGGTTCTATTAATATCAGAAGACGCTCATCGCCCAGTCTATATCTATTCATCTATCTAAAAGTCACGGCTTGTTTCCTGAAGACTACTAGTTTTGAGTAATTGTGGTAGTATGTAACCTGCAGAGTCTAGTCCCAGTCAGGAGAAAAACACGACAACACCCCAGACGATTGTAAAAATAGCCAGGTGTTTAATATTCCAAGACTTAATTAGTTCTGTCGTTTTCAGTAAGCCAAGTAAGCCCCGTATGAGTTGTGCTAAGTGAATATAAATCCATGTACTCGTGGACCACCACTATGGCACGGGCCGTTGCTGTAAGCCACATTTGCCTGGTAAACTGTAAGGCTGGGATCTCCACATCTGCTCCTGCAACAGTTGCCATGCAGTTAATATACCAAGATCACTAGTTAATGGGTAGGCGTGGAGGAAAGAGTAGTAATTCCTCTTTGCTTGCTCGACAGAAGGTTGTGTCAAGCAGCTTCTTATACTTGTCGGCACTTCGGTGATAAAAGTGAAGGTGTCTAGCAACTAGGCAGCCTGTACAACAGGTAAGGGAAAGTGACGGTACTGATTTTGGTTGCAAGTTTCTTTACTAGATAATCAGTCGAACGCATGGTACCAAAAGCGCCGCTTGCGGGTCTCATAAAGCGTCGCAAAGAACTTTCGGTCTACATTTTTAGAAAAAGCCGCGTCAAGTATTCGCATCGTCCGACCACAACTGACGGAATAGCGTTCTTTCCTCGTCTAGATATTCAGGCTTTATTGAATTTCACAGGATTCGCTGCCACACGTTCAACGCGGCCAGCCATACAGCCCGTATATGCCCAAGATGAGATTGTCCTCTTGCTGTCTTCCGCGTGTCTGAGGGCTCCACAGTTCACCTTCGCAAACATTGCAGAAGACAGCTGAATCCCAAATCTGTCCTAGCGAAGAATAAAGATGAGGCCTCGTTCAATTCTTTACCCGCCCAAAGTAAATTTCGATAGCCTCCCGAACTGTAAGCGTTTGAATGTCGGGAAACATTGCGTTCAAAGTCCCCTCTGCAGGCAAATTCAGACCCCCGTTAGCAGCCCAGCTTCCACAAGCTGCGAGGATCTTCATGAAAGCCCCCGAGACATATTGAGGAGGCAACTTGGCCGCTACGGCGGGAAGAATTGTGCATTGCCCCTTAAGAAGCGTCTCCATTGCGTCGTCATGTCTCTCGAAAGACACTCCTTTGATCTCCTCAGCAATACGCAGAAATTCATTCAAGGTCAGCCTGTCTCCAACGAGAAAACATCTTTTCTCCCATTCATTCAGGCCAAGAACCTTCACAACGAAACGGCCTATGTCCTGCGAATGAGTCAAGACTAACGGGGTGTCGCCATTACCAGGAATTGCGGCAAAGTTGTTATCCAGATCAACCCAAGAAGGCGCATTGAAATCGAAGGCGGACGGTATGTGAGGCGCAAACCAATAGTCCATGAATAACCCGTTGGAAAAAAGAGTATACTCCAGGCTGGAAGTCTCAAGAAGTTCAATCGCTTTGAACTTGAAAGCATGGAGAGGTAATGCTGCAAGATGACTAGTGAATAATAATCAGCATAGCCTATGCGATACGAGATTGATTGTATAGTACCTTGAATCATATTTTGCACCGAATTCACTTGGCATAAATCTCCTGGTGGCTTTCGACCGATCGGCTGCCTCAATGAGATTCAGTTGAGCCTGTCCACTAGCTTCACTCTGTAACGAGACCGCTGAGATGACCGTGTGAACCTCATGTTCTTCGAGAACACTTTGTAGACTTTTGGGGTCCGAGTAGTCCACGGCGAGGACCTTGGAATCATTTGAGTCGTTCCGGCTGAGGATAACGCATTCATGGGAACCATCTTTCTCAATTGCCTTGACGATGGCCCTACCGATAGCGGTGGTGCCGCCTGCCACTGCGACCTTGACCATGATGGAATGGAAAGTTGTTCTGGACGGGTATGAAGGTTATGGCTGGGTGCCTTGATTTATATAATATAGCAGGATTAACGCGAAGAGTGATCAACTTCTGCCTCATCATTAAGAGCTTCTCTCATGAAGAGCATATATATACTAAGTGGCAAGCCAATCAGACCGCGCGTCGGAATACGGGTAATTGGGAGCCGGCCGGGCCGGAAGGTTGGCGGGTCGGGTGCGGGGGTTCCCGGCGGTGTTGTTACTCCCACGGATCCGCGCTCGGTCCACACTTTGTCGCGAACTGTTTGGGTTTTCATCCTTAGTGCCTATACGGTGAGCGATACTCGAGTACCAGCACCTCGAACTAGACTTGGACAAGTGACCTACCTTGACGTTGATTCAGACACTCTACCCCCGTCACGAGAAGCCATGCTCAGTAGCGTATTACACTGCAGTGGGAGGATATTGTTCGAGACATCATGGATTTGCTTCTCCCATGTCCAGCACTAACTCCACCTCTGACTTTGATGCCTTATGAACTCTTGAAATTGTATAGATGTTGTCTCAGAAACCGCAAAACTCCGCTGCCTTGCACGACTTTTTGGAAAAAAAAAACATTAGTGACCAGCAACTGCAATGTACTTGCAGGAGAAGATAATCATCGGTAGGTTTTTTCTTCTATATGTGAATAGTGTACTATCATTAAAACCTCTCCAAGGCCCTACAGGTAAGTACAGGGTCTCAAACTTCATCACCAGGAACGCTGTACACACAGCCCAATTCCGTTCAGCAAGACGGAGCCTGCAGTCCTGAAACTGTTAAAAAGCTTCACCTATGAACTAAACGATCCTCACATGGAAGTTCAAAACTACTTGATAAGTGAGGCTGTTGCCCAACTACGTCAATACATAATCTCAGTTGGACTCCCCGTGAAGGGCATAAAAAACTCATCTGACATCGCAACACTAGGTACTATCAACAGCACCAAAGAACTCAGAGTCTGGTGCAGGGCCCCCTATTTAAACCGTATTTCATGCACATTTATATTAACTGTATAGATCCTCAGCAAGCAGCCAGTGTAAAGTACAGCGGGGAAGGCTTCTCGACAGTGGTGCAAGAAATCGAGAGAGAGACACTCTATGTAGGATGACACCAGATATACAACGACCATACCGGCTACAAAACACCGGCAGCCACCCGACTGGCCAGCCCAACCCTTCCCCAGAGTAATGTATGGCAATGTGTATAATATGAATGGTCTCCGTTATGGCGATAACTGGCCGAAGGAGCATATAGAGAAGGGAATTTCGCCTATATTATCTTGTTCAACATGGTTTGGCCCCCACACGTCGAAATACTGGCAAACGGTTCCTGAACCTATCAGGTGATGGATATGCGTTGGTCGAAAGCACACTCAATGATGCGGTGGTGGGCCTAGTTATATATTAACATAACAGTCTTTAACATGATAAAATAATTGAATATCTAAGCTGCTGCGTATAATAAGGATAATATAGATTCTGCTAACAACCAAATAAATACATTCAATTCGCCACTATATTCCCTTATACACTTTTGTGAAGGATGGGGCACTTCCCTTTATGAGCCACAATGAATAATCTCAGAAGGTCAAGTATTCATGTCAATGAATCTTGAATTCTTCCCCTTCCCTCTTCCCTTATAAGTGCGAGCCACGTATGTATATATATCATACCGCTCCTCATCTCTAGAGCCAACCTGCAACCCACAGCTCCTATCTCTACCACAAAGACCTAAGCCTAGCCAAAGCATTTAATCGTGCTATGTGCAAACATGGGCGAGGACTGCTGGCAAATATGTTGTCTCTATCTATTCTTCCCTCATGAAAGAAATAAAGATCGTGGCTCTATGTGAGTCTTCCTCACCAACTTCATTTCTATCCCTCTTCCTGAAATCCCCTAGCCGAATTTCACTATCCTGTAAGTATCATACTATGCCGTTTCATCTTTTGGACCCCTATATACTAATCCCCACTAAGGGCATGGCTGTGCTGGCTCCATGAAGGATCCGGAGAGGACCGTGACGCCCACTCTGCTCCCACAGAAAAACAAACCAATGAGCCTACTGCGAAACACGGAAGAGCCAGCTCAACATGTCAGCTGATTTTCATGAAATCCTACAGACCAGACAGGCTGTTATCGAGCCATTATCATGGACGAAAGGCTCCTTCTCCTCTCTCAGAAATGCCTCATGGCCCGGCGTCTGCGGGGGCTGCCGCCGTGCGCCACTTCATGCAGTGGAGGCCACCAGACCTCCTGAGTACCGATAAAACTGTAACTAAGCTATATAGTACTTATTTCCAGAGAGAAAGTTAATCAGAAGATTTGGGACTTAGCGAAAAGCGCCTGTCGACATACAGTCCGAGATAGAGAATGCCCGACATGAGTGATCAATAAGAAAGAGCAACGGCCGGGCCTTCACAAGGGCTATATGACGCCAATGCCAGAGTCATGGATCCCTGAGTGCATCACAATCAAGGCTGAAGGGCTATATGGACGTGCAACGCTTTGTAGTTGTACATTTTTGTCTGAACCCTGCGAACTGTGAGACCCCTATGATACTGTCAATTGCTGCAATCTGGCAAGTGGCCCAAAGAAAGAGTGATTGCTTCAGCACACACTCACATGTGTGTGTATCTCTACTATTGGCCTTTTGGCCGACATTTGTACTAGGAGGTCCACCTGCACCCGGGTGACAAGTGATGGAACCGAGACAGTATGTATTCATATTTTCTTTATCCATTGAGGTCACAAAACGCAGCTCGCGTTGGCGGGCCAGGTATGGGATCCTCTGCCTCGGGGAGGATACCAAGTTAAGCATTCAAACTGTCGAATGGGGGCCAAGGGGACGCAGAAGCCGACATTGTCATGATCATGTTGAATTCCTGGTTAAATCGGAGCCGCTCAGTGCTGGCCTTTTAGGGCATAAATGTCTGCAAACGCCCGAATTATTCACCCACGGCCGATGTGTTGCTGAGCACTGTGTATTTCTGGTAGATGCGATCCTAGCAGTACCCACGAGAACTCGCAACAAGAACAGCACATTATAGGTCTCTGTGCTCCCGGTCAGTGGGCTATTAGCACTATACACTTGACAGTGTAAGGGAGATTTTACCACGTTGCATTTTCGGAAAACTACCGAGACATTGATGCAACTGGTACCTCAGACTCAAGCGTCGTCAACGCTTTTGTATTGATGGACCGTGCAACTCCAACTGTTGGTACCACTTCCTATTGTTCCTTTTGGCGGCTTCTCAACAACCCTCAGCCTACATTCCATTCGATACTCAAAGTCTCTCGATACAATCCGCGGGGGTCAGTTCGTCCCGTGGTTGCGTCTAGGCAATACCCTTACTGATGACAGACCTGCGTCATTCAGTCCGCCTGCAGCTGCCTACCTGTTAATCTTCTGCCCCCATTGAAGGACTTGTAATCTGCTAGTTCCACCGTGATTGACGAGTCGGTCCACATGGTTCACCTCTTCCTCGCTCCTGAGAGCTGCGGTGACAAACCATCATGTCCCCGAAGGACCCATTTCCTATGGGTATTTCTGAGATCCCGCAAAGTCACCATGGTTACATTCTAGTCTTGGGCTCGCCCACTAGCGTCCAAAGATCTACAGTCAACACAGACTGGGCGTGTGTGCCAATGGACTGCCACACAATGTGTTCCTGATACTCAGCCCCAGCAGCATGGAGCGCTATATCATTGGTGCTTACGAATGTCTTAGATTGGGCTATCAAGCAACCGTGGCTACACGACACCATACCAACCAACACGTTATAGTGGCTCTCGAAAGACCTCCAAAACACCTTCTATTGTCAATACATCGTTCCAACAGCAACCCGCCAGATATTTCCAAGGATATAATTACAGTGCAGCTTGGGAGGAACTCAAGCGGGCTATACTCCACGCTGGCAAGTACAGGATTAAGCTCTAGAAACGAACAGTATTCGCAACGGTTACTTCCTATTCGCATTAGGGCTCCAAGGAAATCCAGTGGAGAAATGGCCAATGCCTTTGTGGAACTTCGAGCGTTTGCCTGGGTAGCGAGATACAGCTTAGGCGGTTGGGCCATGGTTGCCAATCCAGATCTTGCTGAATCTTTGTTACCAAAGGATACACGGCAACTTCCTGGCTACAGAAACTGTCCGGCGATCTGTATATCATAAAAGCGGCAAGGAATACCCTATTCATATTAATATTGGAGAGCCGAGATCAGTTTTAGCTATCTCGGGGTCATTATCTGAAATCGCAAAGATGCAGCCGCAAATAAACAGGCAGCTCACCGCATGGATTCGCAGCCTGCTATCATTTGAGGGATTGCCCATAGTATCCATCACACACAATCGATATGCTCAATATTGAAGGCCCTAGCCGGCAATGTTTCAGGCTTGGGACTTCCGCCCTCTCTTATATCAAATACGGTCAACGAATCCGAACCAACATCTACTGTCGACTGTCCAGAGGGCTATGATGGTTGGGGACCACAAACTGTGACCCCCAACTTTTACCAGGGAGCGAATGCAGAGATTGAATAAGATAGGACATCTATCTGTAATGCTGGATATCCAATATCGCTCACATGGCAGACTCTATAGCCTAGCATCGGAGATCTTCTACAATGGCGAAGCACAGCCCATTGTACTGATTGTACTATAGAATGAGCCGGTTCTTCGATAGAATAGTTTCGATAAGTGGAATAACTCGGTCTCGTGTTTATTCTGAGGGTTTAAGTCTCTTTATTGTGTGGATCCAATTTCCAGAGGCGTGTGGCACTCGACTTTTAACAACGGGAACGCCGAGATCGCGGTTTATCTGACCTCTGTTCTTATGAACTATATCCGCAATTTCCTTATTATATCACCATACAAAGCGCAAGTCGCGTTGACAACCCAGGACTGGGAGGTATGCAGTAGACCGACGAATATGAGAATTGACGAGGAAGTTAACAAACACATTATGGTCTCCTATCTGTCCAATAACCTAACTGGCTACTATCTCAGTTAATACTTCCAGGAAATGCTTGTCGAGCTGCGACAGTAAGTCTTAAAATACTGTCAATAATAACTAGTGGCTCACTGGGTGATTCGCAAGGATACTATATCAATCAGGGGAGAGTATATCTAGAATCTAGGGAGCCAGCCCCAGGGCTACCACTCAATTGCTCTCCATGCGTTGTGTGGGTACATTGATGGGTACACACTGAACTCAAGGCTCTACTCGAAATCTACGCCTGGTTGCACAGTCCATTACTTATAAACCACATCCACAGCAATCGCTCCGCATTTAAAAATGTCTGTGTAATTTTCCCAGGTTACTTTGGTGGCACCTGCGGGAACTATAAACACTTGAACATGCCACATTCAGACCGTCGATGGTGTTTAGGGGACAGAAGTGGGCATTGTAATCGTCATTCTAACAAGGAACAATGGGACTGTATAACACAATCTACATTGCAGGCCGTTCCTACTTTGCTGTTTCGTCCGCAGCGAGGGCACGACCTTCTGAGAAAGACACCGATGTGTCGTTACTTCTGTTAGGTATGAGCATAAGCCACAGTGAAAGACGAGGATACAAGCTTATTAAAAGACTGGCTGGAAGCGTGGATCCGGAGAGGGCTCTAACAAACAGGACAGCCTAGTTGATACACTAAACATACCAGTCAAAGACAAACGACATGAGTTTCCCATTGTGGTATATAATGCTGCAGCTTCCCCTGACCGTTATGAAGCACGCGTTGGTGGGCGATGCGAGCTCTCAGGTGTCTGACATCCACGCCGCAACACATCTCATGAACTCTATCAATCATGCAACGGTCACCACTGTCAGGAAAGGAAAGAGAAAAGGGAGAGCAGTCTTACGAAATGGCTCAATCAATTAGTACTTAACTATGATCAACCAATCTACCAGTTTTCGCACTGCGCCGGTCAATTCTGGTAGGATACTATTTTTCGTACATTTTTATATCGGTCCGATCTGGCCGATTTCCTTACACCACCAATAGGTCTGTTCTACGGCAGAGACGAGTTTGAAATAGTGATGCCAAAACTATGTCTGTATCGGGGCTGCCCCGTGATTGGTGTACGTCTGTTGCCTTTGAGAGTCTGATGAATAGTTTAGACCCAATTCGAACCGGAGGAGTTTCTTTGAGTAAAAGGGCTAAATGGCAAGCTCTAAATATCCAAAAGAGCTCGAACTCGCAGCTCTAAAGCTACACAGAGATTGGCGCCTAGCCCAGCATACCCGGGTCAAGTGAAGACTCGCGATCGTGGCATCATAGGTAATGACAGCTAGCTGGTCTTGGCCGGTGGGCCGTCAGCTCAACATGATGTATCGGATGGGGGGGTATCCAAGTACACGAATATGACCTGTCCAATAGCTCGGCTGGCTGGGCGCTTGTGCCTCGGCCCTTACGCCCTCCAGAATCAAAAAAGAAGATACACTCGTTTCCTTCAAGAATCAGAAAATAGCGGTCAGTATTCAATTCATGTAAGAATTGGCAGCATTGATGGCACGTATGGTGGAATTCTGGGCTCGAGATCACAAATATGTATCTTCTTTTTCTTTTTTTTTTTTCCTCTTGCGTCGCGGGACGTCGTCCGAGGGTTGAAGAAACCGTGGATCTACAGTGTTTTCACCGTGTTTTAGACATGTCAAATTTTCGTTTCGTGTCTAGAGAATCTACTATGCAGGATATAGTTAGTTTTGTTTTTATTATTAAAAAGAAAAGTCACATAGTTAACCAATACCACTGTCAAGTTCTAAAACCGACTCTACTAGTACCATAGCTCGACGATTACGTTCCCCAGTATCTATCTTTAAAATCAATAGAATAGTATATCGGTGGTAGGACCAAAGAATGTTATAAAAGCTAAGCATGTTAGCATCATGATTCTACCATCCAGTTTTGGCTCGCTGTACTTCCACTGTAATCAAATTAAGTATGCAGCCTGCACCGTTTCTTCAGCCCTAGGACCTCCGCGTAGGTAATACGGCCGGGTAGGGGGATGTATGGAAGCAATCCTGGCGAAATCGTGCTTGTTCCTTGGCCAGGGGTGCTTAAATAGAGATGCATTGAATGAGACTAAGTATCCGATTTCATATAGAATTATTGTTAATGTCTGCCGTCAGGTATATACATTAGGGTTGACAAATTGACCCTTCATTTCCAAGACGCGGGGAAATATAGCGGCTGTAAAAAATAGATATCGCGAAAACAAGCACTAAGATAGAAGGATGTAACCCGAGAAAGAAAGAAAGAACACAGAAAATCACTGGCCATGTACAGACGACAGCAGCGAATCAGGAGTCCAGCCATCATCGGTTAAATACCATAGCTTTCCCTCCCGTGCACGACACAGCATATTCAAAAGACACTTTTCGACACCCCTACGTGCCTCAAGACTGAGATGGCCCAGAACGTCCGTCATCTTCATGACATAATCGATCTTCGCGGCTCCGTCCCGGTGATATGCCACGAAGTGGTTATGCAGGAATGCACGCAGACTGTATACCGAAGTTTGCCACACGTTTCGTGAGGTTGAAAGAGCGACATCCAGTAATGCCATGTCATTATAAATCTCGGGCGCGGGTAGTGCTGCTGTGACAGGTGAGCGGGATATGGATTCTTGCATCGTGATACAGATGGAAAATAGACAAGCCAGTCTGTCGTAGTCGGAGGAGAAGCTGGCGGCCTGGGAAGGGCTTTCGTTGGCTAGGTGGAAATTCGACCGTAGGAGTAAAACGGCATCGTACAGAGAGGGGTAAGACGCGAGGCCGTCCAGATATAGTCGAGATGAGAATGCCATGAGGGTTCGCATGTCTTGAATGAAGGATATCAGCCACAGGCAGCGGACCTTCTGTGTATCCACTAAAGCTGCTTTCGCTGCATTCTGAAATGACTGCTCGGATATTTGTGATATGTTATTCGACGACTCGAACCACGTCGGTTTAGACATTAAGGAAACGCTGTTTGACACATTAGCTACGGCGCTACCATAGCGGTATAGAAGCTTACAGATAGACGACAAGCTCCAGCCGCCAATTATCGTGCAGCTTATCAATACCACCCCGTGCGTCGATCATTCTTTGAAGACCGGTACGATGCACCATCCACTCCTCTTCCGTCCCCCAATATCTCTGCACATAAGTCAGTCATGTATCAATTTGAATCACCAGACAAGCCTCGCGGGAAGAGGAAAGGGGCACGGAGAAAACCATTGTCATGGTGGGGGGGCGGACGTGCCTCAAATGTTAAAAGCCGAATAACAGCAGCAAAGGCATCGTTACTCAGCGATTTCTCTGGGTCGGCCATCCATGTAGAGAGTATGCTCACTGCCTCAGATTTGTATTTCAACGCATCGGCGGAGACGGTTCCTTTGGAAGGGTTCATCCCCGCGTAGAGATGAGCCAAATGAGCTGCTGAGTGGGCCATAATCCCATAAAAAGAAGCAGCGTTGGAGAGGTCCAAGGGAAACCAAACATCTTTCATCGGGTTAAAGCTCGGAATGGCGACATCATCGAACATCATAGCCGCGTGGGTAATTAGCCCTGGCATCGAATTAGCCACGCTAGCACATAAGAGCATCCCTCATGGAACCCACAGTGATGGAGCAATTTGTGGTGTTTACTTGTCAATTGAACCGGAAACATCTCAAAGGGGTCGAGCCTGGAAGATGCAAGGGCGTGGTTGAGTCCGGTTAAGGCTTGTGTTGGCACACCAGAATACTGGCTTCGGTGTTTTCTTCGCCGTAATCTGAGTATCTGGATTTTATACGGGTCGGACTGGGCTGGTGCAGCAGGAAGACATCCTCGGCACAATGATACTCAACTACTGGTTCAGGAGTGCGGTTTGGTTTGGGTTTACTATTCTCCACGGGGCTTGTGTGAGGCAATATTTTCCTCTGGGTTCGGCGATCTTCTGATTTCTGCTTGCGCCGTTGGCGCTGCCTCCAGTGCTCCCGCATTGCATGGCTGCGAGCTTCGGCCAACGTGCCCTCGGTTACGAAGGCGAAGCGGGAACCCCCATCCTCTGCTCCCGAGGAGTGAGACGGGGACCGCCCAGAGTGTGACGGTGAAGGCTTCTCATATCGTGGAATCATAGTTTAGAGTAGTAGAGTGATTTTCTGGCGAGTCATGGAAATGTGTTTGTGGTCCTGCTGGACATGTTAGTGGCAATAGCTTCTGACGGCAGTAAGTACTGGCGGAGTTAGTCACACATGAATTTGTCTTTATGAACGACTCAATTCAAGCGATACATCCTAATCCAGCGTGTGTTATCGGGAACTACAAGAGTATGCAACACTGTTTTCTCATGATGTTGTGAAACAGGTAGAGAGGTATTTGCCGTTCAGATCCCTTTGGTAAGGAGGGAAATTCGACGAGGGTCTATTTTGAGTATTTATTAGTCATGATCGGCTGATCCACTCGCCCTCGGCGGAAGAATCTTCGCTTCTCACGTTTCTTGGTCGTTCTGCTTTTACGCAGTACTAGTGGCACTTCCTCTTGGTCAATTCCACGTGGGAAGAACATTTGATTCGGTCCTGGTGGTGGTATTAGAGTGTACTAGTATACTCTTGTGCCGCTGCTAATTGATCCATAATGGCACCCATCGTCACTCTTCAACGCCATGACGTCTTACGTTATGGACGAGGTACTCCCAGTTTCCTGGGTCTTCAGCAAAGTTAATAAGAACTTAACTCGAGAAATTCTGGGTGGTACCCCCAAATCGAGACCAGCATGCAAATGAAAGATCATCCATGGGTGCAAATTCCTCAGCTGCGAGAGTTGCATCATCGTCACCCACCCCCAACTAATCCCCTTTAGTCGATAGTCTAGATCGAGTCGCATGAGAAATTCGGGTCGGTGGCGAAGCGTTCCTTGACATGACAACCAATCGGTCTTCGGGAAGATCCACCCCATTCTCCTCCCTGTAGGGTCGCGCGAGACCGTGGGTGCGCCCGGTCGACAGGTGTGCTCGTCTAGAGTCCACCTTGATAGGGCGGTTTTGCTTTTGCCACAGGGGAGGTTGACAGCTCCACCCATATGCAATCTTTAAAACCTCTAGGTTATGGCTCGGTCGGGGGTTTTGGTTTCTGGCCATACACAAGATAGCTGCGAAACAGTTTAGCGAACAATATAGCTTGCAGTTCGAACCCTACACGCCGGCTACGGTATGCACGGTAGGATTCTGGACATCCTTTTTCGCCCCGGATACAAGCATATTAACCTCCTCTTTCGGTCAGCCTTCGAACCCTTGTGAGGATCGCCATGGCACCTACCTCAAAGCCAGTCTCCGCTTGTAAGAGATTCCAAAACCCCGATGGTTTTCTAGCGCGACACGGACGTTAGATCAACACTACCAGCGGTCGACCTGGTCCCACAATACATAATACGTATCCTTGGGCCAGCCCCCAACAGGAGCACGGTACTTCTTCACGTGAACCTCTTCAAACCCTGCTTCTTGGAGCCACTCACCTAGATGCGGACCTGGGCTAACCATAAACCCGGGCCTTGGTGAAACTGCCACAAACCACCGAGTAGGATTTCTCGGCCGACCCATCTTCTGAATACACGTCGACATCCCAGTCCTGAAACTCAACCCATACCCCAGGCTTCGTGTACCTGCCGAATTAAGCCAGGGGATCACGTTGTGAGAGGGTAGGAGGCTCAACCTGTATGCCTGAGTCATGAGCCTCGGCCGGTTCTTCATAGCCCCAGCCAAATATCGACTATGGATGAGGTCGAATTGGTCTTGGTAGATCCAATCATCTTCGAAGTCGTCGACCAAGAACATAGCATTTGGAGGGACGCTGCGACGTCATTCCGTCAGTTGGGGCCGGTACACCAAAGTTGACGACCCACAATTGAGGCTGTATCGGGCTCAAATGCATTCCAACAGCCTGAAAAGATTGAATGTCTGTTCAAAGGCCATTGCTCTAATTTAATGTAGGCCAAACCTCCGCTGATGGGGAGTTGTCAGCTGTGTAAGTTAGTAAGGAACCTGAAGGTGTATTGATCTAGGTACTTCACCATAATCCATTACCCATAGCCCCGTTCCAGCGCCGAGGTCTAGCACACGTTCCGGCGAAGACTCGATAGGGGCCAGAAACAGTTTCCTGTTCATCTTTACCAGTAGCACCTCATGTAACATATCCGGCCTATCGGATTCTTGTTCGTCACTAGGCCCAAGATATTCTGTCATTCTATGAGAATGCATCGACTTTGCTGTGTTTGAGGCAAAACCTTACCGCCGTCGCGATAACCATGTTAGAGTCTGCCGTTTTATAGCGATATGCAGGTGCAGATGAAGAGAGAGAGGTTGAGTAAGCTGACCTGGTAGTCATCAGTAGCCTGTATCGCAGCTAGAGCAAGAATGCGCCTAACAGGTCTTGTCCATATGAGGAGCTGTTATCTGTGGCCTGCATTGTGATGGTTTCAGAGTATTGTCACTGGTTTGGAGGTTCAATAGTTCTGGGAGTGCGCCCACCTCAAGATCAACCCCAATCACAGGAAACCGAGTGTTATCATCGCTATCAGCTTGAATAAGTCGAGACTTATCGGGCAATAATTCTAGTACTGTGCCAACAGGGTATACTTCGATTGGCCGGTGTCGAAAGTCCAATGGTAGTTGACGATTGTTGAGAGAATGAAAAGCTGGGGGTTGGCCGTATTTGTGAGAAGAGGCCGCACACGTCCCTGTCCTTTTAACGAGTAGGAGTAGCTATATTAAAGTGTTCATATGGCCTGGGAAGATCATCCGACCTCTCTCCAACAATGAAATTACCCGGTTCGGACAGCTGCACTAACGAAGGTGCGTCCCTAGCCTAGTTTAGCGTACGGTCCACAAGTGCGCCAGTGCCCATCGGCATCTCAACGGTTTTTCATTTTACAACATTTAGTGCTGATCCCTGTGCTGTCCTATACAACGCCTTTCCTACGCCAGACTAGCCTTCCCACTAACTTCGATCAATGGGTCGAGTGGGCCTGGCAGGACTGGTTAGGGCAAGGTTACGGCCATACAAAAGAGTCAATAACAGACGACTCATTAAAGTGACAGAATAAGAACTACCCGTATTGTTGCTGCCTTAGTGTATTCTTAACATTAGACTCTACTTCGTAGTGATATGTTTATTCGTGTCTCTTCGGCTGTTTGCTAGAAACCTGGCTAATAAGATAAAGTGTAGATCATATATCCATGGAATGCTTGGGGTGCCATACAATATGTTGTGGATTAACGAATATTAAGCCATGGAAATACGTTTTCTCGGGGAATTATGAGTCCTGATCAACCCAGCATAGAGTTCCTAAAGCCCTTCCTACACCTACTTGAGAACGTGGCCGGTTTGTACGGAGTGACCTTTGGACTCTCATCGCGTATCTTCTGTTAGGGATAAAGTGCCACAGGCACGACCTTAGCACCGTAGAATGTTTTGGTCGAGTGAGATTGACGTCTTCTATACTGATGCATACATCCATACTCTTCTCACTGTTCCCATGCCGATCCTGCTTAGTGTATCATTGTTTGATAGAATAAGTCCGTCTTGATTCTTAATAAAAATAGATTCTCTCCCCTGTTCTCCTGTACTCTTTCCCTCATTTTTCGTTCTTTCCATTTGTCCAATGCGTGTATCCTTGGTAGGAACTCATTGTAGCAAGGCCTACACACATATACATATATTAAGATCCAAAAAGCTTTGATATAGGATCGGAATGTCCGGCACAACTTATGAATTCCTCTCATGCTCTGGATAGAGCTCCACAATTGACCGTGTTACATGCCCACTTGATATCCATCACCGACGGACCTTTTAGAAGGCTTGTGAGCATGGGACTTATGCGACATCCGCACCTTCCTGTTGTAGATCAACAGCGGGGTTGGACTTTTGCCCTTACCTCTCCTCTCGGCAGTTCTTCCTCTCATCCATCTTCTTCTTCCTCTCTATCCTTTTCTTCTTCTGTATCCTCTTCTTATCTATCGTCTTCTTCTCCATCTCCTTCTTCATCAATCCTTCTTCATTTCCTCCCAGTCTGCTTCGTTCTTGAATCCACTTTCCTCAAAATGTACATCTTCCCCATGTCTCCTGTCTAGGCGTTCGGGATTGGTCCCCATGGGCAAACTGGTCTTTGTTCAGGAAAATGACTAGGTGGGTACACCATCCAAGGATCAATGATGAACCCGTCATCCTTCTGAGGGCTGCTGGGGGGCCCGCTGAAGAGAATGCTAATCTACTGAGTGAGGATTGGGAGCTTTCATGCGAAGCCCGCTTAGTCAAGGATAACTTTTGTCCAGGCTAACCCCATTTTCTTTTGCATCTTGCAGGTATCCGGTCATCCCAGAGGCTCGTTGCCTTTGCGCTCAGCCGATTTGCAATTGCTCTGGTTGTTTCCGGTAAGCCCATCCACCCCGTCATCGTCCTGTGGGATGCCACTTTCATTCAAATGACCTAACGTTCCCGCATCATATAGCTCTCGTTGACCGCTATGCAGAGCCCCTTTCTCGGACAAAATGTATTTCCAACCTGTAGCTGTACATCACATTGGCTTAGCTGGAGACGAAACAAAAGTCCACGGAGGAGAGAAGGAGTACCTGGTCAACCGACCTACATTCTGTAAATACGGTCAGTGGTAGAAAACCAGCCTCTATATGGGTAGTCTTGTTGTCTGAAATATGAATGTAGTATCCCAGCGTCGGAGTTCCAACAGGAATTTTCCAAGGTACATAGGAACGAGGAATGGAGTAGTGTCTTCAAAGTTAAGTATCCAAAACGCTCCAGATTCTACTATGTCTATGATATTGAAGACCCAGGAGGAGGAATGTAGATAATTATGACAAGGCTATCATAAGGTTAGGAATTGAAATAATAGGGAGAATGCTTGTCGACTATGCACCTCTCGCTCAACTTTGGCTTGGCTCCCATTGAGTAGATTGTATAGTGAGGAAGATTCTTAGCCATATTAGTGTACGAAGTATATGCTCCTGAATAAATAATAGAGAGAAATTGTGGGTGCACAGTTAAGGTGATTCAGAAGCAACATTAGTCGTCGGCTAAGAAAATAAAGAAAGTTGTACATGGTGAGGATCGAACGCATGACAAAAAAACTTTGCTCTGGGAATTGTTTTTGTTTAACCCGTCATTTTTCCCATTGAGCTATCATTGGCTGGGGTAACTAGATTACAACCTATAGGAATCATCACTATAGGTCCAGAGTCATTCATCACTACCCGTAACTTTTGGCATTGTTTACAGAACCAAAGCGAGTATATCCGAAGGGGCTCGAACACGTGATAAATAATTTATTCGTGGGATGTACTTTTGCTGCAGTCCGGTTTCCATTAAGTCATCACGGATACTAACCTTAAAAGTTTTTTTGTTATGGTCTATATCCTTCGGACTTTCATTTAATTATTTACCGTATATTTTTCAAGAAAATTTTAATTGTTTTCTATGACTATAATACCTGTCAGTTGTTTAAGTTTGCTATAAAGAATCATAGCTGACAGCCGGCAAAATGCTCTTACGGAGTACAAACTAATGCTAGACCTGACGGTGCTCGAACCCGTGTCAACAAAATTCATAGGGGAACATTTTTGTTTAACCTGTCAGCGTTCCCATTAAGCCATCGGATGCTAATCTACGATTTAACGTCCAACTACCTTCATGCTCATATACCTTCAGATATTTTCTTCCCCGTTGATTAATACTTTAGAAGTCGACTTAGCCATATGATCTAGGCATGAAGGTCCTTTACAACACGAGGAAACAATAACCAAAAAAGCGCTGGAGGAAACCTCTTAGCAAAGGACACTCCTAACAGACATTTTGTACTCTTCTTATGATGATCCCCCCACATTTATATTCGGATTACTTTCGCTATTCATTGCAGGCAATGACATGGCAGTACCTAGGTCCAGTCAATGCCAATCCTCCACACTTGACTACTCCGTATGCTTATTGAGGTACGCAGTAGTACTGTGATATCTCTTCCTCTCAGTCAAAGTCACTCATTGTGGATCCATCGATGCGTTTTCTGGTGGAGCTCCTGGTTCCTGACACGGGACGGATTACTCCGCCTAACCAGACCTAGAATTTAACACTGCACGTCGCTAACTTCAGTAGGAAAGTCGTCACGTTAAATATCTCGAATTTTCTGGCTCAGAATTAAAATCTCAATAAAAATAAATAGGCGGGGCTATAGTTCATCATAGGGCCACAGGCACCTCAATGGTGGACGCGGCGTGGAAATGATATGCATATATAATTTGCGTGAAAGTTCTCGGCCATGACCGATCACTCACTAGACTGCAATGTTTTATTGACAAGACTTCTGTCTTCTGCGCACATCGTGGCTTGGCAGGCGATTCGTTGTCAATTTAAATCCGGACTGTTCTGTTGTTTACTCAATCACACAAGGTGCCACGCAAGCTTCGTCGTCACTGAGCGTGCCAGTCTGGGAGGACCGATCGAGAAGATATTCCGAGCAGGTATTATTACTGAGGTATCCACCTACACTGTGCGATTAGAAGAACGATCCAACATTGAAAATGTCCCCATTGGTTCTCCTTCGGGCTCAAAGACATTGTAATAAGTTAAAAAAGTTGTCCCTAATCCTAAAGGGCGATGGTGATGAAGACGAGTTGTTGGGTGGGCTCGTGCTACATACCAATGAGATGTCAGACACGTCTCCACTGGGGCTGTCCGCTAATCCTGATTCTGTCGATTCGAGAACCATTGGTTGATATTCAGGATGCGGCCGGCTTGCGATTCGCCCCTTACCGTGAGGTCATCCACTTAGTTTCTGCCCCCAATTCTGTTTTCCTTTTTTTTTTTTTTTTTTTTTGCAGGACGTAAGGCAGACCTGGATTTGTGCATTGGGGTTGAGGCTCCATCGTAGTGGTCCATCGACTCTCCAACAAAATGGCCGATAACACCTAGTTCAATGCATCGACCACTCTTGACACGCTTCCTCTTCCCATCCCCATCCGCCATTCCCTTGCTTCTCACTCATTTCGGCCTCTCACCCGCGAGAGTGCTCATACATCTATAATGTCTAAGAGACGGTTGTTTCGCTGGCCAGCCCCCCGAACGGTGTGTTTAGGATGTTTGGCGCTAGTCTTCACCACGTTGGTGACGATGTTCCTATACATGAGCGAGCCGTTGGACATACAACCAGGTATGTATACTTATCTCAGCCCCTATCTTCCCGTTTCGACAGGGAGTTTCCCACATTCCAATGATATCATGCTCATGGATACGCAGACCCTGAGCCCGTGAACAACCAAGTCTTTCGCCAATTATCCGAGATCACGAACACCTACACGAATGCAAGTGAAGTTGGACTGGTGCTCGCAGCCACACAAAGGGAGGACCTCAACTGGCTCCTCAACTATTGCCGGGATCAGTACGACATTGTGCCACCCTTAATCGCGGACCGCGTCAATGCTAATATTTAACCTTAATTGCCGACAGCGGAACAATCCCTTTCATCTATACCACAGATACCCCTCCCGCCCCTTACCTCCTCGTCCCCGAGACCACTCGCGGTCGCGAGGCCACCGCCTATCTATCCTACATCGTAGACTACTACGATCAACTCCCGAAGTACACCATCTTCATCCACTCCAACGTTGACCAGTGGCACAACGACCTCTTCGGCCCGCGCACCAGCTCCGTGCTGCCCCATCTCCGTCTCGAGGCCGTCGACGCGCAAGGATATGTCAATCTCCGCTGCGAGCATAACCCTGGTTGCCCGACGAGCGTCAACCCATGGGAACCGACGCAGATTGACATCGAAAAAGATGACATCCGCGCGTACTTCCCCCAGGTCTACGAGACTCTCTTTAACGTCGGCCCGGAGAAGGTCCCCCAGCATATCGGCAATGTCTGTTGCGGACAGTTCGCCGTCAGCCGGGAGCGCATTCTGCAGCGACCGCGACACGATTACGAGCGGATGCTTAAGTGGGCGGCGCAGACGGAGTTGACGGATAGTTTTGGCGTCGGGTGGGTGTTTGAGAAGGTGTGGCATGTTGTTTTCGGCATGGAAGACATGTAGTAAGTTCTTCGGGTTCCGATCTTTTATGATGGGGGCGGGAGATGCTAACAGGCCGCAGTTGTCCTCGTTACGAACAGTGTCGATGCGATGCATACGGATGGTGCGGGCCGTTGCCGTCGGGCGAAACACTGCAGGCAGTGCGAGCCCCGCGGTCCAAGGGAAAATCGACCTGAGTAGATGATTGTTAATGTTGATGTATACTACCATGGATATACACTGGTTACGAGTTTAGCAGCACCTAATTGATGTTTTTTTTTTCGGTCAAACCCATGTCATACGTCCGATATTTATCTACCCTAATACCACCAGACGAAAGCACGACCTGGACCAGAGGATAAAGGGAATTAGGAAACTGGATGCGTGATCGCTGACATCCAGCCATTCCACCCCGAATCTCAAACAACAAACAAACCACATTTAAAAAGACAAAAGGTATCATTATTATCATCGCACATAAAGGAAGGACCACTCCTCAGTCATGATGTATAGCCTGCTGATGCTTACCACTCACAGGCCCAGCATCCAGCTCAAACAACCCCTCCTGTTGCCTCCCAACTTCAGGCGCCGGCGCCTCATGCACGTTCTCGCTATCCAACATGGGGACCTCCGACTCGGACGGCCTCCGTCTCGGCATCGGCCGCAGAAACAACGAGGGGTCATCCGAGTTGGAAAGAACCCTCGAAGACCGATCGCCTGGCACCAACGCTGCAGGTACCGGTGCTGGCGGGGGCGGAGAAAGAGGTTTTCTGGGTATACTACTCGCCACGACCACCTCAGTATCAGACGGCGGACTCGGCGGCTCATGACTGGACGGGGAACTATTTGAGACAGCAGCAGGCACTTTATTCTCGGCTTTCTCGACATCCTTCCCTACTGCCCCTGCGGCGCCAGCAGCAGTGAGTCCAGCGAGGACGGCATCCTTCCGTTTTTGTTTCCTTTGTCGACGAATGCAGAGCCAGACGAGGAGCACGATGAGAATAACTCCGATGATGACACCAATCGCAATACCGGCCTTCGCGCCGGAGCTAAGCCCTGACCCTTTTTCACTGCAAGAGAACGAGCCCTTGAACGCTCTCTTGTCCGACGCAAGCTTATCTAGACTCGAGCATTGGAACGAGCCCGAGCTCTGAATCCTCGTTTCGCCGTAGACATTCTCCAGGTTCCCAAGCGATATCCTATATCAACATCAGCACCAAACCCCATGCGAGAAAACGGCCCCCTCAAAAAAGGAAGCAAAAAGGAAAAAACCAACCGATCGAAGTCCCCACTCAAGATCAAATTCCCATTAACCCTCTCCAAATCATCCAACCTCACCTCCTTCAACCCCTCATTCCCCTGAATCTTCAGCTCGCCCCCGACGCTCTGCAAATTCGACAACGAAACACTATTCAACGCCCCATTACCGGTGATCGTGAGCGGCCCGCTGACGGTTTCCAAATTGCTAGCGGTGACGCCATTGAGATTCGACGAACCCTCGATCGTGAACGGGCCTTTGACGTCTTGGACTTCGGGGATGCTGATGGTACCGCTGGCGGAGGAGGAGACAGTGAGCGGGCCGTTGATGGTTTCGCAGTCCTTGAGGGCGTCGGCGTCGGATTGGGAAGATATGTTCAGGTTTCCTGAGCCTGTCAACAGTCAGCCGTGTCAATTCAAGCTGGACTGGCAGACCAGCAGCAAATGAGAAAACCAAAGGAAACGAGGGAAAATACTACGCACACGAATTCGAAGCCAAAATCCCCTTCCCACCCAGCAAAAGCCAGATATCGACCGTACATGTCTTGACTTCATTCGCGCGAAATGGACTGCGATATGCCAACCGCAGTACAGCACCTAAAATGATATTTCCAGCCAAAACAAAAAAAGAGTAGTTCAAAAAATCAAAATCAAAATCAAAAGGCAAAAGCAGTTCAAAGAAAACCAAAAGGGTATTTACATGAATAATAACCCTTGGGGTAAATTAAAATTAAACCCAAAACGAATAATGAAATCACACCAGTCCAATGCCATACAAAGATCTGTACAATAATCTCCGAGTGGCGGAGCAAACTGAAGAAAACTGAGACAACAACCCTACGGAGTACTTACTACTACTTAGGGAGTTACTAGTGAGTACCTACTACCTACATCAAGCGTTCCAAACCCCGGAACCGGACTCCAATCCCCCTTCCGACGGAGATCAAATCATCATCACAAGTGACAGACTACACTACACATACTACTAATCACATTCCCATCCCGTGTCGGCCACGCCCGAGAAGGAATGCATCAGGCACGGCGGGCGCCCCAGTTCCCACCGCCAAGATAGGGCAACTTTTGCTAGCTAGCTAGCTAGCTTTTCCTTCCTTCCACATCACGCCGACCGACCACCTCACTTCGACCACAGGGATGAGGGCCTACAGGTGCAATGCAACGTGAGCGAATGACCGACCAGAAACCCCGTTAAAAAAAGAAAAAAGAAAAAAGAAAAAAAAACCTAACCAACAAACAAAGAAATAAAGCCAACATAGAATAAAACAATGAAACCATAGGTAATGAAGTAATGAAATGCATCCTTAAGAGACAGAAAATACTAGAGCACCGCCCCCCCAAAGCATAACCGAGTCCCCACTTTCAGGATCCCTAGCCCGGTTCTTGGCCCTGGACCCTGGTTTCGCATGTTGTCGCGGAGTCCTGTCAGTTATATTGGCAGCTTGGTAGATCGCGGGTTGGCGACATGTGATTTTTCTTGGGTTTCTCGTTATTGGCCTTGGTATTTGCCGTCGCTGGGTTTGTGTATTTGATGAGTTTTTGGTTAGTATGCGTGGATGGTATAACGTCCTGTGTATAGAGGGCAATGGTTTTGCTATTTTTATCTGGGTTAGTTAGGGCTTTTTGGTTAAGTAATTCATTCGCTTTGGTGCCGATGGTCCCGTGGTAGCAGGCAACAGTGTTGTTCACCGGCACCGCGTGCACTTGGTACTAGTAGTACACAGTACTACTAGTAGTAGTATGGTACCCTACTGCAGCAGCTAATATGGTCGCTGGGAAATTTTCCGAGGGTCTGACCGGTTGCGATTGGAGTGATCTTCCTCTGGCATTCCATGGATGCCTGGGGGTGTGAAGAAAGTCAGTACTTCATACCACGGTAGTAGTATGTACTACGGTTGAACTTGATATAGCGCAGGCGGTAACATTTCTTCACAGCGGAATCTATTTATATCTCTAACTTCTATATCGTCTATTGCCAAAGGTCCTCTCCCCCCCCCCCGTACATACGCCAAGACCCACTTCGTCGCGACCCCGCTCATCAGGCATCGAGATAATCATATCATTGCATCATGTCCTCATCAAGGCTGTTGACTGGTTGCCGGAACGCCAACTCCAGTCCCAAAAGCAAAAAAGAAAAAGAAAAAGAAAATAAAATAAAAGGAAAAAATATACTTTACATCCGTCTCGGCTGCGGCTGCTACAGTTCCCACGAATCCAATCCCTGCAACTCGTTCCATTGATCTTCGAGTTCGCGAATAATCCATCCCGTGCGCCAGCCCACGGAGCCTTCCACCTGAGTCAGGAATTTGAGAGATCCCCGCTTCTCGACGGGGTGGCGCAGGCAGTGTCCATCTGTGTGGGTGCAGGTTAGGATGGGGAACCCATTTAGCCGGAGCACGGCGAACTTACATCGATAGAGTAGGTGGCAGGCCATGAAATAGGCGTTTTCGACGGTTTCATTCGACGAAGATAGCCCGATGACTTGCACCACGTGTGATGCAATCACTTTCTGTGGACGGTGAGTATATACATGGAATCGTTAATGGCACTTCAAAGGACGCACCTCTTCTATACGTCTGAGTCGTGCACGCTCATAGTTGCTGACAACGCCCCAATGGCGGTCGGACGACGTGAGGAGAATTTGACAAGTGTGATAATATTGAAGTCCGACCACTATAACAGTCAACATCTATCTCAGTCCACTCTGATCCATGGCCATATACATACCGGCTGGGGGTGACATAACCCATAGCTCGGGAAACGGTCGATTCTCTGCTGGGTCGGCGTCTTTGTATTGCAGTGGCTGCCAACTGACAGGCCGGTCGCGGTACCACTGTTCCACGCTGCTGGACAAATCGTGCCAGTCCTCCTCATCTACAGCGGCAACATGGCCTTCCGAGCAGAGTTGAATAATCCGGGCACAGTAGAAGATGATCGTGTTGGCATAGGCGGCGTCGTCGCCCCGCTTGAAAACGGATGATCGTTCGTAGTTCCGAAGGTCCAGCTGCATAGGTTGGTTTTGGACAATAGATGCGTAGATGGCCTGTCGTAGAAACTGCCAGCTAGCAGCCTCCGTCAACCCGCCAGAGGATGCGGCGCGAGACATGGTATTGAGTAATCGATTGGAGCCAAGCCAATGGCACTTTTCGTCGGTCGTGCTTTCGAGTTCCTCGTAGATTCGCAAGATCACGACCGAAATCAGCATGTTGTCGTCGTAGCTTTCCTCCGGCCGCGCAAGGGCGGCGAGCAGTAGCTCTACACATTGGCTGTGGTATTCGGAGGCCTCCCAATCACTAGCTCCGGACATGATCGCATCATGTCGTGCAGAGAGTGCCAACACTGCTTTCAGAACCATCGGTACATGTAGCGCTCTGCGAGGCACCTCGGTGTTGAAAGTCGATCCCGAGTCACAGATATCTAACTGTTGGAGTGATCAGATCCTCCGGTACTGAGAAGTACGACGGACAGTGTATGGTTCTTACCCAGTGCGATATTTTGTTAATGTATGAGCGCAAGAGGAACGCCTCCCGCGATGTCATCGTCGATGAGGAGGTCGAGCGCGGGGTGGATGGAGTCATTGGCGACCATGTGCTATTGGATGCCAAAGGAGAGACCATGTCGTTGTTGATAGCCCCCGGCGAGATCGCCGTGGCTTTGGTAGAATGTTGTTCATCGTGTATAGAGGGAGTCGATATCGCCGGCTCCACATGTGGGATGCCAATGGCCTCATCGTGTGGATTCAGAGATCCAGAGATCGGCAGGTGAGCGACGAAGGGATCGGGGATGTATGTATGGGAGCCGCCGGGGAGCTGGGTATCAGCCTGAGGCTCAGGGGGGGCATCACTGATGTTTCCATCGGCTGACTCTTCGGCTGACTCTTGAACAAAGGTCACTAAAGCGGATTAGATAGGGCTCCTTTGAGACTAATCTAGACCAAAAAGAACATCGAACGGGAAATAACAGAACATACAAGACCGAGGAACGTTCACCCATGTCTGTGCAGAGTCCCACTCCAACTCAAACTTCGAGGCAGTCCCTTGGCTCTTCTGATAGACATGGCGAACGGTCTTGAAACGGAACGGAGGATCGAGACGACAGGTCCGTCCTAAGCGGGCGCATGCATTACATGACGACGCTCCCGCGCGAGTAGTACACCGAATGTGACGAAGGCGACAGCGCTCACATCCCCTTCCGATCCTCATGGCAGTTTGCGGGGCAATTGGTGCTGAGCGATGAGCGCTGCGGGGAAATGACACAGATTAAACACAAGCATGGGCGGACTGGTTTAGTGAACTGATCAACCCGACAGGTCTGCGCACTGCAGGGGCAAGCGATGAAGAGCAAAGGAGTGATTGCCCGAGAGATTACCAACAAATGGAAGGTTTGAGTCGAGGGATTTGGTCCAGGTTGGCGACAACCTTTAACACACCAATCGAGGCAGAGCTTTCCCCGCATTTGCGCAGAAACGGGGAACCTTTTCAGCGCCCGTCTGATTGGATGCCCCAGACTTTGATCCCCACGAGATTCCATGGGGAAAGAATTTGATATGTCGGGTCACGGGAGACTCCCCCAGCGAAGTACTACTAGAAGTAATTTGCTCTCTCTACTGTGGTCTTACACGTGTCTCTCAGCTGCATGCCTTCACATTGCAAATGGCGTGTCTCTATCGCCAATTTTGACTTTTAGATGAATACTCTTTTTCCCTTACCACCGTGTGTATGCATACTACAGGGTCAGTCTACGACAAATTAGGACTGGTCACCTGCTCGCTTACATCCCGACGGCATTTGATAATCATTTGCCGACATGCGGATCGTCACGAGGCGCCCGGAGCACCACACTAAACTTGTCACTCACAACCCAATCAGCCTTCTGACTCAAGACACTAGTCAGTCATCATCGCCCATGATTTGTGCGGTTATATTTTGCATAATATCACAATGTCATCAGATTCATTGACTTCTATTCCCGGAGAACTTTAAATGAACTTCCATCAAACAAATGGTATAAAGGTATGAGAACGGCAAGTCGTGGGGCGTATATCTCGGAATCGCACTTTTATGTCTTTAAACACTGATCGTCTTGAATACTCTGTGACGAATGGGTTAGCATGGAACACTTCTCATAATCGTATCTGGATGTACATACCCGAATCCAGCAGCGCCAGTAGCCATGATAGTACCGGGCATCTGGGCCTGCCAGTGGATTTCCTTGACAGAGTCCATGTAATGCACGAACAGCAATTGCGGCGGAATATCTGCCAGGCCGGCTTCCCGGCTCTCCTCGTCATCAAGTTCGACAGCCAGGTCCCACAGAGTCACAGTGTTATCGGCCGAACCAACGGCCACCACACTGTCATCCGTTGGGTGCCATTCGATACTGGTGATCGGCTCCTTGTGGAAGTCGAACGCGGCGACAGGCGATGCCGTGATCTGGGCTGACGGCGCCGCGGCATTCGGCTTCCAGTGTCTCAGATCCCAGACACCCCATTGGCCATCATCCGCACCGGTAGCGAGAAGGTGGAACGTCTGGTTCGACCATGTCATGACATTACGTCGGTGTTGGAAACCTTCACATCCACAGCGGGCTTGCGGGACTTGGACCGGACATCCCACACCTTCACACTACCATCACTGCTAGCGGAAGCGAAAACATTGCGCTCGTTGGGAGACCATTGCAGCTCTTCAACCGACGACGCGTGTCCAGTGAAGGGCCGCGTATCAGTAACCCAGCCGCCACCTTCGGTGCGCGTCGTAACGTAGATCAAACCATCGTTATCACCGGTCAACAATTTGCCCAGTGGCTGTAGAGGTGACCAATCCAGTGCGTAACCTTCGGACTTGTGCATGCGAAGGGTAGAAAGAGGTTTGGAGGCGGAAGGAGGGAGAACGGTGCCGGGAACATCGAAGCTCGTAAGATGAGGGGTAACGTCGTGAATGACCACCTGCGAGTTCTCCAGCATAGTGGCAGTGAGGGTCTGTGGAGGCTTGGAATAATCTCCAGAGGAGGAGGGGGTTTGATGACAACGGATCCGGTTGGTTGTCGATCCCAAGGGGATACTCTTGTGCTCGAGAATGGGCTCTCCCATGTCGTCATCGTCATCTGAGTCACTTTCCGAGTCGGTATCGTTCTCCTTCTCCATCCTGCTCAATCCGCTCATCTTCAGAACCATGAGCTCATTCTCTTTTGATCGACGTCCCTCTGCCTGGGTACCGGTTACGGCGTAGACGGTCGCGGGAAAGGTCTTGCGGTTGTCGCCCAGGTTGTCGCGGACAATATCGAAAGAAAGACAGGGCCAGGGTGTCGTGAGGGTGTGTAGCATATTATATGTAGAAGGGTCTGGCGAAAGCACCTCTCCGGGAGCGAGTTTCGTTCTTCCGGGAATGAAAGTCTGCTGGTCCACCTCCATCGCATCTGTAGGACACGGTCGCAATCAGAGCTGGACCGATAGAATCGGATGAACAGGAGAGCTTACCCTTTTCCTCCTCCTCCCGCTCCGCATCAGGGCGGCCATCGACACCGGCCTCGAGGATCTCATCTTCGCTCTCGAATTCGTCCTCGAACTCGTCCTCGAATTCCCCCACCTCGTCTGGAGGGGCTTCGGTCATCGGGCGCTCCCCGGCCTTGAGAGCGGCGGATTGCTCATCGGAAACGTCGGCGGCTCTCTTCGACATGATGTATAAACTTTGTCCGATAGGGATTAAAATAGAAGCTGTCGACGAACCAGTCGTGCGGCAGAACCACCTTCAAAAGAGAGGGAAAATCACTGATTAGGGTTCAGGAACTTTTTTTTTTTTTTTGCGAAGCCCGACGGGCAACGGCGCTAGGCCTATCGCGGACTAGTGGCGATCGGGCTGTTGACGCTCTCCCTCTTCTGGAGCTGCGGCTGTGTTCACCCTCAGGCACTCCCACAGGGGCTGTGGAAAGCTTTGTCCAACAACCCTCCCAGTTGAAACACTCCTCTCAATATGGATGCGTCACATTTTCCGCCCGCCAGCACATCTCATGTGGCGGACCAGTTTGAACAGGATCCTCATGTGACGGAGGATACGGCCCCCGCGCCGGCTTACAAGGACGGTTACAGCAGCGATTCGCGCGCCCACTATTCCTCCCATTCCACTGTTGAATACCACTCTCCCACTCGCGAGTATCAGTCTCATGATGATGCCCGGCCGACGCCTTCTCCTTTGACCCAACCTCAAATGCCTTCGTCGTCTCGGCCGAGTTCCGGATTGTCCAGTGCACCCGGCATCTCCCAGACTAGCCAGGACGTCAGCCAGAAGCAGCCATCGCAGCAGCAAACGAAGAACAGCGTGGTGATCAAGGTCGGAATGGTCGGGGATGCTCAGATCGGAAAGACTAGTCTGATGGTCAAATATGTGGAGGGCAGTTGGGACGAAGACTACATTCAAACGTTGGGTATGTGATCATATTCGGGGTCGCTATTTGTGGGCGCCGTTCTAACCATGCGAAGGTGTAAACTTCATGGAGAAAACGATTTCTATCCGGAATACGGAGATTACTTTTTCCATCTGGGATCTGGGTGGACAACGTGAATTCGTCAATATGCTTCCTCTTGTCTGCAACGATGCCGTCGCAATCCTCTTCATGTTCGATCTCACTCGCAAGAGCACGTTGAATTCCATCAAGGAGTGGTACCGCCAGGGCCGTGGCTTCAATAAGACCGCGATTCCTTTCCTCGTTGGCACAAAATACGATCACTTTGTCAACTTTCCGCGGGAAGACCAGGAAGAGATCTCGATCCAGGTATGTTAGCGTGAAGAAATCTAACCATAACCACGCTAATTTGAGCTCAGGCCAAGAGGTTTGCCAAGGCCATGAAGGCCAGCTTGATTTTCAGCAGCACCAGCCACAGTATAAACGTACAAAAGGTGCGAACGGAGATAAATTCCGAACCTGGTTTCCGTCCGATACTAACTCTCTGTCAGATCTTCAAGATTGTCCTGGCGAAGGCTTTCGACCTGAAGTGCACTATTCCCGAGATCGAGAACGTTGGTGAACCGCTGTTGCTCTACAAAAACGTATAGAATCACGACGAAGTGGACGTAACGATTATGTACATTGGGACGAAGTGATGTTGACGACTTCTTCTCCCTTGGTGTGGGATGAAGTGGCGGCAGTGGGAGGATTTCTACTCTGCGTTTCTGTCGATACGCATTCTGCTTTCCTTTACTTGATTTTCTTTTCTCTCAGCATTGGGACGCGTCCAGGATTCTATTCATGTTCATCATTTTTCTTTTCTTTTCTTTCTTTCTTTCTTTCTTTCTTTCTTTCTTTCTTTCTTTCTTTCTTTTCCTTGTGTTAAATTCCCCATCCGTGTTTTTAATCTCTCTTTCCTCCCACCTTTTTTCTTGTTTCTTTTTGACTCATTATAAACCTGCATCTAAGACTCTTGATGAGTTCGAGATCAGAACCATGGCGCTTATCACCCGGAGCTCAACTGCTCACGAAAGGAACATTGGAACCCAAGCTTGAAACAATAAGACCGACACTGGAACTATGCGTGATATTACATGACTACGTGAGATTCGCTCAATGTATGCAACGTCCGACGTCATCGGAACCCAGCCTCAGCAAGCCCTAATTACATACATCACATTCCCAACCACCCTTCAGTACTCATAAATTCTCCGAAAGTCATTCATCCCATTCCCCACTTCCTGCCTCCCCAGCGGTGTCATATCCAATAAATGATACGTCCCAAGCAGGATCTCCATCCCCCGATCCGTCGTAGAATACGTATGGAACACCTCGCCCTCGTCGCCCCTCAGAAACACACACAACCCAAAATACCCATTACCAGGCTTCCAAGTAATAACCTCTCCACCCTTCTCCGCCTCCTCCCACGCCCGATGCGTCTTCTCCGAACTGTAAAACGGAAACCCCCACCCCGTAAGCCTCTTATACTCCTCAATCTTCTCCACCGGCGCCCTCGCAACCGCCACGAAACTCGTATCCCGACTCTCCAAATGCCGCAAATCAGGAATATGATCCATGCAAAACGAACACCCAACACAGCCCTTCTCGTCCTCCGGCCCCAGCATAAAATGGTACAGGATGAGTTGTCTCCGACCAGCGAAGAGCTCCGGGAGACTTTTCTCGCCTTGCACCGTGTCGAACTTGAAACGCGCGGGATCCGGGACGGGCACTATGGGCAGGGAGCGGCGGGCTGCGGAGAGGGCTTGGAGGTGGTGTGTTGCTGCTTTTTCGAGCACGAGGTGTGCGCTGTGGACATTTTGGAATTCGGTGGGGGTTACTACCTGTTTCTGCTTTGGTTAGTAGGAGATTATAGGGTGTGGCGGGGGTTATATGTTGTGTGTGTTGTTTTAAGATCTTCATATCGGTGTTCCCGGAATGCTTACATTCTGGTTTGGGGTGGTCATGATGGGCACTAGCGTTTATTTGTCTGGTTTTGATAGAGTGACAGATGAACAGATAGGTTTTGGTACAAAATTCGATTCCCAGCTTTTATACAGGATTGATTTGTCTGATTGTGATGTACTAGTAGCTATCAAGAGTGGAAACGCGGGGTTGCGTTCGTATAAATCTTAGACCCTTACGTAGTTAAAGCTTCTTTTTGAATTATGTCATGTCCAGATCGTGTCCCGTGGTTGAGTAAATACTGTTCGGCACTCTGGGGTCTAGAGTGTTATTATTATAGATATACGAAGGGATCCATGGTTCCGATGATAAATGGATTTGTTGGGTTGCGGATAACCCAGAATATATATCTGTATACCGCACGGCGAATAGTTCAGCTTGGTAACACATGTTCCAAACCACAACATAGTATTCCGGACCTTATATACGGAGAACTTAAGAGATAAATATATCTTCCCTAAGCAAAAAGCGACCCATCTAAATTACACAAAACACTTAACGAACAATCCCACAATCTCTCACTCCGCGCTTTCCAACCTCCCCCGTTTCGAATTCAAATACTCATTCCTAAGCCAAATCAGCACGTACATACAGTACAAACGACCACCCCAAATACTAGTCATTTACCTCTCATTCGCCCAATGCATCGCCGCGTAGGCAACCAGAAAGGGCGGGACAACATACAACACCTGGTGTCTGCACCTGCGGAAGGTATTGAAGATGGCCGCATGGAACGCGCCGGCAAGGGGTCTCTGTCGGTTTGGGGATAGGGCATAGATGGCTATGCGGGTTGGTGTGGGGAGGACTATCTTGGTTCAGTTTGGGTGTTGAATTCATAATGGAGTATGACTTGGAGGGGTATGATTGTCGAACTGATCGATTTGCAGGTTCCTGAGAGGGTGAGGGTGATGGGGTCAACGTACCGGAGTTTCCGGGCTCTCCCATCCACCTATCTAGATATTAGTTGGATTCGTAGGATATCGCCATGGTATATGGTAGTTGGGGTCACATCAACGTACCAGCCTGTCTTGGGGTCGTTGTGGCCTACCATGGCTGAGAGGGTTCACTTTTCGAATAGCATATAAACAGGCGTCTGAATGCACCGGTTCAAAGTGACCCAGGACTCGTTCTTATATTATGTTCGCTTCGTCTCGGTGACGATAGATATTATAATCCGATTAGGGCTCGGGTCGGTACTTCGGAGGTTTAAGTTAGTATATGCTCAGCCAGTTTGATTGGATGGTTCGTATACTAGGTTTTGAGTTTGATCCACTGAAGGATTCGGACCCCTGTTGTCATCTTGTTTTGGTAGACGTTGGAACTTAGGTTGCTTTTGTACATGCTGTTGCTAGCTGGCTCATAGGGGTAAATAGGTGGACAGGTATGCTTGTATATACACGGTATCTTCCGGGGAAACTGCGAGCATGTGTACGGATCGGATAAGCAGCATCTCATCTCATCCACGGACCAATGTGTCATACAAGCTTGACCTATAAGCTGCGTGCCTAGGAGATGTCTTATATTTATTAAACTTGGCAGTACTTCAGCCTATAGTACCGACACTATCGCACAAAGGAAAGAATCAAACAGCCAACGAAAAGTCTCCAAAGAAATCCTGCCACGCAGTAGGAAAATAAAACAAGTTGAGCCCCGGAAAGTCCCACTCCCGAACAAACTGCTCCGGTACAAAAGACTGCAAGTCCGCCTGAGCATCGAACGACTCCCAGAATGGCGCCGTGGCCACCGGATCCCCGCCCGCTTCTCTTTCCTGGAATATTCGGCCGTATTTCTCAATACTCAGCCTCAGAATCTGCATGTAGATGCTCCCGTTTCCGGTAGTTTCCCCGCTCGATCCCACAGACCGAGTTAGCTCATCGAGAAGTCTGTTCCCGTGGTCCAGTAGTTCCTGGTGCTCTTCCCTGCGCTCTGGGAGCAGCCGGGAGAGTTTCAGAAGGAGTAGGAAGCAGAACGCGCATTTGGCCCAGACAAAGTCCATGGCGTATTTGAGCTTGGCGAGGTAGAAGTCTGGCTCTGTGCTTATGAGGCGGAGGTGTTTTCGGGCGCTGGACTTAGCTACTAGGAGGACATTGCGTTCAACGGGTGACATAGCACTAGTTGTGTGTCAGTGCAAGGCGGAACGATATTTTCACTATTGGGTAACATGGTACGTACGCCACATTCTCTACACCCATTGATAGCAGGGCTTTGCAGTGGAGGATTAGCTCAGCCCAGCATTTTTGGACGCGTAGGGCCGCTAAGAGGAAGGGTCTCTCTTGCTCTGCTGCAATCGAACTTTCTTAAAATTTCAACCGCATTAGTACGGCCATATGGCTTTGCGTGTACAAGGTTAATCTTACCGATGATGCGCAGCCAATCGCTAGACAATTCAGTAAGTGATATAAACAGTAGAAGTAATTGATTCACTTACTCAAACCAGAGGTCAAGATCTACCTTGGCCTCGTGCACAAACTCGGCGATATCCGGTCTATTTAGCGTCTCCTTCGTATCTAGAGTGTCGTTGATCTTTGCTATTAAAAGGTGTAAGGACCTCTCTTGCGTTTATGTTAGATATGTGATATTAACTTACCACGTATAACGTTCAACTTTCATTCCGGAGTCAGCCCGCCTTTATGATCAAATGCAGATAAGTAACCATACCTCAACCTGAGAAAAAAGACGCAAATCTAATATTGTCGACGTATGATGACGGAGCAAAATGCGGCATCGATGTGCATTGCCCGTCATCCGAATGCCAGGTGGCTTTCCGCCATCTACATGAAAGCTGGAGATTATCAGCCGGTATAAGTCCCACGTTGGATTGTGAACATACATATGATCCAAAACGAGCAGGCCAAACCAAGTCCGGGATTTACGCATCAAAGAACGCTCTTCTTCATCAGTTGTCATATGAAATTCAGAGATATCTTCAATCCCTTTCATGGTCAGCCGCTGGATAAGTTCTTCGAATGCTTCGTCCAAGCTCAAATCTAATGCCATCCGGGTCGCGAATGACAGAAGGAGAGAACGCTCGGCAGAATAGCATGCTACGATAAGAAGCGCCTGGACGGATTCTAGGCAGTTCATCGTTTTATTTTGAATAACCACGTTGATCCATCTCTTGAGCTCTGCATGCAACAAATCGGAAATCTGGGAACCGGATCCTGATGCTCATCAGTTATGCAGCCGCAATAATGTCATTAGCGACTTGATGAAGTTCGTCATACTTGTCTCAACGCGACTCCCAATTGTACATATGGCATTTAGAAGTATGCTACTGCGCGCACGCACAGACGCAAAGTTGTCAAGTTCCGGGTCGAAAATTGGGATATACCTATCCTGGAAATTGCAAGAGAAATAAGCGCCCAAGCCAATCGATGGAAACTAAGGCACGTACGCAACCTTGGAAAAACCTATGTTGGATCAGCAAACGGTCACAAGATACATGATGACTCGCAGCACCTACGCCCTAAAGCATGACATGGCATGGTCAATTGTCACCAGACCCTTGCTGATAAAATCGGAGATGGGCTCTTCTCTAATATCGAATCCAGAGCGTCTCTGCCTAGCAGGATGAGGACTGTCCACCTCGGCAGTTTGCAGTTGCTGGAAGATGGGGCCATTCCGATGAGCTGATATACACCTAGGACCACGATAGTGATATTCACCCGGGTCTGCCGTTCCAGGGAATGTAGGCATTGGCCCAGGATCCGACATAATATGACTTGGAGAAGGGATTGGGATCTGCTGCCCTGGAACTTGGCCTTGGGTTATATCTCCAAGAGGTCCTGGGTTTGGCTGTATGTGAAGCTGAAGAAGCTCCTGCATGTCACTCAATTGCGCTTGCAGCCGCTGTACTTCGGCTTCCACATTTCCTAGCCGCCTTCAGTATGGTCAGTTCTTGACACTTCTACCAACAACCAAAGGGCGGCTTCTGAAAAGATGAGATAAGTGTACATACTCTGTGGAGGGATCCCTTGGGATCTCGAAGAATATGCATTGCTTCCGCGAGCGCCTGCACCTATTGTACCTGTAAGCAAAGCATTTCACCATCTCAAGTAGATGTATGAGAAAGAGGGACAATACCTAGTACATGGTCGTTTACCGTCGCATCTCACCTACAGGAAGGTTAAAATGGATACATAAGCGGAAGTGCTATAGAGTTCAAGCACACTTTAGACTGTCGACAAGCGCTGCAAGCCTTCTGTGATTAGCGTGAGTTAGCTAGCAACACATGCATATCCTGGAGAAAGAAGAAACCATACGGGAATGCGCTTTTTCCCAATCGGGGCCGACACCAGACACGAGGAACCGTCAGAATCCATCCGATGCGTAAAGTATGTACTAAAGTCAACTAGGATAGATTATAGAAAGGGTTAATGCAAGAAGGGCGCGGACCGTTGCATGGATGATATTAATGGGGGCGGGGCAACGCCGTCAACATCGGAGACTCGCCGGCTCGGGTAAAGAGATGCCGATACAGCTACTAACGGAACCCATGGCTTTCGCTTAGAACAAACTTAGGATTATGCGCTATTAGAGCCTAATCTGGAGGTGGTTAAGCCTATTACAGCTCCGTGGGATGCTCTACGTGGAATAATTCAAACCCGGGGACAAGCTTTAAGCAATGAATTAACAATACTTCATGCAACAAAAGGCTATCGTCATCTGCAACACGCCGTACAAGACAACTGGTCCTTTAACTTCACACATATGTCCATATACCATCTTTTTCCATAATTGGCTTCGCTCAGTAAACGTAGATAAAGTCTTCGTTCTCCCAGTCCGTGAGATCTTTGAACGCGTTGTCTTCGCTCACTGCGGGCTGCTGAGGCTCGGTTTTGTCCACTGGCACTGAACCAACAGCTTGCATCGAATGGTCGATAATCTTTGCACTCTTACCCATACTCACTCGTTTCTTCTCATGCTGCTTGTTGAGGAAATACAGGTATGCCATATTCATCCTGGCGATATATAAACACATGGGCCGGTATAGGGGTAAGGAGAAAAACTTACATGGGAAGCAAGACGAGGAGACAGAACATTGCAAGGCTATAATTATTAATTGCAGTCAGCATGGGTACCGTATCATGAGTCCAGTGCTATCACATACTTGGATAGTAAACCACGTCTATATAAGGGCGCATCTGTGGTTGTGTACAGATTTGAGCCAAGAACCTGTCAGGTGTAAGTAAACTGTTCCAGTTGGACTGAATTCTCCACGTACATTACCGGCACATTGTCCAACAAGGACTATGCCATTCACAATCTTTTTCTTCGTCTCACCTGCGGTGTTTCCTGCAGACCACGAATAGACCATGGGCGCTAATGGTCTGTCAGCTCAATCCACTCGCAATGTCACGTAGCAAACATACTAATTCCAGGATACACAGAGATCTTATTTCTAAATTAGCAGAGCCAAGCAAAGACCAATGCCCAGGAAGGCTTACGATGTAATATCCCGCAAGCAATGCCCCATTGTGATGGCCATCACGAGGAAGCTCCAGCAGCATGACGCAACCTGCAATGGCAGGTAAAGATAAAAGGGCTATAACAGGTCCCTTCATTTTTAGTTTAGTCGCTAGCCACGCTCCCCCCATTGTTGCTACGAGCTGGACAGCACCAAACGGTATGTTGAATAGGATTGTTTCAAATTGGTCGAAACCGAACGCCTCGATGATCAATGGGCCAAATGTCGAGATACCACCGCTGGGAATCCTGCTAAGATGTGAGTTGAGGCTACTTTAACGAAAGATATGGACCGATCCTTACGATACTGCAAACATCAGGGCAAACCAGAAAAAGGACTTTATGTCGAGACAAGCCTCTTTGACATGGTCCCACTTCCATTCATGCGTCTCAATACCTTGTTGGTTCATGCGTAATCTTGACAAGATTCCGTTAGCGTTCTACATAGCAAGTCCCTGACTCCACCCACATACCTTTCGATAGCTAAAAGCTTGTCTTCCTCGGTAAGAAACTTGGATTGAATCGGCGAGTCGGGCATAAACAACCTACGCAGCCAGGGTTAGATATGCACATTAGTTGGTTGAAAAGGTAGCATCGCTCACAGGATAAGACCAGAGAAAGCAATCGTTATGAGACCGAAGAATAAGAAGATAATCTTGACTGGCAGTTAGATTCCTGAATCACCAACGACTTGGAGGAATATGACCGAACCTGATAGGGCTCAAAAACCGAGGACTTTATATGGCCCAGACCATACGAGAGCAGACTACCAAACTACTTGCAAGAGTCTGATTTAGTACAACAGCACACTGGGTGACTAAATGAGTCCAACGCACCATGTACACCACACCGTTCATAGCATACCATGAGCCAAGTCGGACTGGTTGTTCAATTCGCCGATACCACATTTGCGTTACCGCAATGAAACAAGCAGCTATTATTCGTGACCCATAATCAGCATTGAGTATCAGAAAGTCATGCTTTGGGGAGATACTTACGTATACCGGCTTCAAAGAGTCCCAAAAACATCCGGCAGACCAACAAGCCCGCAAAGGTATTTGCCGGGGTCATACAGGTCAGGGCTATGCCCCAGCAAAGGGTTGTGCATGCCAGAAACTTTCCAATTGGAACTTTGACTAATATATAGGCAACGAACGGTTGAGCAACGAGTTGTACTAGATAAACAACTGCTCCTAGCCAGGAATACTGCTGTCCATGGAGGTTAGCTGTCTCGACGAGACCAAAATGGATGCATATGAAAGACTCGACTTGTCGAGTTGCTGCAAGAAATATATCCCAAGAAGAATGGGTAAAAGCCTCAGGTCGATCTTTCGAAGCACTCGGGCGTTGTTCTCAGCTGTGAGGACAGATGAGTGTCCTGCATCTGCTATAAGGTCTAGGGCTCTATCATGTCCAGGCCCAACTATGTTCTCCCTGTCCTGACGAGTAGAATTGTCAACAGACTCTATATGCTCATCTTGGTCTTGCTCTCCGGACGCTGCTGCTTTGTGATGAGACATCTTCTTCTCCTTCTTAGGTCCTCTAGCTGGACTCAGCTAGCTCTGAAGGATAGAATCTGTGGAACTAGAAAAGATGATCTTGAATGGAATGGAAATATCTTTTGGTTTCAGAATTTCTCCAACATGCAGAGCAGATGGTGATAGGGACCAGGAGTAGTGAACCAACACAGGAGGATATTTGCTTCAATACTCTCAGATTTTCTAAAGGTATACTAGCCTTGGCGGGCAAACCCCGTGGGGAACACACCATCCCCAGCCCCGGACAAAACCTCGAGAAGCCGAAGGGGGAGTAAATCCACTCACGGCTCGTTCTGTAGACCATACGGGGATTAGTGCGGACCGGGCCATCAATGCCGGCAAAACACAACGGGATGGCATGTCACCACTCGTGACGAGCGTCGGGCATCTTCCGATGACGCATCCAATGGTTCCCATCGTATTCTCACCGTGTAGGACAAGAAACACACTGGTGGGGAGGCTGTAGTCTTAAAGAAGATTAGTATCGGTGTTCGGTTGCAAAAACCGACATGTTGCCAAGAGCGCGGAGGTGTCGTGTGGGGAAAGCAGCCATAACTGTCGGAGATGAGCCCGAAGTCCGATGTATACACGGTAGTTGCCTTCGAGTAGTCCCGATGACGCAGATGTGCGTAGACACATTCAAATAGAGCTTCAAATCTTGGTATATTCCCCTGATTTGAACTCGTCTTTAATGGTATTCCTTCAGACCGCTTAACCAGCAACCATGCCTCAAAAAGAATTTTGCCCCAAGAGCTATCAAGAGACTTCGACAGGAGCTCAGAGCTCCGCCGCTGTTCACCTCCGTTCGGGCTCAGACAAGCGGCAATTTGACTTCTCATTTGAGCCAATTCGTGAAAACCTATTTAGAGTCACCTTTTCTTCCGAGGATCATCCTCTTTCCCCTTATCCGAGTGTGACCAAGCCAGTGACCAGCTTGGAAGGCGTCAATCTTTCTACAGAATACGGCTCTCAACAAAAGACCATCAAAATTGGTGATATAACAGCCTCTGTTGAGTGGGCTAACACTCCAGTGGTCTCACTGTCGTGGAAGGACACCGAAAAGCCTTTGTACAGAGATCTTCCCTTGCGGTCTTATGTAGCAGACGCATCTGGAATTGCGCACTACACTGAACATGACCGAAATGACCTCCATGTTGGACTAGGGGAGAAAAGAGCCCCTATGGATCTCAGTGGCCGTCATTTCCAGCTGTCAGCCACGGACAGTTTTGGATACGATGTGTATAATACCGACCCCCTATATAAGCACATCCCGCTTTTGATCAAGGCATCACCCGGGGGATGTGTTGCCATCTTCTCGACCACACACGGCAGAGGAACGTGGTCCGTTGGCTCAGAGGTTGACGGCCTTTGGGGCCATTTCAAGGTCTACCGTCAAGACTACGGTGGTCTCGAACAATATCTCATTGTCGGAAAGACACTCAAGGACGTCGTCAGGTCGTATGCAGAGCTTGTCGGCCACCCGATCCTCGTCCCCAGATGGGCCTACGGATACATCTCCGGGGGATACAAGTATACCATGATGGATGAGCCACCCGCCCACCAAGCGCTCATGGAGTTCGCCGACAAACTGAAGGAGCATGAAATTCCCTGCTCTGCGCATCAAATGAGCTCCGGCTACTCAATTGCCGAAGTAGAACCCAAAGTCCGCAATGTCTTCACTTGGAACAAGTACCGGTTCCCCAATCCAGAAGAGTGGATTGCCAAGTATCATTCACGAGGAATCCGTCTCATTACCAACATCAAGCCGTTTTTGCTTGGCTCCCATCCTGACTTCCAAAAACTTGTTGATGGAAATGGATTCTTCAAGAACCCTGAAACAAATGAGCCGGGGTATATGAGATTGTGGAGTGCTGGCGGCGCAACTGGGGGTGATGGATGCCATATCGATTTTACTTCAGCCTTCGCATTCAAATGGTGGTATAATGGAGTCCAGAGTTTGAAGCGCGCCGGCATAGATGGAATGTGGAATGACAACAACGAATACACGATTCCAGATGATGATTGGCAGCTTGCCGTCGATGAACCAACTGTTTCCGACGGTGCCAAGACGGGGGTTAAGGCCACTGTTGGAGACTGGGGACGTGCAATGCACACAGAGCTCATGGGTAAAGCCTCTCATGACGCGCTGCTCGATCTTGAGCCCAGCCAGAGGCCTTTCGTTCTGACTCGGAGTGCCACGGCTGGCACGATGCGCTACTCCGCTAGCACATGGAGTGGAGACAACGTTACCAGCTGGGAAAGCATGAAAGGTGCAAATGCTTTGTCCCTCAATGCAGGTATCTCGCTTTTGCAGTGTTGTGGACATGATATTGGAGGTTTCGAGGGACCCCAACCTTCACCAGAGCTGTTACTCAGATGGATCCAACTGGGTATCCACTCACCGCGATTTGCCATTAACTGTTTCAAGACGTCGCCCGAAAACAACTCCGTCGGGGAGGTCATTGAACCCTGGATGTACCCCGAGATCACACCTCTCGTCCGGGACACCATCAAACGTCGCTATGAGATTCTTCCTTACATTTACTCTCTAGGTTTGGAGAGCCACTTGACCGCCTCTCCACCCCAGCGCTGGGTGGGCTGGGGCTACGAGTCTGATCCTGAGGTCTGGACTAAGGTGCTCAAGTCTGGGGATGAGCAGTTCTGGTTTGGTGACACTATTATGGTTGGTGGCGTCTACCAGCCCGGCGTGAGCGTCGCAAAGATGTATCTTCCTCGGAAGGCCAATGACCAGTTTGACTTTGGATATGTGAACATGAACGAGCCCTATACTTATTTCGCTTCTGGGCAATGGGTTGAGGTTCCATCCGAGTGGAAGAGGAGTATTCCCCTCTTGGCCCGAATTGGTGGTGCAATCCCAGTTGGAAAGCCTGTGCATACCCGGGTGCCTGGCGATGAAACTCCGGCATCCGTGGCCGTTGATGAGCTCGATGATTATAGAGGTGTTGAGATCTTCCCGCCTCGTGGTAGCTCCCATGGTCAAGCTTTCAGCACCACTTGGTTTGAAGATGACGGAATCTCGCTGAAGCCAAGCATTTCACAGTACACCGTTAGGTACAGCTCGACGGAGGAGAAGGTAATGGTTGGTTTCACTCGGGATCAGAAGGCTGGGTTCGTTCCGGCCTGGAAGGAATTGGACATCATCCTCCATAACGGTGATGAGAGACGGGTTGTTTCTGATATCGGAAAGCCGGTGGAGTACAAGGGAAGAGACGCCCGTGGACGCGTGGTGTATACTCTGAAGAACTAAGAAACAGGAGGTTTTGCTGCTGGCTTAGTAAATCCCACCATGTGTTTCAATTGCATGTCGAGGGGCGGGGTTCTCAAGTGGAAGAACTGTATCATCATTGCTCACGGCGTTTAAGAACTCGATATAGATTATAGATTTGCATGTTCATATTCCATAGTTTATGAAGTCACCAAAGATTGTGTTCCCCAAGCTAGATAATGACACGGTCAGCTTTAGTGCCTAATCGACAGAAATTGTGTCAATTCACAAGGCTCAGTGAAGTTGGTGATTTCGGAGGCCAATGAGTGGTGCAAAGAGATTTGTTGTAATACAGTCAGTGGAAAGCGTCCAATTGACAATTATTAGTAGTGGACAATTCACGAGACTGCCTGCTTCATGAGACAGTACCTTCTAAAGGGGCTCTATTCCACCTTCCAGAGAGACTGTACTTGAAGAATTTGCATTAGGCCAGGGCAGTGCTGTCCTTTTTTTGGGCTAAAGGAGGGCCATGCGGATGGTATTTGGCTTTGAGGGAAGCGTTGGATAAGTGAAGAAGGACATAACCACATGAGAAGAACTTGACTTTAAAGTACGAGTGCATAGTCAGCCACTTGGGTGGCAATGAATGATGATCGCGAGTCTCTCTAGGATGATCTGATCGAGATCGTAGGTTCACCCAAGACGGGTTTGCAGGTAGGGAACGCGAGGGCCACAAGGAACGCACGCTATCCACGCTTTCACACCAGCTTAAGATCCCTTACCAAGTATTCCCAATCTCCCATCCTTAGTGTAATATCTCCATCTATCCCATCTTCATGAATTTTGGAGCTTCGGTAAGCAATGCCGATTCTCTCATACTCTTCCTCCATTGCCTCCACTCGCCGCACTATGAGCCATGATTCATCAGTAATAATGTGGCTTTTTGTTCTGCATTCGAACTTTCCTAGTCGGATATACCCCCACGATGGGGTGTTGAAGGTAGAAGACCCGATTTCGGAATGTGCTGATGCTGTTCCTAAAACTTCCTGCTGGACCATAGTATCCAAACATAATTTTGTGAAGTAGGACGTTGGACCATCATAAACTCTTGCTCTAATTTTTAACCACCCTCCAGTAATGATAGTAAATGGATCGTGAACGTTTTGTAGAGTTTCCATTTTACTGTCCAAGTAACAGAGATTATGGTCCTCTTCAAAATCCCTCAACGGATACTGGAATTCATGGTCAGATGAAGCCCAAGTCCAGGTCGGCCTGCGTCGGGAATAAGGATTGTTTAACAATTCAGAAGGATATGCTGATCCATGTTTAGGCGTTTCAAGCAACCTAACCCGAAACCCAGGTGATTCGTCCATAGACCAGCAATATAAGGTACGCCGGTTCGTTCGTGCAGAGATCGCGCAATCCCGGCTATGGCGATGAGTCGATCTTTCATCAGAGTGAACTTCCTACTAGAGTACCCGGATCCGATGAGCCAGTCGTGCCAAATATGCTTTATCCTATCGGGAGAGATCTCTCGATCCATACCCAAGGAAAGAGTATCATGGGGTGTGAGAAAAGGCAGACGATCCTCCATCTCATATACTTCTCGGCATTCCCAAACCAATTGGGAGTTTGTGAAATGAATCGTCCTCGGTGATAAGATTCTCTCCTGAAATACCCACCCACGCTGGCTCAGAGAACAGCCAGCCAGTGGCGCAGGTTCTCTCAGAGGATCGTCCTCACTTAACTTTGGCGCCCAAAGGATCAAGGTCGACGTCTTACCACCTGCGACTAGGAGTTTGTTTGTGATTTCGATTAGAGTCCCTCCACCTAACCTGTCCTGCCTTATTCCAGTACCGCGATAGCATCCTCCGGTACTATCCTCGCTCGCACTCGCTGCAATTGTGAGATATGACCTGTCATATATATGGCCCATCTTGACCGATTCTTGAGCCCAATCGGCCTGTGAGTCTTGGATGATGCATATCGCATCAATCCACAAATAGCGAATGCCAAGTCGGCGGGTAATGCTAATAGCATCCCAGAAATTTGCAGGTAGATCATCAAGCTGAATCTTTTCCATGTGACTGGGGAGATTATCGGTTGTTGTAATGGCATTGGTGCTGAGACTTTTGCCCCAACAATGACTCAGTGTCATGTATTCGGGGCAGGCTGACAGGTTTTCAACTAACCTGACATTGTGTTGGCATTCAATGTCATGGTCGTAGTCGCTGCAAAATGCTCGAACATCAATCAGACGAGAAGGTGCTCCAAAATTTACTATATCGTTTGGTGCTTCCAATTCAAGTTCATCATTGACCCTTGTCGATCTGAAGAAAGCATGACGACGCGATCTGAACATGCTTGTGGAACAGTGGTGATTCGTCAAGCACTCATGCAAGCAATGTTTGATGAAATTGAACGAGTCCTCCGACCAGGTTCCAGGCAATTGAGAAGTGATTGCCGGGACACCAAACTTCTCCGCAGGATCACCTGGAGACGTTAGCCTAGCTGGTTACTAACTATTTGCCCCCGCCTGTAACCACGCTACCTTTCTTTGTCATTACAAAAATGGGTTTCCCTATGCTGCCCGCACTTCTGGATAACGCAGGTGGAAGGCCAGGAAGTATGGGTTCCACCAGTTTTAACCTGTTTTTTGCCTTGAATGACGCGAGGAGAATGCAAAGCTGGCACCATTTTGTAGTTGCAAAGTGCACATATCCCGAAACCAGGAGTCCAATGTTGATTGCTCGGCATTGTTTACATAGATTCCTTGGTTCCTGCCGAGGATTCGCGTTTATACTTGTTGTTTGCATCCTCTTGTGTATACTAACCAAAGGCAGTGTGCTATAACTTGATTAGGCTATAATATAAGGATTATTGCTGTGCTTGTATGCTTGCACACTCCATACAGTATCAAGCACCTAGCAGTGTTCAAGATGCGCTCTTTTGACTTTACGGACAGGAAGCCTTTTATCGTCAGGAAGCGAAGAGTACGAGTAGTGATATATGTAATTATTCCATAACTGTTGACGTGGCTTGTCCGTTAGGCGGTTTGCAGGATTGCCGTAGTTGCAGAGGGCTAACGCGGCTTTTTCGGCCCCAAAGCCGTCTCAGTCTCGACTCGTTCGCTTTACTTGGACTGTTACTAGTGTATTATCGTGTGGGGAATGGCCTGGATACTGTTACCATTCCCATGGCAGTTATTTGCATATTAAGCACCTCCTATCTTCATGGGAATGAATCTATTTAATTCTATGGCTTATTTAGCCCTGAGACTATTATTATCACGGAAATGCGGGGGATAAACGAATCGTCATATGTGGGGTCGATGACTCCTTTAGACCCTCTGATCGGCTATATTCTCTACCGGTTATATCTCTACTTTAACCTCTACCCACGCAAAGACTAAACCTAACATACTACGAAAAGTTACAATCCTATCAGAAGGAACTCACCTGTCATCACAATTGCCACCAAAATGTCGCAACCCAAACTCGCAATCTTAGACGACTACCAGAACATCTCCCCTCCCCACTTCGCCCACCTCGAATCCCGCGTCTCAATCTCCTACTTCCCGGAAACCCTCGACCCCCGCGATGAACGCCAACGCGCGCTCCTGATCGAGCGCCTCCAGCCCTTTGATGTGATTCTCGCTATGCGCGAACGCACCCCGTTCTCCAAGGAAACGCTCTCCGCGCTTCCGAACTTGAAACTTCTCCTGACCACGGGCACTCGCAATCTCGCCCTGGACGTGCAATACTGTGCTTCGCGCGGAATTCCCGTCGCTGGAACGTCGAGCCGATCAGGGGGGGTCCATTCTACGGTGCAACATACATGGGCTCTGATCCTGGGGTCGGCGCGACATATTGCGCGGGATGATGCGGCTGTTAAGCGGGGAGAATGGCAGGGGTCGCTTGGAATGACGCTTGCGGGGAAGACATTGGGATTACTGGGACTGGGCAAGTTAGGTTCGCAGGTTGGGCGGATAGCGGTTCTGGCTTTTGATATGAAGGTGATTGCGTGGTCTACGAATCTGACGCAGGAGAAGGCGGACGAACAGGCTGCGGCACAGGGGTTGCCGGCGGGTAGTTTTCAAGCTGTTCCGGACAAGGCTGAGTTTTTCCGCAGCGCGGATATAGTGAGTCTTCATAGTGTACTGTCGGAGCGGAGTCGGGGCATCGTCGGTGCTGCGGAATTTGAGGTTATGAAGCCGACGGCGATCCTGGTGAATACGTCGCGGGGTCCGTTGGTGGAGGAGAAGGCACTGTTGAAGACGTTGAATGCGGGACGCATCCGTGGGGCGGCCCTAGATGTTTTCGATCCCGAGCCTCTGCCTAAGGATAGCCCCTGGCGGACAACGGCATGGGGTCAAGACGGACGGAGTGAGGTGGTGTTGTCACCGCATACGGGATATGGCGATGAACAGATTCACGGGTGGTATGATGAGGTGGCTCAGAATGTGGAGAGGTGGTTGAATGGAGAGGAACTGAGCACGCGGATGAATTGAAAGGCGGTAATCAACATGGTGTCGCAGAAGATCGAAGATGGTAAGCTGCATACTTTGTACATAAGTGTGATGCATGTGATCCGGATGTGTAGCCTTTTTGGTTAAGGTGTGCTTCACCGAGACCCAATCTGTCGTTAGAGCCAATTTTTTCTCCTGTACAAATGAAGCTTGATTAAAAGACTCGTTCCGTCGTGTTCTGGGTTTCATGTGGATTTCGTCATAGTGGGGGGATCTCCGTGGACCAAGAATCGAACTGTGTTCTGTACCTCGGATCCTGTGTCAGCGCAAAACCATCCAGATGGTCGTTCGAGAGAACTGAAGTAAAGCATACCGGTTTGGAGGTTTCATGTGGAAGAAGTCATGCCAGTGATTCATACAAGTCCAGTCATATGATTTAGCGATAAGTGACAAAACACGTGGTAGGCAAGGTTAAAAGTCGCTGAAGTGATTACATAAGGCCCCCTCGGGTCAGCCGAGGCACCGCCGGAACTGGAATCGAACTATCAATCAACCAGTCCTGGCAGTCCATCAGAAACACCAGCCCGCTTCTACCCCCAACCCTAATCTTATTGCAACTCATTTAACCCGCACATCGGCATTTAGCCTCGACACGTAGCCTCCCAGGCCATGCCATTCATAGATTAGGTATGACTGACGCCTAAGACATGGCCCCACTCATATCCATTCCATCTCTCCGCAACCAGGATCCTCGGTACAAGGGAAGGGGGGTCACGGCTGAATGCGGAAATCTATAAAGACGATGCAGGATCTCGATAACATCCCACTTCCCCCACCCCCACCACGCCTCTGACTGCCATTTCTCACTCCCTTCTTCTTCTGCGCCCTGGTATAGAGCTTCTGCCCACTGAAAGCACTCAATAATCCCTCTCATCCTTTCCAATTAAACCATATCCATCTACAAACCTCCAAGATGTCTCCAATTGCTGTTCAACCTACAACAGCCACCGCATCCACCACTACCACAACCATTCTCCCTACCTCCATTGCAACGCCCCCGACTCACCCAGACCTTATCCGAGTCGACCGGGGCACAAAGGCCTTCTCCTCCAGCGCCGTGTCCCTCGTCTCACTCCCCGCCGGCTCCCTCTTCGCCAAGATTACCACAGCCACTCCCTCCAAGAAAGCATACACGTCCGTACAGACTGGCGCCAACAGCCACATCGAGCTGAACTCCGATCTCGTCTATTGCAACCACTCATGCAACCCATCGCTGAACTTCGACATGGGCAAGATGGAGGTCCGAGTCGTCGATGATCGTGACCTGAAGGTGGGCGACCAGCTCACATTTTTCTATCCCAGCAGTGAGTGGGATATGGACCAGCCGTTCCAGTGCAACTGTGGAGCTGGCGAGGGTGTATGCAAGGGGTTGATCGATGGGGCAAAGAAGATGGACCGGAAGGATTTGGGGGAATACTGGCTAAACGACCACATCCAGGAGTTGTTGCAGCAGAGGGACTCTTCGTGATCTAAAATTATATATGATGAAATAAAAGGAGCAGACTGGGGTGGAAGATGTGTACTCACGGACATTAGATACCAGGCGATAGACATAAATCTCAAATCTTTAGAGGAAAACCTCCAGGGGGAACATTATTCCGGATATGGTATTGAAAATAGTATGCAATGTCGTTAATTATTTCATTGACTCGTGAGTGCGGTGGCTTTAATCTCATCCATCCTCTGCTGCAAAGCAGCCAACTTATTCCGCATCGAATTGACCTTCCCAACCAGTGAGGTATGCTCCAACTCCGCGTGTAAATTTCTCACCTCCTCCTGAGCCCTAAAGAACTCCTCGTATTCTTCACTACCTAGACACACGCCATACCCCTCACAATAACAGACCCGCTCATCCGGGCAAACTTCGGCTTGCCCCGTAAAGATCCACTGCCATAAGTACTCCCACACCCGTCCAGACAGGTTGTCGTCCAACTCCGTCTCGATCAACCACCTCCGATACGCCACATAATTCATCAGCGGCACCCGCCGAATCACCTCCGCACTGACCGCAAACTGACTGCAGCACGGCTGCGCCAGCACAGCCGGCATACGCTCCTCCGGAAATAGCGTCTTCCAAGACTCTCCGATGGCCACTGCTTCGGGCACATCCGGGTTATACGGCCCGCCCGCGAGAGCGGGTCGGATCTGGGCCGGACAGCCGGGGTCGTGTTGACATCGCAAATTGGTGTATCCTTTTTTGTAAACGTAGTCGTTCCGCAGACGACGGACCATCAGCGCCGAATCCATATTCATGAGATCGTTGTTGTGCCAGGAGATTTGGTCCGCATGCATAAAGATCGTCACGTCGCGGAGCTGAAAGTAATGATCGATGATATATGTCAGATACACCATGACCTCGTGGCCCTTGTTCATCGGCACGGCGAACAGAGTATCAGTCGTGTTCGGCGCGTCAACCGTGTACACCGCGCTGTATAACCGATCATCCTCGTTCAGGAGCGTATCGACCCAGGTCGTGTCCGCATCATTCGTCTTAGCCACGACCAGCGTGCGCTCGTTCGTTCTTTCCACGGGTCTTGGCACCGTCACAAGGCGATAGATATTCCCGCCGCGCCGATGCGCAAAGAAAAAGAGATAAAGAGAGCCGAAGATCAAAACGGACGTCGCCGCGCTGACGACCCAAGCTTGTGTCCGACGCATTCGAATCATCCACATGGTGAGAAGCACTCGCTGAGCTGTATTATCCCCTCGTCGTCTGGTTGACGTAGTCGTTTCCTTCCTGTCATGTTTTTTTTTTTCTTTCAGCCTCTTTGGGCGGGTCGTCGCGCGGCCGGCAGCTAATAAGTGATTTGCGTCAATGGCTGAGTATTAGAGCGTTGGTTGCGATCGGCACATAGCCTCGTTTGCTGAAAAGTGCCATGGCTGTCGATCGGCGACTCCTTAGTTTTGGGAGTTGGGAGCCATGAGAGATGTTGTTGGTTCGGGTTTGGGAATGTGGAGATCTCCATAATTCGCTTGCCCGGTGCATACGTAAACTCCTTGCTTTAGTGCTGAGGTCGGACTGTGTGCTGAGGGGCCGATGGGCTGATGGGCACCTTCAAAGCCTTGTCTTACTCAGAATAAACCTATGGGTTCTATCGATGCGTTCGTGAGTAGGCAACAGCGTGGCTAAGAATATACATAAGCGATGAATGTTTATCTCACGAAGCATGTATTGTGTACACAGTACCACATTTAATAGTACGTTGCTATCAATTCCGGGATCTAATCATATCATATCATATCACATCAATGACCGTAACCCACATTAAGTTGAAATCTCCGCCCCTGTGATCAAGTCCATGATCGGAATTCGTAACTTCGGACTTGCATCTTGGCCAGCGTTCCATCTCCCCATTCTCTTCTTCTCCTCCACATACTCCACAGCCCTCCTCTCCAGCATTCCCCAATCAAGTAGCGAAGAAACCCCATCGGACTTCCGGAGCCTTTCCACAGCATCTACCACCCACGAGCGACAATCGAAAGCCAACGCTTTCTCCTGATCAGGATCCTCAACCTGGTAGATGGGCGTGTCACCAAATACCCTCTCTACATTCTCCAGCGAGAGAACTTTCCCAATCACAACACAAACCAGCAACCGCGGTTCCAGGTTAATATCCTCTATTACGGCACGCTCAAAGCGCCAGGGCTGGGAGATCCGGTCGTTGATATTTTCGATTGTATTCTTGACGTGGTGTTTGGTTCCCGGGAGAGGCTTCGTGTTCTGCGCTGCTGTGATCTTAGGGACGATTAGTAGAGCGTAGTGATAGTTTTCAGGGTGCTTGGGTCGTGCGTAGAGAGCTAGTAGAAGGCGTGGTTTATTTCGCCGAGATTTCATAGCGCATTTCCTCCGTAGATACTCTGGGGATCTTATATGGATAGCATATGTGGTCTGGTGTTGAAGCTGTTGGCTTAAACTTTCCGTTGCCCAGCTGACGCGGCATTTGTTTTGGTGGTTTGTTCCTGGTGCCTGGTGCTAGTACGGACCCTTGTTTAGGCGCGTTTATCCCCTGTACTTTTCCATGTTGACACCTCGCCATGTCTAGTTTAGATGCATCTCATACCTGGCTTTGTTGTATCTCGACATAATTCAGTGCTCGCTCTGTACGCCATTGATCCATTCGTTAAGTCCACCGTCCTAATCTTGTAGGATCCACTGCCCGAGACATGTCTCCCGCGATCCAGGGGAATTCTGGGTCCGGTACACGTACAACACCCATCTACCACAGGATAGATGCTTAATGTCTCATGGTGACCCTGGAAGCAACGTATGTACCCCTGAAATTAGACCGACACAGGGAAATCGGCTTACGTCAAGCTTGGCCACTGACAAATGACTTGCGAGCCGAAAGCAATCTTAAATATGCTTAACGCTTACTTCACACTCTATCCCGAATCACCAATCTGCCATTCCAAATGACGTCTATCTATCTATAATCGACCCTCTATCAAACCAAACCATATCAATCACACTGCACATCCAGCAATCCACCTATGGCCTTTGTAATCTAACTATCCCCCCCCAAAAAAAAACAAAGCCCAACTCATCCCTGCGCCTTCACCCAAGCATCTCCCCCAGAAACAACCGTGCTAATCACCATCGTCACGCCAATCACCAAATCACTAATCTGCATCCAGCCGACGAAGACTCCCGGGATCAGGAGGTCGCACCCGTCGACAACAATGCGCTTCATGAGGGCTGCTCTCTGGGCCTTGGATTGAGAATTGTCGGTATTGGGTGTCGTTTTCTCGGCGTTCTTGTCCTCTTTCTTTTTCTCATTGCTGGTAGTCTTACTACTAGCAGATGAAGAGGAAGTAAATAGTAAACCCCAAACAGCACCAAGAACGGATAATGCAAGAGAGTAGAACCAGAATTTGAAGGCTTCGACCAGGACAGGCGTATTCCAGGCGACGGGGTGGACGCCCAACGCGTGGAGCTATTTATCTTATTAACCTGTCCATCTATCTCATTGGCGCCTCGAGAAAGACCCCATACACGCAAGAAAAAAGAAGGGGGGGGGGGGGGGCGGGAACTCACAATAGTCAAGTCCTCCAGCACCAGATACAACCCCAAGCAACTCCACCTCCCAATCTCAACCAAGGTCATAAACAACCCCAGACCCTGTGCCCCGCCAAGCAGCCCATAAACCTGGTTAAAGCAATCGATGAACGCGAAGAAGCGGAAAAACCGTCTCGCTGTTCATGCGTCCAATTATTGATTAACATCTCATTACTCGATTTGCCGATTCGTAGAGGTTGGTGGAACTTACTCAGCGCCAGTTGCGATCTGGTAGTCTGCCATTGCGCGGTGGTGGTTGAGCCCGGGGTAATATTGAGTTCTATTACGATTTGGGCGAAGGATTGAATGAGACGGCAGGTCTTCTCGAGACCTGCGACTGTGCGGGTGAAGTTGGCAAATTGGCGGAGAAGGTTTGGTTTGGGCTTTTGAGTGAGCGGTTTGACTGTCATTTTGCTGTTCCTTTTTTTTCCTTTTCTTCTTTATCACGTTTTGAATGACTTAAGTCGTGGAGGTGCATAAATTATGTATACGTGAGAGGCGGGTAGTTTGGGTTATATGAATCTACTAAAGTACTACGGGGTTGACATTAAATCTTGTAGGCGATAAGATGAGGATAGCTGTTCTTATTGGTAACTAGGGCCGGGCTTCCGAGCCGTGTTTTTTCCACTGCCGAGCGGTATTAAATCCAAGCGGGTAAATTGGCGCATTTGACCTATCCTCTGCAGTAGACCTATTTGGATGGAGTATAATTGCGAAAGACGACTATCGGGATTTTACTGGTGCTCTTTCTGGTTGGTCTAGTGAGGCTCCATTTCTATTGTTTCACGGATAAATACCTTCTTTTATGGGCTATAGCTTACAAAGTGGATACTTTGCTTTGATGGTGTATTAGAATGATTTGAATTGCGTGAACACATCGGGGGTGTGATAGTACGGCGAAGGAAATCGAGGTGCTGCACAACGTAAAACATTACCAAGTTTACTACTAATACCAAGGCACTACGGAGTATATATCAGCCAATTGCATCTTTCTCTATCTTCTATCTTATAATAGTCTATATAGATTATCAGTTACTCCAGTTCCGAAAGACTTCGCCGCTCTTAAATCCTTCCATCCCTAGACTTATGACTACCGCTATCTGTAGATACCATAGCCCGTAAACGTAGGCATTATAACCCCTAATTTCAAGTACCGGAATCCCTGGGCTTAAATACTATTACTACTACTCCTACTATTATAATTGTATGACCCTTTATTTAGCTAAAAGCTTCAAATTAATTGGTTTATACCAAATAATCTTGGCTTAGTATTTATAGTATAGAACAATATATGGCTAATTTTGCGAGATGCACTGCGAGAGGCCGACGCCGCTTTGCCAGAGGCTCTACTAGAGGCCCTGGAGCCGCGACGCCCACTGTTCCTCTAAATCAGCAGCCGAATTCAGAGTAACTACTATCCCACTCCTCCAGATCAACATCGACAGTACCATCTCTACCTCGAGAAGGTGCTGTTAGAACGGCATCGTTGTCCAGTGGCTCGCCGTCCTTGTACAGCTGGCCCAATGTTGTATTACCCCCATGTGAACCTCTTAAATACTTGGTTAATAACATCCCGGACCGTTGTGGAGTTCGGTATAATCTGTATACGAAGCCACGAGTTCCACGCTAGCATGGCCAAAGATATCACTATAGGATTAGCGTACCGGAATATCAACATCTTCGTGGTTGATTCTGACTATCGATCTATTCTTAGACCTAGTCATGATTCCCTGGTTCTGATCGAATAGTATATTCAATCCTATAGGACCAAGCGGGCTCACCCCCAAAGCACGAGTCAATTCCCACTGCATTTTCAGTAATGCAATCGACGGCAAAAGATGTGTATCGGGATTAACCGCCTCTATCGTGATGATATTCCCCGAATGCATATTCTCTGCTGTCCAACAATTGAACAGCTTGATTATTTTGCCGACAAAACTTAGGTTGGAGTTGTCCTAACCTTAAATGCTGTTCGAGTATTTGGATCGTAGTCAGAAGAATCTGATTTCAAGTTTTTGTGATCATCTGATAGCTCGATGGATTGTAGCACCAATCAGCCCTTTTTGTTGTGTTCGACATCGAGGATATATACGTTTTTGTTCCATTCCTGGAAAACTCCGAATCTTTGACTGTATTCTCGGAATTCTCACAACATACAAGTCCACTCTATCTAGAATCGAGATTGAACTACGACAGTCAGTGTGGGAAATAGTTATAGAGAATCGCGAGATCGTACCTAATTGCTCCCAGCGTCCTCAGAGCCTTCGCGAATTGAAGGTTCAAGTCCTGAGCCTATAGCCAAGTTGTTCCTCAAATCGAGGTATCTCTTGTCTATTCTTCAACAGCGGCGATATCTGGAGACCAGTTCTTTGTGATGATGGTAATAGTGGTGGTGGTGTTTTGCCTATCTTCGCATTGCATGAAGGGACCTCGCTCGGACTACCACACGGGTATCCCTTCATATAAAAACACCTTCGATCTATAAGATGACATGTGGGGATACCGATCATTTCCTCCATCGAAATCCTTGTGTGTATCTGGAAACTTAGTGGCTATTCTGGATTATTACATTACCAGTAAATATTCTCTGGGTATGTAACATTCGTATTGTTCCCAGTGTGAGTATTTGATAGAGAAGCCCAAAAAGAAGCGAGAAAGGCGAAGAGGATAGTGTTGACACTCCATGATACGACCTGTACCTGCTACAGGGTGTGGAATTATGACGCTTTATATACCATAGGGCATAATAATTCAATTGGCTGATATAAGGGTAGAAGGGGGTGAAGGATGTGATCGTCAGTCAATATGGGACGTTTGTATTCTAGTGCAGGGTATCAAATGAGATGAATGGATATCTATTCCATGGTTTCCTGTCTGAACCACGGCATCGTGCCTGTTAGCATGAATACAGATCACTGTATGACTCTGTGAAGACATATGATTCGGAAGCTTCACAGTTCTCGATATTCTTTAAAAAGGCTAGGTTAGAACATCGGGTAGTTTATTCAGTCCTAAATTCAATTACGGATCATTACATATACGATAATCATCAATTCGTACCTCTATAAGACACCAACGTTGTATCATCCCGGTAGAAGTGGTGGACGCACAGACGACCTATAAATAGTACAATGAGCATGAGGGTGATTGGCCAAAATACCCACTCCCCCAGAGTAACCGGGACCCCATCAGTGGAACCATTTGGTACATACAGAGCAGTTCCATTGAAGTATGCACTCGCTACCATTCGTGAACTCTTGCAGCTTAAAGTATCAATCAAGATGCCCTCCAAATCCAAGTCCCCATACAAGTTTTCCTACACAGACGCCATTCAAGGCAAAGAACTGCACAATTACTTCGGCAATCGGGTCCTGGAGTCAAGGGCATCAGGTGGTCGGGTAGTCGCAGTCAAAGTCAAGCCAACTGAAGGTTTCGCACGATCCGAGGCCGACATGATGCATTATGCTTCGCAGCAGCCTGGAATCTTAGCACCACAAGTTCTGGGCTGCTACGATGTCGATCCCGGAATTACCGTAACCGTGTCAGATCTCGTCGAGGGGGAGTCACTCGACAACGTCTGGCATACCATGACCAAGGCCGAACGAAAGTCCATAAAACAACAGCTCAAGGAGCAACTACGTCTCTTCCGGCAGTGTACACAACCGTACATCGGTCGTATAAAGCGACAGGAGACAAAAAACTTCTACGACCGCATCCACATCCATTACATGGGGCCTTTTGAGTCCGAAGAGGAGTTCGATAGTTGGTGTCTTGAGCGGGTGAAATCACCCATTGCGAAGAAGATATGGGCGCAGCTTTTGCCTGGGATGCGTGAAACTGGAGAACAGAAGTTCGTGCTGACACATGGAGACCTAGCTGCGCGGAACATCATGGTGAAAGATGGCAAAATCACTGGAATTGTGGATTGGGAGTATAGTGGATTCTTCCCCGAGTATATGGAGTATGCACTTGCGGCTGTGATTCATGATGGTCTTGAGGGTTGGTGGAAGCCTCATTTGAAGGAAATCTTGGAACCTTGTGGGTTCAAGAGGGCGAAGTTTACAGCTGCGATCAAGTGGAGGGGTTGGTGATCCTCGACTGACACTTGTATACTCACGTCCTTTTATCTCTTGCTTTTCTAGCCCCGATCACGCCATGCCTAAAGTTACTTTTTTTTTTGCTTTGCTTTTTATGATATTTATACCTTCTGATGTTTTCTGCATATACCTCCCCCAGCTTTATGATCGTATCCCTTCCATTTACCTCTTGTTATACCCATGTATCTTAGATAGTACGCTTTGGTATCGCCTTGATCTACTGAACATTCAATTGAATATGACCGGTGTGAATCAAGTATCAAGTAGCTACCATCAGATATGGAACTAGTTACATTGTTGGTACTTACATAAGAGTAAAATATACGCCCAGTATGAAATCTTACACCGAGTTTATCCACAGTTTAAATCCCTTTCTCTATGCATATTCGTTATACTTCTACATCTACTCCGTACAATTTGCCAATTCTATTGTTCTTAGTAGACCTTGCGGAGTACTAAATACACGATTCCAGGGTCATTTATGCAAGCATAAGTACTAATCATATAAATATGAATAACACCAAGAAATTCCAAGTCTGACGTTATCAAGAACCACTGGAGAAAATCCTCATACGGAATTGATGCATCGCTCACCACCAAAAGACTACAGAACTGAATATCTACTTGGCCCAGTTCTAGACATACTACTACAAGATTCATCGAGCTGCCAAAGTGGCAGCTAGCAAGTCCGTACGGTACCCCAAGGTTGTCCAATAATCGAAAGCAGTATTTATTGGTTCAACAGAGTTATCGATGAGGATCAAACGATCACAATACAACCAAGCGGAACAAGTAACATTCTCGAAATGATCAAGCAAAGACATAAGGAAAAACACAATTAGACACAATACTGAAAGAAACGGCAAATGATGAACACCATCCATCCACACGCTGAATAATTTTTAAGAAAAATGAGACAGGCTGACTACATCACAACTCATGTTGTAGCTTTCGCTATCCGAAATCCCAATCAGTCAAACTCAGCTCCGACCTGTTTATGCAGGATCTGTCTCTGTCCAGGGCTTTTCCGTCAAAATATCCTATGGGTCTGGTTCCGTCGCTAGTTCCTGATTCCAGGTTTCAGTCGGTGACACCGGATCTGGCGTCCATTGAAGAGGTTAGATGTACAGTGGTGATGTATGTGAGAGGTTCCAAAAGGAAGAGTAGGAGGTATAGAAAGGAAGCGTGGAAAGGGAAGGCGTCAAGCTTATTATGAATATTCTTGGAATTCCCAGTCTCAATGCTCAATTCCAAAATGAAGAACTGGAGTATCAGAGAAAGGAGATGGAAACACTAGCAGAGCGGGTTAAAAACCAAGACCATGATAAAAGTAGCGCAGGTGAGACAACATGAGAACTAAGAACACCAGAGCAGGGAGAATCCGAGATAAAACGCGAGAATGGACCGACGCTTATGCAGAAGCTTCTGCAGTCTTTTCCTCTGCTTTCTCTGCGGTAGGCTTCTCCTCTGTTGTCTTCTCCTCAAAACCCTTGTCGTCTGTGGCCTTTTCAACGGCTGGTTCGTCGGTCTTGGGGGTCGTCTTGTCAGATTCCTCCTTTGCTACATCAGGAACCTCAGTCTTCTCCTTAGCATCCGCATCGGTCATCTCCTCGTCCTTGGTCTCGGGCTTGGTTGGCTTGGACTCCTCCTCCTTTTCGCCTTCCGTTTCTCCACGAGCAGGGGTCTCCACGCTATCCTCCTTGTGGATGCCGTTGGCCTTGGACTTTCTCTCTGAAGGGCCTGGAGTGGTATCTGCATCGAGCACAGTTTTCCACTTAGACAAGAGATCCACAGCACGGCGACGGAATTGGAATTCTTCATCCCGAGGAATGGAGCTAAGCTTGACAATCATCTTCAAAACCTTGTTGATCTTCGTTGAACGGATGATGGAAACCTCCAGGTCTTGATAATTTTCCAACTTAGTGAAGTAGGTTGACATTGATGTCATCTCTTCCTCCTGGGGAGGCTGATCACGGGAGATGAAGCCCTTCTGGAGCTTATGGCGAACGAAAAGAACTGCCTCTCGTTAGTTTTCCCTTTTGCAAACGACCAATTGACTCCCGGGGCGATCATACTCTCTTTCTCCTTCTTGGCCTTGGCCTCCTCGGGATTGACCTGCTTCTCTGGCTCCTTAGGCGCCGCGGGAGTGCTCTCCTCACCCTCATCACTGGCAACAGCCTTGCTGGACTTCTTGCTGCTGGCAGTCTGCTTGGCCTTGCTCGAAGCAGGAGCCTTCTTCTCACTGGCGGGAGTCTTCGGGGTCGTCAGCTTGAGCTTGGTACCGGTCTTGGGAGTCTTAGCAGGCTAAAGAAAGATCATGCAAAGTTAGTATTCGAGCATTTTTCTCCGGAACGCCTTGTTTCCTCACCTTCTCCTCCGCGTCGGCTTCAGCATCCTTCTTCCTCTTCTTGGAGCTCTTGGGCTTCTTGGCTTCCTCGTCCGCATCTTCCATGTCAATATCTTCGTCATCGACGATCTCCATACTCTTCCGCTTGTTCTTCTTGGCGTCCTTTTCAACCTTAGCAGCTGCCTTTGCCGCCGCCTGGGCCTCCCGCTCTTCTTCTTCCTGCTCGATCGCACGCTGGTGGTCGGCCAACAGGCTCTTGAAGTGTTCAAGGTCGTGGCCATCAGCAGCCACGGAATATGCGGCCAAAAGCAACTTCGACTTGCCCTTCTCCGACACTTCCTTGCAGATGGCGGGTTCGAGCGGGGTCAAATCCGTGTTAGGAATCCAGGCACTGTGATTGCCATGAGCTGACACATCCCCAAGAAAAGTGAAGCGAGGAACATGTTACTTACAATTCATTCGTTTCGAGGAACATCACGGGGAAGGTCCTCTCGTGAGCACGCTTGCCGCCTTCGGCGTAATCTTCCCTGTAGCTGCCATCGGCGCGCTGAGCGGTCACCGGGCGCGTACCCGAAAGAGTCTCAGGGAGTATCTCCTCGTCGCAGATGATAGATGGCCATGGTGGGTAGCTGCGAAGGCGCGCTAGGTAGTACTCGCCTGGCTTCGCGTGCAGGTTGGTCATGCGAGCCTGCGACTTTTTCCGATTCAATTTGGATTTATGTTCGGGCACGGCGCCAGTTGATTTGCGCTTTGTGCTTCCGGATTTCTTAGCCGACGCAGGGGTTCCGTTAGCCTCTGGGGCAGTGGCAGCCTCTGACTCTGCAGGTGCAGCACTCTCTTCAGGCTTCTCAGTGGACTTTTCATCTGACTCCTTCTTTTCTTCGGTGGCAGTTGCATCTCCTAAGGCAAATCAAGTAACACAAGTTAGCGCACGAGCTCATCAACACGATTTGTCTAGGAGGTCAGAGCAAAGGGAGGAAAAGGAAAAGAGAACATTTGGGCGGCGCTTACCCGATGGCTTCTCTTTCGATCCATTGGCCGTCTCCTCCTTCTCCTTGGTTGCCTCTGGCGCGGATTCCTTGGGTTCAGCAGGGGCGCGCTCGACCGACTCAGCGGCGTCGGGGGCAGGTGCCGAGGCAGTAGGGGTATCCTCAGCCATGGTGCGCGACAAAGCTCAATAAAAAGTAGATCAAAAACAGGTCCACCTGAGGTTCGCGGGAATCAAAAGTTTGCAATGGAAGAGGTGGTGGACAGGTCGAGGTGGATGTGGGTGAGGGAAGAAGTGGTGGAGAAGGTCGCGACGGAGGCGGGAAGTTGATTGACAACGCGTGCACTTCCTTTTGCCGGGAAAAAAAGCGCTGCCAGACCGCGAATGACGCAACGCTCACCAGCAACCACAACAAATAGGAATTTCCACAACTCGCAACAGCGGTTTGTCACTGAGCCTCACAGGTGGTCAGGTAGCCAAATATACTACCGCTGAGGATGCAGGTTCATCCACGTGAGACTGTGTGATCTCAGTACGCGACGCGACCGCAGTTGTGCAACAAGCTTAAGCAGATATTCGCAAGAGCTTACCCTGTAGATTCAAGAATACACAACTAGCGATAAAGCTGTGATAAAGATAATAGCAGTAACAGTGGAAGAGATAAATGACGCGTATAAGGGATGGCAATCCGTGATTCAGCTGGTGCCAAACGCGAGGAAGCCGCACAACCGGTAGTGGTTGAAACAGTGGCAGCAAAGAGACCTGCTACCTGAGTGTCAAAGAATCTCAATCTTTGTCACAGAAGTAGAATGAGATAGACGCGTTGCGCAGATCTATGCTTTGTAAAAGTGGTGGTTGATGCAGAAAAGCAACGGCAGCTCAATCAAGGCAATTAGTCTGATGAGACAGCGATAGTCTGTCAGACGAAAGGAACCTAGCAAGTATTTTTAGTATAGAATACAATCAAATATTAACATGATTAGAGGGGATGGGCAATGAGTGAATGAACGAACGAATGGCCGACTGACCTTGTGCCACAATAACAAAGGCCAACAGTAACACCTGAATTGAAGGATGTCAACTACTACCTTGTATGGCGAAGTTCAAAAACCCGCATTACTTGATTGTGACAAGCGGAGGGGTGGAACAGGATAAGTGTTTGGAAGATTGTTCTGGTGTAGTGAAAGAGGAGGTAAAGTGAGGTTTCCCGATAGTCGTCATCCACTCCATCCTCTGCTATTACCACTATATCCATGTGCCACCCAGTCCAACTTGTAGTGTCTTGCTTTCCCAATATACACCATAATTTATCCTTTCATGGGGAAGCAAGAAGAGGTGAAAGAAAAGAAAATAAATAAAAATGAAAGACAAAGAGGAAGAGAAATTTATAAAACCGGTACAAGGCCACAACTCCTAGCGCTCTACACAAATGTATAGAGGCCGTATTGTACAGTTATATCCGTGTGGATAGCAACGATACACAGCTTAATACGTAAACAGATCCTACTAGGCAGATAGAACATACTCATTTGCTTAAGGCATAAAGCCTCTTATTCTTTTAGTCCTTTTTTTATCTCTAAGCAGTTATTAATGGTACGCTGATGTGCGACTCTAATGTTCTATATCAGTGTCAATATACCAGTTGAAACACCCGACCGTCCCAGTCCCAAATGCGTATGAAAAAAATACAGATAAATGTATACATGAATATGTATAAATGAGGATATGCGCCCATCCCCGAGGGCAAATAAAAACAAAAACAAAACAAAAAAAACCCGTATAAAGCCACCGTTATTTATGAAAACGCCAATGACTCAATTCCAATCAACATCAAAAGTACGCCTGGCTGCCTTGGGGAAGACCTGTCCCATCGCGGTATGGCAGCTTGTCTCTTGCTGGAATTGGATGACCAGTGGTAAGGGGTATATACCACCGTTCATGGCGATGAATTGTAACCTTCTTCCACAGCCACCACAGCCAAGACAGCAATATCATCGACCTTCCCGCCACGGTACCAGTCTCCGGGGTAATATCGTTGGGCTTCTTTGGCAAAGGGTCCATCGCGGCGCATATCCACGCTGGCCAATTTGGCTTCACCGGCAATGGTGGCGGCGAGGAGGGATGGGAGGCTGTATAGGTGGCTCTTGTTTGCGGAGCGGTGCTGTTGGGAAGTTTGGGTGGATGATGATTGGATGAGGGAGGCAAGACCCTCAGGACCAGTAAGTTGATCGAGATCAGTGGAGGGTTTGATTCCAACGTCGGGTGTGGCGGTCCAGGCGCCTGTGAGAACCATCCGGCTGGTTATGAGCTTGAGGATGTCCTGGTTATTGAGATTGTCGAAGACGCCGTCTGTTGCAAGGATGAGCACGTCGCCATGCTGCATGTGGAGGTTGGTGACGGCCGCGTCGCGCGGAAAGTCTTCGAGGAAGGCACCACCAAAAATAGATGCTTGCGTGCGCATCCGCGGTGGAATAATACTAAGCTGGTAGGGCGTGTTGAAGCCGTGGGTTTGCGGGATCGAGTAGTGATGTACGGCAGCAAGACGGAGAAGGACTGAGCCTGAATCACCTAGATTTGCCAGTTCGACCCGTCCATCGTCCAAGCCGATACCCACCGAGGCGGTGCAGCCGCCAGCGCGAATCGATTCATCGGCAACAACTTGATCGTAGCCAGCCTGGAGGAGGGCCTTTGCACGCAATTGTTCCGCCGGGGCATCCCATTCAAGGGCGGATTCCGCCATATATCCACACAGCGCGTGTGAGAAGTCCGCAGGATCGACTCGAGACTCCGCCCAGCCTCCTACCCCGTCTGCGACGGCAAAGGCGACAGCTCCGTTATCGTGTTGGCCAACTCTGCTCACGAAGAATGCATCCTCTCCACTATCGGGCCTCCGCTGGCGCCGGATGGCCGCGCTTTTCACATCCGTGGCCACCCCAATGGCATGGTGGCGCTGAGGATCAAAGTCGGACGTGTTCTTTGCGGGGTGGAAACGACGACCTTTGCCGGAGGATGAAGCGGCAACGCGGTATGAGATGCGCGGGGGTTTCGAGTCAAGCGACCGTGTCGAGTGGAAGGATCGTCGGGACGGAGGAAAGGAGGTTGATATCGGAGAGGATCGGGACCATGGCGTGCTGGTCGAGAACGAGGCCAAGAGCCTACCTCTCGCGACGGGTTGTAGCCTACTGCAGGTTGGACTGCAGGCTCTACGGAGAAAAACCAGAGGGGTCATCGGCAGTGACCAGATCGTCGCCGAAAGGCACTAAGTAACGCAATTCAAACCCTCGCGAAAGAGCGATAGGGATTTTGCTTTGACCCGTCTGTTGGGAACATACAACAGAATGTCCCCTTGCACAGGGCCTGTCGTGCCGTGAAAGAGAGCGAACAGACCCTCCCGCTGAGCCAAGTAATGAATCTAGAGACAACGATCGGTATATATACAGCGGAAGGACGAAAGTCGCGGTCGTATTTGATCTCTCCCGAGGGGGTTTGAACGCTGGGATTCGGCACCATTTTTCAAATTATAAATAATGGATTGCCGACCGCCTGTCGTCATCAATCGACCGCCTCCATTCTTTAAGTGGAGTGACCGGTGCCAACGTTAGGATACGGTTGTTTGATTGTGATTTGAGTGCCTCGCGACTGGAGATCTCCGTGGTTAGCCGACTAAAGCCTCTGAATTGCCCACGTGTTGGAGTATAAAGAATAAAACTAGAGGACTGGCAATACCGACTGAGTCTGTCTAGACTATAAGGTGATAATCGGGCCGATAAGCATAAATTGGGCGTTCACCAAGGACAGACATGGCAATAGTGCTGTATAGAGAATTTCTGTAGCTTGCAGCAACATGTAATCGAGTATATTAGAGAAAAGGAGACTGGTGTTGTGACGTCGTTGTGGTGTGTCTGTTCACTCTCGCCGTTCATTTTCTCATCTTGCCGCTTCCTTTCGCGTCACCAAAATTTCAAAAGAAAAAGGGAACTCCTCCGTCCGAACTTCCACTAACCCACACCTTTCCTCCAAACCTCCGACTCTCTTCAAACATTCCGCTGCTGTACCTTGTGGTACAAAACCTTGCGAATCATTGCGTCCGACTTGTTGAAAAGGTGTTGGGTAGTCTGATCGACGCCCGTGGCCCTATTGCCCACGATGATGCACCCATCCAGACAGGCGTATGTGGAGGAGGCGGCGGCGGTAAGAGCTACCCTTTCGTTGGTCGAATCAATCGATCCTGAATCCCATAGACCCTGGGATGGTAACAGATGGTTGCAATGCATTTACAAGGCTTTTTCCTTTAAGATCACTGACATCCAATGGCTCGGCTCATAGGACACCGAGATGGGTATTGATCTGGCTAATTTGCGTAAGTACAACAATCATTCCCCTGTCAAGTTAAGCATCGTATGTACCTTGCTCGAACTCCACTAACTAATCTATCTCATGTAGCTGTTGACCGCGATTATGATATCCCCTCTGCTTCGGCGGGCATCCCGTCGGAGAGAGCATCCGCCATTCTATCCCAATTTGAACGCAAACGGAGAGCTGCTGCGATGGTGGTCCCGACCGATGATAGTCGAGTGCGCGCGCGATTACGAGAGCTCGGGGAACCCATCACTCTGTTCGGTGAAGGCCCCGCGGACCGGAGAGATCGACTACGAGAGCTTCTAACAGATCTCGCCGAGCAACAGGATGCGGCAGCAGCAGAAGGAGATGTGGATATGAGAGAAGCGACGGAAGAGGCTGAGGAGGAGGAAGTAGAGCAGCAGGAGGAGTTTTACACTGAGGGTTCCCATGATCTGTTAGAAGCACGGAAAGCGATCGCGCGGTTCTCCCTTCCGCGCGCAAAGCAGCGCGTGGCCCGACAGAGAGAAGAATCGACAATTCCACTCCGAACGCAAATTAAGCACCGCAAAGCGGTTAAGGAGAAGCTACATGGGTTTGATCTTTACGGTTCGCAGATTGCGGGTGATCGTCCAGTCAGCATCTGTCGCTTTTCGCCGGACGGGCAGAGCATCGCTACAGGTAACTGGGGCGGTGGGATTAAGCTGCTTACGGTGCCAAATCTGGAGGAGAAACGGTCATTCAAGGCACATACAGATCGAGTAGGCGGCCTGTCATGGTTCCCAGGTGCTACACTATCGACGTCCAATGTTTCCGAGTCGACCGTCAACCTCGTTTCGGGAGGTGGTGAGGGAAATGTGTGTCTGTGGTCGCTTGATCAGGATCAACCGATAGCTACACTGTCAGGCCACAGCGGTCGGGTATGTCGAACGGAATTCCATCCGTCCGGGAGATATGTGGCGTCCGCGTCCTATGATACAACTTGGCGGTTATGGGATGTTGAGACGACTGCGGAACTGTTGCTCCAGGAAGGTCATTCTCGTGAGGTCTACACGGTATCATTCAACAACGATGGTTCTCTTTTGGCTAGTGGAGGACTCGACAGCATTGGACGTATTTGGGATCTGCGGACGGGTCGGACTGTGATGATTCTTGAAGGCCATATCCGTGAAATTTACGGCTGTGACTGGGGTGTGGATGGGTATCGTGTCCTGACTGGCTCAGGCGACGGCTGGGTAAAGTGCTGGGACTTGCGTCAAGTACGGAATACCGGTGGGATCGGTGCGCATAAGAGTGTCGTGTCCGACCTTCGGTGGTATAAAGGAACAGAATCCACCAGCTCCTACTTACCGTCTACCGATGGGCAGAATGGCCGGATGGATGTGGACGGCGATCAACCCTCACAGTCGACACCTGTCCAACCCAGGAAGTCGGGCACTTTCTTTGTGAGCAGTGGATTTGATAAGAATGTCAACATTTTCAGTGCGGACGACTGGTCATTGGTGAAAAGCCTGAGTGGCCATTCAGGCAATGTGCTGAGTACTGATATCAGTGATGATGCGCAGTGGATCGCTAGTTGTGGTCACGACCGCACAGTAAAGCTCTGGGGCATCGATGGCTAGGATAGCTGAATATGCTGCAATATAATAACGGGGTCAGTTTGCCCAATCTATGGCCCTGCATTACAGGTCACTACTTCAGAATCTAGGTAGTCCATTGCTCCATAGATATGGGAACATTACTTGTCCGGTGCCCAGCCTTTCTGGGATTTTCCGCGGTCATACTACAACCATGGACAATCTCGATAATCACGAACCAATACAGTCCACGGAACATCTTTACTTTAGTCACCAACAGCTGTACACTCAGAAATCCAACGAATATCAAAGTAAGCTCTCGGACTATGACGTAAATTGCCGGAACTCTCTCCGTGTTCTCCGAGGCCGGAACCCCATGCTGACTAACCGGCCCTATATTAGGTTTGCCCGATAAGCATCAATTCTCCAACTCAGTCCGAGTATTCTCCCCTGGTGTAATCTACAACCATTACTCGTACAGACTACACATAGTTGTCTTTTCAGACCAACTAGGAATCTGAATCGGGCAAATCAGAAGAAGATGACTGCATCCCTTCGGCCTCAGAGACTGCTCCCGCGGCTCTCCTTTGCAACCTCCCGAGCAACATCAGGAAGCCGGCCTTCGTTCCTCGAGCAAGCACCAGAGACATGCCTCCTTTGCCAGTTCAGGCCGCAAAATACCGTTCGCTTACCGCGTGTTCATAATCTCCAGCAACCCCGTCGCTTCGCTTCCACATCATCCTCCCCCAATGCTACCACAACCGATAACAACGGCACGATCCAAATCATCCCGGACATCACGAACCATTACACTATCTTCCCCAAGACCCTCCCAGCAGGGCCACCGCCTAGCTCACCCTTTCACATCTCTGTCAGTGACCTGCGACGCGAGTTCCTTCAGCTCCAGGGTACAATCCACCCGGACAAGTACCCGCCGGGCCCATCGAAACAACAGGCCGAGGCCCTCTCCGCCCGCATTAACGAAGCCTATCGCACGCTGTCCGATCCGCTCGCGCGCGCGCAGTACCTCCTGCGCGAGATGCACGACATCGACGTCACAGCCGAGGACGGCGCCGCACACCATGCGCTCGACCCGGAGACATTGATGGAAGTAATGGAAGTGCAGGAGACGATCGAAGAAGTGGGCGCCGAACCCGGCGCCGAGTCCACGATCGCCGAGCTGAAGAAACAAAACGAGGTCCGTGTGGTAGAATGTGTGGAGAAGCTATCGAACGCCTTCGATACGGGCGATCTGGAGTCTGCACGACAGGAATGCGTGCGCCTGCGCTTCTGGTACAATATTGCGCAGGGCCTGAAGGAGTGGGAGCCCGGCCTCACCGAGATCAGACTGGTGCACTAGGTTTCTTCTCGTCTTTTGGATTATCGACCTTTCGGATTGGATCCCTACAGGGCCATGGCCTGTCATGTCTAAACTACTGTGTACGATACATTGCTGTTGACGTAAATACCCTCATACCATAGAAGTGTGCTGTATTTCCATATTGAATTGTTGAAAAGCACAGCTGGATATCATGGAAACTCTCTTCTCACGCTTGGTTTATCGAAACCTAGACCATCATCATGACTTAGAAGTATACAACCCCAATATATATAAAACCACCACGAAACACAATTTATATCAATCTTGAAACCCCAAGCCCGAACAACCCACCAGCAAAATAACAACATCTCAACAGAATCCCTACTACACGAAATTACTCCGTAATAAAAACAGTAAAAACCCAAGACTCAATAAATCCCCCCACTCTAGATACATTCCAGGCCATATACAAACTCCCTGATCCCGGCAACCGAAACCACACCCTAAACAAACACAGCATCCCGGAGCAAAACCTCCTTACCCAAATCGGAACTAATTCCTAATTCCTAGCCACTGACCTCAGTAAAATCTCATGAATTAATATCGCCACATAGGACACAGTATGTATGTACTTTCTAGTTTCCTCTCTTTCCGCCAAGAAAAAACCAATCAACCGGAATTCCTCTCCCGGTATCCATCCCAACTCAGATCCCCACCTACCGGGTGCGGTAGGACGGTTGGATGATCCGGTTTTGTAGATTATTGGTTCAAACTTCATACTACTGGGGAAATATATGGATATGAAACAGGGTGTAGATTCTACTTATTTCATTGGATGGTATGTGGAGGTTTGCTGGGGAGTTAATACTACTATCCTTTGTCTTTGTCTTTGTCTTTGTTTTTGTTTTTTTTACTGTCTAGGTACTAGGGCTTTCTTTGGGGACTTGGTTTGGACATATAATGGGACTTGTTTTCTTCTAAATCTATGACTTCTAGCTCTCTGTCTATGGGGAGGGGGGGAAGATGATGTCGGGTCTGAAGGGGAAATGCAGGAAAGGGAAAGGCGCAAACAGCAAGAGGGACAGAGACAGAGACAGAAACAGAGTGCTAGTGAACGCAACGCTATATATACCGAATAAACTAACGCCGTGTGATGCCAGGTAGCAAATGACAAAGACATGATGGTGAAGGGGTATATGAAAAGGGGGGGCTGATGAATGGAAGGAAGTAACGTCTAAACTGGAGAGATGGGGGAGGGGTGAAGGCAGTATGGAGGAACTGCGGAAATGTGTGTGTGAAATGGATGGGACATGTAGATATGGCTGTATGGGAATAAGGGGGGTGGTGGTAGTAGTGATGGTGGTTGGCTCTAGTCAGACACATCCTCATCTTTGCCTGGGTACATGATGTCCTTCCGGATGACGGCGCGGACGTTGTTGATGAGGACGAAGATGTACATGCACACGATGCAGATGGACATGGCGGCTCCGACGCCTTTCACGCCGTCACTGTTGAGCGCCTTGCCCAGGGTGATGGTGGCCAGGGTGAAACCAGTGTTTGGGAAGACCATGGCCCACCAATGAGATGGAAGGCCTTCGGGGGCGACCGGATGACGGCGACGATGGCGATGCAGAAGAACCAGAGGCTCAGGGCCCAGAGGAAGACGCCAGTCGAGATGGCCAGCAGCTCGATAATGCGTCCGTCTTCCAGGGCGTGGGCATCGTGTAGCAGCTTGAAGTCTTCGGGGAGGCCTTTGGTCATGCCGACGAGGGCTAGGGCTGTGAAAGCGGGTGGTCCAACACAGATGAACATGCCTGGTCGGTGGTCGCTGTGGGGCAGGCCGGACTCCATCAGTCGGCCGATGTAGTGGGCGTACATCATGAAGCTGATGGAGAAGCCGAGGCCCTGGAAGGTGACGCCGGCGCCGATGATGGGGAGGGCAGCACGAGCGGGCTGTTGTTCAGCGATGACGGAGGCGATAGTGCCGCTGAGCATGATGGGGAAGGCTGGGAGGATCCATGAAGGCATCATGGTTTGAAGGCCGTACTTGTGGGATGAGAAGACAAATGAGTATTGTATGATGGCGACGAGCAAGGTGCAGACACAGTAGATCCAGAAGAGCGCCTCGAGGGCTAGTTGGAAGGATTCACTGGATTCTTCACCGAAGTAGCGAGACAGGCCGCAGATGATGGTTGCAACGGAGAGCCAGAAGGTCGGGAAGAAGAGACCCTCGCGATCATGACGGAGGGACTCAAGAAGGTTGCCGTGCATGATGAACCTTGTAGCCATGGTAGAGCAGACAAGGGCGAAGAAGATCAGATTGAGGATGTAGACCGCGATGCCGATCTCCCTCAATCCGCGGAAGCCAAAGGGCTGGTTGATGATAAGGACGGCCAGCCCTCCTCCACTCATCGTTAAGGTGTACCAGGCCCAAGTGAAATGACGAAGTCTCTCCCGGATACCCACCGGACCGAGCTGCTTCTCATCCTCGAGCTTCTGGGGTGCTAGCATTTCAATATCTGAATGGGATGAACCCGGTGGTATGCGGTGTGCGTCGTTGTTGTTGAACATGGTGCTCTTGGCGCGCGAAGCTTATAAGACAAAGGAAGAGACTATGGTGGAGTGGTACGATAAAGAACGAGATAAGCAACAGTGGCACGACCCTAGGAAGAGGCAGAGTGGTGTGACACTGAGGAAGGCAAGAGAAGATAAGAGAAAAGGGTGAAAGAGAGATAGTATTGTATATGACAGGCTGTGTGGCAGTGATCTTCCAATTGTGCCTGATGTGGAAATCTCACGCACTTATATCTTGATGTATGATAGGCAACTGAGTGCAAGGAACCAAAAGAACGACCAAAGAACTACTGCAGGTATAATCACGTAACTGATCAGACGCTTCAGGCTAAACCAAGATCAATGAAAGTATGAAGGTATGCAATGCAATGCAATGCAGCTGGACCAAAACAGAAAGCGAATAGATTAAGAAACGGGACAACGCTTGAAAAAGCGTGGAAAGCAGTCAATGGGCTAGAACAAAGATACATCGAACCAGACGCTACAGCTGTGGGACGGTCTAGATATAAGAACCGTGTTGGCATCGTCTACACATGTCGCAGATGATAGGGCATCATTAACTTCAGGCTGATGTTCCTCGTCGCCTATAGTCGATGCTAAGGAATGCAGGGCCAAGAAACAGAAACCAGATACATATCAACATGGTTGGCTTAGAGACGACGAAACCCGCTTTCCTAAACTCTTGTCGTCCCAGAAAAGGGATACAGAGCCCACCGCGGGCCGGAAGGAATAGGAAGAGTTCAGGTTTGGCGCATATCAGGGGCCCATCGCATTATTGCAAAGGGGCAGAGGGACCATGGCGCAAGGGCTCGGCATTGGACTCAGGTCAGCGATGACCAGGGGAAGCAAAGAGAAGGTCCAGAATGGTTCATGATCTTCGGTGGATAGCGTCTTCAGGTTGATCCGCCAAGGCTACGAGAGGATATAGTTCCGGTGGGTCGTCTGCGTAGAAACCAGTTCCAACAACGTCAACGACTATGCAATGCATGCACGGCCCAGTTGATTTGATATCACCAGGCATTAAATCATTTTTATCCACCTAAGGCGAAAAAAAAAAAGAAAAAGACCGATTGTAAAACATTCTCCGATCCACTCCGTACGCTTGTCGGCTGTGTCAGTGCCATGGTTTAGCGAGTGTCACATCTCTCCTATACTCTGTGCTGCTATCCATAAGGCAGACGTTTTTTTGTTTCCCATAATTAATACTCCATACAGTTCTCTATCTAGTGAACCGTTTATGATATCAATTTCCTATTTTGGTTGAGAAAATAAGATCTACTATCCTTTGATGCTCAGCCGAAACACGACTTTAACGGCTTGTCTGACCCCGTCGGCTTCTCGTACGTTTCCTCCCAGACAGGCCGAAGTCCGTGTTTTTCGGCCCGAATGACAGGGACCTTTGCTAAACCGCGCGAAAAACAAAAAAAAAAAAAAAAGATGTGTGGCGAGACTGTGTAAGACGACTGCCACAATCCCTGCAGAGTAAGTGGATCCCATCATGGCCATTGGACCTTTCGATCACCGAATCAGGTACCTTTAATGTCACGGAACGTCTGGGAAGAAGAAGATTCTCAACGTGCGCGGCGGTAGGCATCATCGAACAGCGTTCTCGCCCAAGGACTGAGAGGGCCAAGACCAAGATCGACAGCACATCACCGACGGGAGGTCCGCTGCCAAGCTCATGGTGGCTGTGGTTGACGAAATTTGTGGGAAGGAAAGGGCGAAAGATAAGGGCTCGACACTAAAATTATCATCGCGAAAAAAGGGGAGCGCATTTTAGAGTTAAAGTTTAAGAGTGTTAGATAATGTCTAAAAAGATAATTAATCATTCATAGAGATAACAGACACGTTGGGCAAATGTGATCTATTCATTTAATTGAGCAATTCCACTTGCGCTCTCCCCTCTCCGGAGCCTGGAGTCTGGATTCTGGATAGGAGGAATGACGAACCGCTTTCCTGCCTCTCTATAGAAGATGATACACGAATGACACGGATCGTCCAACGACCAGCCATGGAGGGGCAAAAACCCGTGTTGTACAAGAATGCAGGATGACAGAGACGAACAGAACCATCAGTGGAAGAGTCAGACGCAATGAGGAATGGAAAGAGTCTCGAGCCTTGGCAGGAGGTTCTTGGCAAAGATATCTGACTATTGGGCAACGGACGTAACTTGACCTCAATAATGCGACTATCCGACAGCATAACCCAATTGTGTTTCAGCATTTGAAATTATGAACGATCGATGTCTTGCCCGGCACTTTCCATGTTTTTCCACATTCTTGCTCGTCTGGAGAGAATTGTTGCTGCCTTTCCATGATCTGCACTTGACATCCATGTAAAAATAGTACGACTAGTAACGACTATCCTGACAGCCAAGAAAGGCAGTGAGGATAGACTGATTCGTCAGCAATTACCGAGCTCCCCTTTCTAAACCCTGAGTCGATCAGGAGGCCCAATACAAAGAAAGACGCCAGGAAAAGTGATCAACCGCTATACAATAGTTCATTTGGAATCCCACTCTCCTCCCCGTTCGCTTGCGGAGTAGAGCTCTGCCGGACGTTGAACCCCCTCAAACCGAAGAACCCTTCCCCCTCCCGGATGGCCCAGTGTGATCGTCTTACCTTTCTATCTCTGATCTATCTTCTATATCGAGTCGATTGACTCTTGCCGAGAACTGCGGTGGCACAGACATGCTCCCGCCAAGACCAAGCAACAACTTCCAAGAAGAGCACAGGGAGATCATCGTCTCCACCAACCCCCTCGCCAGTCCTTCCGCCTAAGGACGAGAGCATTTGACGGATTTTTCGGCAATCGTAAAAAAGAAAAAAAAAAAACAATAAATAAAAAAAACAACAACAACAAGGCCCAGCCAACCTCTACACTCAAAATCCGACTATTCTTGGCGTTGCGAGAGAGACGTGGTTCACTTCATCGGCCCGCTATACCCAGCTATGGAGTGGCTCATGCCCGCATGAACCTCGGTATGCACAGCTAGACCCAAACCTCTTGGGCTCAATGCACTCTGTATCAATTCTCAGGAAACGGCGCTTCCTTCCTCCGCTGCGATATATTCGGCCAGCTTTTTGCTCTTCTCTTATCGCGGCTAAATACACGGGTCCTCGTTTGTTTGATGGGTCCGACTTCCTGCAAATGCGCCCGTTTTAATATAACCTGCAGCAGGGAGGGGTCCGCTTTGTATCCGGTCTGGCGTGGCTGCAGATACTCGAAAGGGATCCCTGGAGGACCTCGTCATGCAGCCATCGGTCTTTGGTTCGAGGTCGTCGTGCGCTAATTCCGGAACCACCCGTCCCTGATATTTCGCCGGTTTATCCCTGAGACACGATCAGCCATGAAGATATCGACAGGGATAGTCGATGGGAAACCAGCCAGTGAATGTGATCACCACCGATCCCGCTGCAGATTCATCTGGCCAAGGACACCCAATCCACATGCTTTCGGATCAGTAAGCGGAAGGACTGAATGAAGGCGCACCTACCCAATGGGGGAGGTAGAACGAAACGGAACCGATGCATCCACAACGGACACCGATAGTCTAAACCTTCCCGTCTTTCTTGTGAAACGGAAGCAACCTTCAGACGGTGTTAGATCTGATCAATAAGACAATGAAGAAAGGGCGATGCTCCCTTGGCAAGGTGGGGACCCAATGTAACAGTCACGTAGGAATTATCTATGATCGTCCAGAACGGAAGGCTTGCAACAAATTATCATTCAATGTTGGATCACGCAAAGAAATTCGTCACAGGCGGAAGGATGAGTAAACATAACATAAGGTTCAGGAGGCCTAGCGACCCATTTGTTCCGGGACAATCCACATCTGTCATTATTCATACTCCAAGTCATGCATATACGTAAAGGTCGTGTCTGTGTTTTTGATCTGGGTCTGTGCGTGTGCGCTCTTTGATATACATGTCGGATGAGAAAACGAGAAAAAAAAAACAAAAGAAATAGCTAACGGAAAGAAAGTTCAATAGCCAATGGACAGAAAAGAAGCATAAGTCATATCATATCAATCATTTCACCACATCATGCGGTACACCAGATCCGAGGCGAGCTCGGTGGTGGTATCGAGGAGGGGACGCAACCCCTTGGCCGAACGCTTATGTGGGTAGGGCATGCCTGCTGTATTTTCCTCGGGAGGACAGAACTCCGCGAGGTCCCGTATCTTGCAGGCTGCATAGTGTACAACCAATCTCCGAAGCTCGTTGTCACGAAGCTGAGTGGCTGAGATAGCGGAGATTGGCTCGAGACGGGTGGTCTTGTTGTAAGTATAGTCGAGGAGGTCGAGGATCATTCTAGCTTTGGTGGTCGCTAAAGCGAATGATTCCTCATCCTGAGAGTCCATTGGATGCTCGGGGAATCCTAGGTTCAGGAGATCTGTATGGAGCTTCCGGAGACATAATTGGGCAAGGGCAGGGATCAAGAAGCGTGTGGCGAAGACATACAGCTTGGCATGGAAAACAAGATACGGAAGGTCACCCTTGGTCGACCCCGAGTACGACAGTGAGCTTGGCGGCCTGTTTCCGTGGGTCTGTCGGGGGTCGTGATAGTCCATGGCCGCAAATTCATCCCACAGGTTGGTGCCCGACTCATGCTGAAAGTTGAAGCGCTGCCGGGCGAAAGACATGTCGATGAAGGAGTTGGTCCGGAAGTGGGATGGTTTCGGCTCCTCTGTAACTTTCTCTTCCTCTTTAGTCTCGGCCTTCATGTCCGTCTTTTCAGGCTCGACCGATTCAGGTTCCTGTGGCGTGGGATCAGATTGCTCCCAGGTGTCAACCTCTGTCTGAACAGGCTCAGCCGGTTGGGCGGCCTCTGCATCAGCCGGAGTATCCATATACTCCTGAACCTGGTTCCATTCCTCAGCTGGGGTAGGTGTTTCATCCACAGGAGGATTCTCAACCTGCTCCGGTTTCTGAGGCGGAGGCGTAGAGGGAGGAGTCAGGTTGGTCGTGGGCTCTTCCGCAGCCGCAGCGCCCTTC